TCTTCTGAGGCGTCATATATCTTGCAAAGTGATGCAACCAAGTCTACATCTTTTTCACCTTTCTTAACTGAAATTCGTCACCGAAATGAGAATAGAGAACATATATTCAATTCCGCCCATGGTTATCGTACAAGAAGAAAGTAAACACTTACCAAAGCGTGAAGAGTCTTGGATGCTGAAATTTCTAAACCGACAAGGGACGTGTATGATCAAAATAGCCTGATAACGAAAAGAAAAGTTAGCCTATACTTATCTACATGATGAAAATGAAGCGTCTGCGTCTGTCAAGTAATAAAGTATAACAAGACTAAATTGAATGACAGACTAAGGAGTGCTCCAAAGGCGGTCACTAACCAATATAGAAACTAGGCCATTAGTGCATGTCACAAGGTCTTTAAATCGACTAAAGGCATGGTTTCGGAGTGCCAAAAAGAGTAACCATCCAAAACGATAACTTTCTGGCAAATAGCTAGCAGAGTTTGCTGAGGTCTTTTCTGCGTTTGCATCGTATGTCAAGAAGAATTCCCGATACCCACGTTTGTAGTATCTGTTACCAAGGATAGGTACCAAAAAACGTTATACACAGACCAGAAATCTGAAATTATGAATTTTGCGTTAATATGGAAATCCGAGGGAATAATTCAAGCCCAGCTTCTGATATTGAATGGTGATAAAGTTTACTTTCAGATTAGGGGATGTAAAACTGTATCTATTTTAACCACTATCATTCCACCAAACAAACAAAAATGACAAAAGAGTGCAACACAGGAGGGGAACTAAACTCACTTGCTTAGAAGACTAAGATGCACAAAGTTCGCCTGCAGCTCCTTTGCCTAATAATCAAAATTAGCAAAAGGTAACACAGGTTAAGAGAAGAAGTAAGAATTAGCTGTGATGGAAAATAAAAGTATATATAAAGAGCTTAAGCGGTACCTGAAGTCTGTTCTCCCAGTCTGCACCATAAAGTTCACATAGCACAGGACCAGCCTTGACCACAAACTGAGGTAACTCTTTAAAGAAATCCACAATACTGAAACAGAAACGAGGAAGATTATCAATACAGATGTATTGAAAGAAAGAAAAGAAGGAAGGATAAACAGGGCATTACATACTTTAGCTTTAGAGCCCTCAGTATCTGACATAGATTAAACATATTATCACCGGACACTGACTGACCGTCTGCTTCTTTTTTCACCCTAAGCATCTTCACTGAATAGAGAATAAACGCAAACCAGAACCTCTCTACTTCCTCCCGCTAATAAGCAGAATAACAAAGAATTAGTCAAAGTGAACAACACTGTTAACTGACAGAGGAGAGAGAATCAGAAAAATGTATTTTACCGTTCCACTTCCAATGTTAGACATGTTTGCTGACAAAATTGGTTTAGTTTCTGTAAACAACTTCAAAACTTCATCGCAGATGGTCCCTTCAAGAGACAGAACTTTCTGCAAAAGGAAAACAATTTCAAGGATTAGTGCTAGTCTTCAAATTATCGGGGAACTCAGTCGTATTTATGTATGCAATATTCAATTGAATCACCAAAGATAAGAGTAAAACCTCGCATAAGTCCAAGAGAGATGCTTCACTTCTTTTTCCATTGGGGTCAATGGGTGGTGTCACTGGAGGCTGAACTTCTTCCATAGTCTCCAAAGCAGCTGAAAACATGAAAAATCAGGCTAATTGTTCTTCCAAATAAAATTGTTAACTGAAGAAAAAAGAGTACTTTTCAAGGCAATATGATGCGTTGATAAAAATTTGTAAAAAACAAAATTGATGCGTTAATTTAAGGGTTAATCAGAAACTGGACTTCAATAGGAACCACATCAAAGCTATTGGGAAGAAGACACAGAACAAATATTCGAACACATATTAGGGGGAAAAAATTCCTGATTTTAGAAAAACGAACTTTGATGGAAAACCGAGAAATTTAGGGATTAGCTCATATTCTTAAATCCAAGCAAAAAAAAAATCCCCAATTTTTCTCTTGGAGAAAGCTCTCGAAGTTGCAATTGAATAACGAAACACAAATAAAAAAAAATTAAGAAAACCCACCCAGAAATTAGAAATCAAATCCAAGGATATGCAAAAGAGAAAGATCTTACATTTTTGTATCACAGATCCCAAAACGAAACGTCGCTGGTTAAAGCTGAGCAGAAGATCCAAATTTTAAGAACTCCCACTGCTAACGCCTCCTCCGAAAATCGACGAATTAAATAAGAAATAGTGAGAGAGATCTCCGTAAATCCTACAAATTTCCCTCGTCTTGCCTTCTGACTCTCTGTCTCTCTCTCTATCTTCACCTGACTCTCTCTCTCTCTCTTTCTAGACTGGGGGGTCTGATTATGCGGCAAACCCTAAAAAAGAATATATCTCGCGCGGGAAAAACAGCACAAAGTATACATACACATGCGTATACAATTATATACGCGCATTACCAACCACTGATATGTCGACACGTACCCCTATGTGACCCAATTTACCGCCAAAACTTTCTTACTGTTGCGTGAAACGCTGAGAGGGGAAAGATTCGCCGTTACGACGGGGTTAAAACAAACGGAGTGGGACATAAACGGCGTCTGGGTTTTCGTGACCGCGACAAAGCCTCGTGTAAGTTACGATGGGACCGACATCATACGACGCCGTTTTCCAATTGTCGTTTGGTTGGATCTCCCCGAAATTACATCTTTACCATTCTGGAACGTTTGGTTGCAGGAGGTGGAATGTCCTATTCGCTGATGGATTTAGATTTAAAGTCTTGCTTGTTGTTATCTTTGACTGTGAAAGTGTGGATAATATACACTACACTGATCAGAGAGAATCGGATATTTTTCCGACACAGCCAAATCCCGATTAGCTCATGGCGTCACCATCTGACCAAACGGCGAAGATAATCGACGGAAAGGCGATTGCTAATACCATTCGATCAGAGATCGCCGAGGAAGTTCGCGATCTATCTGAGAAACACGGCAAGGTAGACGCATTTTATAGCAATTGTAGTCGTTTTCACGGTTTTAGCACTGTTTGGGACCCAAAGAAACGATTTTGTGTTCTTAGAATTAGTGTTTTGATTTTGGTATGTGTCTCGCTATAATTCACCGTTCTCTTCTAAGCAAAGCGTGAGTGAAGATAATTGGGATACTAGCTCTAAGGTTTCATATGCGTAGCTTTATGCAGCTATGATCACATCTCTTATGTTGCTAAAAAAAGCTCACATTTTTAAGCTCCGTTTCACTTGAACTAACGAAACTGCATCTGCATTGGTCACTTCTAGTTCTAGGAAGATTTCTTGCCTTGGGTTCATGAAAACATTACTTTTTTTTGCGTTGACTCCATTACTGTATTGTCTTGGTTTGCTGGATCTTTAATCTGCCTGCATTACCTCAAGTAGCAGAGTTTCTGACTAAATATCATACAGATGGTGTGCTAAGGTTATATGGTTTAATATCATAACAAAGCAGAAAGGAAGAGAGTGTGTAATAAACAGGTTGAATTTGTTTGTTCTTATTGCTTCAATCGAGTCTGATTTTACCTTCGCGCAGGTCCCAGGACTAGCTGTAGTTATAGTTGGGGTACGGAAAGATTCACAGACTTATGTGAATATGAAGAGGAAAGCGTGTGCTGAGGTTGGGATAAAATCATTTGATGTGGACCTACCAGAGGATGTCTGCGAAGCTGATCTCATAACCAAAGTTCATGAACTCAATTCAGATCCCGAAGTCCATGGTTAGCTTTGTTGTAAAAAAATGCTTGATTTTTTTGGTAAAACGCGAACATTCATTTCTGTCCTGCACTTATATAAGCTCTGGTGCTTGATTTGCAGGTATATTAGTTCAGCTCCCATTGCCGAAACATATTAATGAGGAGAATGTTTTGGGTGCGATCAGCATTGACAAAGATGTAGATGGCTTCCATCCATTGAATATTGGTAAGCTAGCCATGAAAGGCAGAGAACCCCTCTTTCTTCCCTGCACACCAAAGGTATCATTGCTCCGTTCTTTGCATACAGGCTTCGAAAATTTGCCTTGATGTGGACAATTGATGAGGTGATTTGTTGTGTGCAGGGATGTTTGGAACTCTTGGCGAGAAGTGGCATAAAGATAAAGGGGCAACGAGCAGTTGTAGTAGGTCGGAGTAACATCGTTGGTCTGCCCGTTTCGCTCCTATTGCTCAAGGCTGATGCTACTGTTACGACTGTACATTCTCACACCAAGGATCCTGCGGCTATCATACGGGAAGCTGACATCGTTATTGCTGCAGCCGGACAAGCCTGCATGGTGTGATTTTCAGACATTTCACCATCGTCTTTAGTAGACAAATGCGAATCGTTTCATCAATTTAAGAACTGCTGTCTCTTGTCTTGACATTTCAGATTAAGGGAAACTGGATAAAGCCAGGGGCTGCGGTAATCGATGTGGGAACTAATGCAGTGAACGACCCGAGCAGGAAATCAGGATACCGGTTGGTCGGAGATGTGGATTTCGCAGAAGCTTCTAAAGTTGCTGGTTTCATAACTCCGGTCCCTGGTGGTGTCGGCCCAATGACAGTTGCAATGCTGCTCAGGAACACCTTAGACGGCGCCAAGCGGGTCATTGGCCAGTAAAAGAATATCCTACGGTACCTAATAAAGAAACTGGAGTTTCTATCCAATTCTATAATTGTGTGGCTTGATCACATTTCTCCTCTAAGAAATTGTAATTCACATTCCCTTTTGAGTGTTTCATTTCCCTCAATTCAGTACAACATTCCCTTCCATCTGTATTTTTCTTGTATGCATTGATTCAAGATCATGTATCATATTCATTGAAAATCTTAAGCGTATATAAATCTATTTCATGAAAATTTTCAACACAGCGAAGTTATCAAGTCAAAGCATGCTCATCATGGCAACGAAGCTATAACAATCAATATTGAAAATCTCTCCCCTAACGAAGACGGTCGAAGTCTATCTGAAACAGTTTACACTATCACGACAGTGGCGGAAGCATCCGGAATTAACTTTTCATGCTTTCTGCAGTCGAACAAAAAAGTATGCTCTGTAAGTAAAAAAGAACAGCGGCAAGAGAAAAAAGGTAAAGATTGTAACTAAACAGTGAAAAATCCAAACCTGCACAGGAAGATACAGCTTGAATTCAGGAGGAAGCTCCTCTTCTGAGTAGAGACGGTCAGCAAAATATATCCGCCGGAGACGGCAGTTAGCATGAATCTGAACTCGCAATGTCTCAGCGTAGTTCGTCCCATAAGCTCTCTTAGTGAGATCAGCTAAGTTCAGCTGGATTTGATTCCATCCCTCATCCATCTTTAATGGCATTGTGCAAATATATGGCTTCACTCTAGTGACAGACTACAAAAACAAAATCAAATTTGTTCCATCGAAAACATTAATACTAGACTGTATTTTAACAGAGATAAGACATTCCAGCAAGCTTATCCTACAATCAAGTAATCAGTAATCCACCAACTGTTGTTAGTATACTAAACTAAACATTATCTGGAACCTACCAATTATTCGACTGCGTTTAACTAAGAATGATCTTGCTTGATGAAAATAACCAATGACCCATTTCGACAAAAGACCCATCCCCAAGTTCCATAGCAGCATAGAAACTACATAATCTGGAACCTACCAACTTATCCTACAATCAAGTAATCAGTAATCTACCAACTGTTGCTAGTATACTGAACTAAACATTATCTGGAACCTACCAATTATTCGACTGCGTTTAACTAAGAATGATCTTGCTTGATGAAAATAACGATGACCCTAAAAGCAAGCATAGAAACTACATAAGATGCTCTGCTATAAAACAACATCCAGAGAAACTGAATGAACAAGGGAATGACATAATACATACTTGAAAGTTAGAAGCTCGGAAACGCCGGCGCACATTCTTGTCGTCCAGAATTTGAATCTCGAAGGAGAAATATTTCTTCATATTCTTTACTACCAAGACCAAAAAGGGAAGTTTGATACCAAGAGTCGCGGAAAGATCAGCAGGACATGTAATGTATGTAGACTGGATGTTTGATCCAACTACTTCAAGCACATTGGATTGAATGTCATCATCATGGCAACGCTTCACATGGCCATCGTCAACTATGAGTATAAAATAAATAAAGATGATTAGCTAAATTTGTAAACTTCTAGAGAAATTTGCAGCTGAGATAGAACAATCCATTGATAATTTGTTACCCAAAGTTCAAGGTTTTGAATTCATACAGCTGATTTGAGGATTTTTGACAAAAAAATCAAACTACCTAAGATTCAAATCCTTAAATTTAGAAAACCTATCTTATATAATCAATCGCTCACCTTCTTTATCCCATATCTGAAGAGGCTTACTTCTGCAAAAAAGTATCAAAACCATTCATGGTTATGAGAATATCGAACGACTCCGATAAATCAAAAATCAAAACGAAAAATAGTAACAGAAACATACCCTAGACTGTACAAAATAGATAGAAACCCAGACTGAAACGTGTTCTTGAACATCTTCCTGCTTCTCGGAATCGGAAAAGAAGAAGCTCGTAGAAATAAATTCTCACTCAATGCGCAAACAAAGATGCTGCTACAAAATTCTCGTTTTAGAGCTTGGGCCTCGGCCCATTAGGCCTAAAGCTATTCTTTGAGTTAAAAAGACATCAGATGCCATGCATTTTTCCAGTAATGCCCCTTCACATGGATAATACCAACGTGCCATTCTACCGCTTAGCACATGCCACGTGTTATATCTTCTCCACAAAGACTTCGCCACGTGTAGACTAAATATCAGCCAAGCAAGACACGTCTCTGCGCGGAAATGACTAATTTAACCTCTAACCACCGCGTTATCCTCGCACTGCTGCTGAAGGTCATTTTCGGGATGACAAAAAGGTAGGGTCTAGAATTCTGCAAGTTGCAGTGTTATTCATTTCCCCAAGAACGACTTTGGAGACAATAAAAGATATGGGAGTACACGTGTACCAATGAGGAGAGTGCTTTAGATGGAGGAAAGATCAGAGCCACAAATCTCGTCTATGAATTCTGAGCCACGAAAACAAGATCTACCTCACGCGCTCTCTACGTCACGCGCTTGATTTTTCTCTTACTTCTCTCACCTCCTCGGAAGTTGAAACAATACAAACACAATCGTCTGCTCTCTCTCTCTCTCTTTGGTCTTATTTTTTTGCTTACAGGTGAAGATAACCCAATCCAAAGTTTCTCTTCTTTCTTAATCTGAGTGTCTGATTTCTGTCTCTGATCAAAAATTCTCTCATCGGTTCACTGCAAAGTAAGTTTATCTCTTTTCCTTTTGGATTTGTCTTATTAGATTCAGCTTTATTCTCTCATAAGTTTCTGAAATTAGTCAGCTTTGTTTTTTTTTCCATGATAGATCTACCGATTATGGATTGTTATTCCAGAAGAAATTATGAAGAGCTTGTTGTGCCTAATTATCAAGAATCGTCATCAGAGACGTACCCATCTAGTGGTATGTGGGGTGGATGGAGCATGAACTCCCCTGAAGCTGCAGAGAAATGTTTCGATTACGATAGTTTCAGTGGAGAAGAATTGATGTACAATCAGATGGGTATGAGGACGAGTGAAGAAGAAGAAGAGTCCAAGAGGTCAAAGGCTTTCTACGGTGCTTCTTCACTTGACGACTTCGAAGGAATCGAGCAGATGGATGATATGTTCTTGTACAGCCTCTTTCTCCTTCCTCTTTCATTTTCATCACTAAATTTACTGTCTTTACCAAATTTGCATAGGCTTATTATTGTCCTCTCTGTTTCCGGTCTTACTGAAGAAGTTCCATTTTGGAGGATGGTCCAGGGAATGATGGAGATGTTCATCGCGCTTCCAGCAGCAATAACAGTGTCGATTCTTCATATATGTATGGTAGCAGGGAAGTTCCCATGTTCCATTGTCATGCCATGCCCTTAAAGGTAAGAGATTGGTGATTATATGACTCTTAAATAGTATTATAATTATCGAATTGGACCTGATCTATGGTCAACTTGGAGATTTTGATGTTAAAAGTCTAAATATCCTACCTTTTTTTTATCCTGGTTATAGGGAGAGGCTCCATTTTCAATCTCGGATCTGTGTGAAGAGAACATGTTAGATTCACACTATGGGGATGAACTATCTTCTGAAGAACTCGTGTTGCAGGATCTACAGAAAGCTTCAGGAAAGGTGAGATCCGCGTTTTTACATTTTTTCAAATTACTTTGTAAGTTGTAACTTAGATTTTGTCTTAAAAAAAGTTTGTTTATTCTTTCTAGTTAACCGATGAGGCACGAAAGTGTTTCCGGGATACGTTTTACCGGCTGGCAAGAAACTCACAAGAGAAGTTGGATTCAGTCAGCACCAACTCAGAAGAGTTCCATATGCAAGCATCACGATATGATTATGGCGATGCTACAAGGTATAGATCATATTTTTTTGTTTTCTGATTCACAAATGAAATGAAATCATCTTGGTGTTTATAGGATCAAAATCTATATGTTCCTTCTGGATCCATGAGGAACTAGTACTAATTATGAAAAGACTGATTAAAAGTGACAGTTATTTGATTGCAGGTTGAGTAGAGAGGAAGAGATGGAATCAGAAACGAACTCAATCGATAGAGCGATCGCAAACCTCACATTCAACAAGATGGAATCCAACATAAGCAACTTCCCTCTATCGGAAAGAGTACAGTAACTTGTGCTGGATCATCAAAGATCAACCATTGTCGCCTCTCTCAAGTCTTTTTGTTTGTGTATATGTGTGTATATATAGATGGCTCTGATGTTGCAAACTTCAGTTTTGATCTGTCTCAAAAGAATCTGGTTCTCCTTTTACTTCCTGCAGTACGCTTTTTTTAATTTCATTAGTGTGTGTGACGACAATGTTTGATGGCCAAAGACTCGATATAAATAAAGAGCACCATGTTTCAACAACAGCGAAGCATTGATTCAACTATAATCATGACAATAGAGTTTTGAGTTTTGTGAGATTCAAGCACACCCAAAAAACCAATGCTATTATGACCCAAAGCAGGTCGTTTAAACCCAGTTAGTATACTAATACTATTATGAGTCTTCTCTTATCGCTTATAAATTTATAGTTAAAATTATCTATTGGCTTTTCTCCACCTGCAATCACTATAATTAGTGGTAAAAGGTACAATGTTTGCTTGACCTTATCTACAAGTTGATAAGCTGAGTGTGCTTGCTTATCTATGGAATCTTAGTGGAGATTCTCCCAAGTTTGAATCAAACATTTGCTTTCATCATCATCGGTACTAGAGACGTGTGAACCGTGGCGGCCAGATAGATCGTCATCGGTTATGAAACTATTGATGTAGTCGTAATCATCGCTGCTAGATTTCTCCATGTCTTTGTCAACAATCTGGCAGCGATGATTATGATTACAGCAATAGTTTCATAAATATTGACGATCTTGAGATTCAAGAATACTCACTCCATGGCTCTTTTAACTAACTCGAGAATATTAACAATCTTGAAATTCTGTGAAAAGATGTATGACTCTCTTTAACCAACTCAAGAATACAAAATACAATCTATGAAAAAAAAGTAATATATATGCATTTCAAGATAAAATCGATAAGAGGATACGATTCGTAATCCCCAAAACGATACAAGTTCTTGTATTGATCTCCCACGGCGCCACACACTAATATACACAAGAGATAACAACCGTCGAACCCTAATTACCAAAGGATACTTGCCGCCCAAACTAGAATATTCACCACAGATTATCAAAGCCCGATAATAAAAGAGAGCCAAAGACCAGGCCGTATTAATTTTTGGGTCTTTTGTTTGACCAGGGTTTTTTTGGCGCGCGCCCTTGTTTGTTTATTTATTATCAAGGTTTTTATTGTTAAGTGAGTACAGAATTTTTAAAATTTTGTTTAGGAAATATCAAGGAACAAATTTAAATTGGATAGCAACTAGCAAATGAGTTACCAATATTTTAAAATTAAAAATTAGTAAATGATGACATGACCTGCATTTGTGATTTCGGCGGTTTTAAAGTCGTCGATGTGTTACTATCAAAGACTCAGTCTTGAGCACGTTGTTTGTAAATCAGATCATTGAGCACACGCATTTATTCGAGAGGTATTGTTCTTTCTTCTCCTCCAAGAAGCTGTTGCAGCTAATCACCAATTTGTTCTGCGGCAACAATGCTATGACTCGACGTTACAGTAGGTTTCCTCGTTTTCTGCTTTCAATTTACAACGAGTCTCGCAACTTCTGGGTTTGTCAGAGACAGAACATTAGAACTCTGGTCTGAACCCATATTTCCATTTGAAGTACTTACACACCAATCTCTGGATCTTCAGGAGCTTTCTTCACCTCTTGTGAGATGAAGAAACGTTTCATATATAACGGCTTTTATAATTCGGAAGGGAGAGAGGTCGCTGTAATTCTTTCAATCTTCTCTGGCTACCATAACAATTCAGAATTTTGAAAAATAACAACACAACTCACTCCAAAGTGAGATCCTTTAATTCGTTGTATCCACAATCTCGAAATTCTCTCGAGTATACATTACATACATTGCTTCAACAAAAGTTACAAAAGCATACACATTTCCCACAAACAAAAGCAACATGTTCACATCCGAGATGTGGTTTCTCAAACTCTGTTCAGTCTTTAGGCCAAACACTGACCTTCTCCTTCTGGATCTTGACAAACATAGCAGAAACAGCCGCGACGAAATAGATCTGAAGAAACACCACAGAAGGCGTGTGGTAATTCAATACGCTCTTACCCGTCGCGAGCTCAACGAGAAGCAAAGCCATGAGCCCTAATCCGGCAATCCTCCCGTTGATCCGTTCGCTGTATGGACTAAACCCTAATTCCACTTTTAACCCATCGGAAACCGGCTCTTTTAGACTCACCGCCGGCAAATACATCCCCGAACCTTTTGACGCGGGCCCGATCGACCCTTTCTTCGATTTTCTCACCTCTGCTTTCTTCCCCGTGCCGCTTCGGTACCTGAGTCGGATGTTTGAGAGACGAGACTCGAACTGGTCGGGATCCGAGCTGGATTCAAGCTGAGTCGCTTCTGAGTCGGGTTGAGTCTCCTCCGTGGACTCGACGTCGGTGGCGCGGACGGTGAAGAGTTTCGGAGTATGGGGCTTTCCGGCGGGAAGAAAGCACAGAGATGGGAATGGGTTGGTGATTCGTAGAGGTGTTATCGCCATTTTTTTTAGAGCTTCGTGTATCTCTCTGCGTCAGTGTCTTTTTGGATAAGAGGTTTCATTTTATCTATTTTGTTTTTCTTCATTTCTTTTACTATATTTTTTTTAGCATTTCCGCTTTTTATTACCCACCTTTAATTTGTGTATCCACTTATTTTTTATATAAAGAGCTAACATTTTTAGTGGTATTCATTTTTCTCAAAAGTTTACTAGGTTTTTTAGTGAACATCCACTTACTTATAAAGCAAAAGAAAACACATACTCAATCTTCAAAATCTGTAACTAACAAAAAGAAATATTTATATATTCAAAGAGATTCCAAAGTCGAGTTTTTAAACTAATCATCAAAGTTAACAATAATCGGAAAAATTCAAACTCTTATTCTCAATTTACAGAGAGATCTCCTTTTAATCAGTCTGTGGACTACTCGGTTTGGTAACTTTTGTTTTTTTGTACAAATGAAATTCGATGTGGAATGGTATGACCAACACGATGATATATATAGTACGAGTTGGGTATAGTTTTTTAAAAATTTATACTTAAAAAAAAAGAAAAATAGATTTATAGTTCATGGAAATTTTGCGAACCCATAATTCGAGAGAGGGCAATTCCATAAAATATACAAAGCAGGAGACTATTTTAATAAAATAACGGAGAAAAAAGAAGTACATATTATAGTCATGCTATTGACCACATGGAGATGAGTCTCCCTTTTCCAACCTTTCTTCTCACTTTCCCATTTCATTCTCTCTCCTTCCCCAAATTACATCTCCACACAAACCAGCAAACATCTCTCCCTCTCTATCTCTTCGGTAGCTTGGAGCTTCACTCATGGCCGCCTCATCCTTCGCAGATGGTAACCGATTAAATCTTATTTTAGTTTTCACTTAATTACACATCTCTAAACTTTTCAGTCTTTTCCATACGATCTACAATTTTTGATTCGATTTTGGTTAATAAATTTTTTGTTTTGTTGAGCTGGAAACACTGCCTTAGTTTTGAGCAGCCTCATATAATTATTCCCTTCGACTCTGGTAGTTGTTTGATTGTTTACGTGATTGTCGGAGAGAATCTTCAACGGTTGTCTTGTCTGTGATCTTCATGGTCCCTCGTCTTGTCTGTGGAATACCGAACCACCCATATGCTTCACTTGAATTTTGTAAATATTATATATCCAAACTAATATAAACTTTGATTGATGGAATAATATAATTTCTGTTGGAAGTTCCCTAAATACACACGTAGATGTGTAGTATATTATTCCAGATCTAGTTAGTTGAATTGACACCTTCCTGGTTTAGTTGAATTGAGATTTTGTCTGTTGAATTTTTTTCAGGAGAAAGAGATATGGAGAAAAGTGGAATGATATTACAGTCGAGTGAGAATCAAAATCCTATGACTGATCCTTCACCAACGCCTTCACCGTCTGCAACAGCAACCGCACCAGCTTTGGTTTTGTCTAATTCAGGCAAGAAGATGGACCAAGCTGGGAAGAAAAAGTACGTTAAGCAAGTCACGGGTCGGCACAACGACACCGAGCTTCACTTAGCAGCTCAACGGGGTGATTTGGCAGCTGTACAGCAGATTCTCAAGGACATCAACTCTCAGATGGAAGGGACTCTGAGTGGTGAAGAGTTCGAAGCTGAAGTCGCGGAGATCCGAGCATCGATTGTGAATGAGGTGAATGAGTTAGGGGAGACGGCGCTCTTCACTGCCGCAGACAAAGGCCATCTCGATGTCGTCAAAGAGCTTTTGAAGTATTCGAGTAGAGAGAGCATTGCTAAGAAGAACCGTTCTGGATATGATCCGCTTCATATCGCTGCCATTCAAGGTCATCATGGTAATGCTTCCTCGCCTCTTGGATTGGCTTTTGGTAAAATGAAGTCTCACAAACTGTTTCTTCTCTTATGTGGAATTAAAAAATGGTTGTTTCTTGCAGCTATTGTTGAGGTCTTGCTAGATCATGATTCGACGCTTAGCCATACGTTTGGCCCATCGAATGCAACTCCGCTTGTGTCTGCAGCCATGAGAGGTCATACAGAAGTTGTGAACCAGCTCTTATCCAAAGCTGGGAATTTGCTGGAAATCTCTCGGTCTAACCATAAAAATGCATTGCATCTAGCTGCAAGGCAAGGGCATGTAGATGTCATCAAAGCTTTGCTAGTCAAGGATCCTCAGCTAGCAAGACGGATTGATAAGAAAGGGCAAACTGCACTTCACATGGCAGTAAAAGGACAGAGCTCGGAAGTGGTGAAACTGCTGCTTGATGCAGATCCCGCCATTGTTATGCTACCGGACAAGTCTTGTAACACGGCTTTGCATGTTGCCACAAGGAAGAAACGAGCAGAGGTATGCACCACCTTCGAGGGTTTTGATTCATTTCGATAACTTTACACTAATTGGGTGTTTAACATTTTGGCGTATTCTTGCAGATTGTAGAACTATTGTTGTCACTGCCTGATACCAACGCCAATGCTTTAACCCGGGAACACAAGACAGCACTTGACATTGCAGAGGGGCTTCCACTCTCTGAAGAGTCTTCATACATAAAAGAATGTCTTGCTCGCCGTGGAGCTCTTAGGGCGAATGAGCTGAACCAGCCGAGAGACGAGCTGAGAAGCACTGTCACCCAAATCAAGAACGATGTTCATATCCAGCTGGAACAGACGAAAAGAACGAACAAAAACGTGCACAACATTTCCAAAGAACTCAGGAAACTCCACAGAGAAGGGATCAATAATGCAACAAACTCGGTAACTGTCGTGGCTGTATTGTTTGCAACTGTTGCCTTTGCTGCTATCTTCACGGTGCCGGGAGGAGACAACAACGACGGATCAGCAGTGGTGGTGGGGCGAGCATCGTTCAAGATATTCTTCATCTTCAACGCGATCGCATTGTTTACTTCTCTTGCGGTCGTGGTGGTCCAGATCACGTTGGTGAGAGGAGAGACAAAAGCTGAGAAGAGGGTAGTGGAAGTGATCAACAAACTGATGTGGCTGGCATCGATGTGTACATCGGTGGCGTTTTTGGCGTCGTCATACATAGTGGTTGGGCGTAAGAACCAGTGGGCGGCTGAGCTGGTGACGGTGGTTGGAGGTGTGATAATGGCTGGTGTTCTTGGAACCATGACTTATTACGTGGTCAAGTCCAAGAGGACAAGGTCGATGAGGAAGAGGGTTAAGAGTGCGCGCAGGAGCGGTTCCAACTCGTGGCATCATTCGGATTTCTCAAACTCGGAAGTCGATCCCATTTTCGCGATATGAGATGCATAAAACGTAATCATGTAAATATATTGTATTTTGGTGAAGAGAGCTTAGACTAGACGATTTTGTGTATAAAGCCTGAAACATCAAAAGGCAAACACAATTGTCACAAAGTGTAAACACTGCTAAACTCATTATGTTCCAAAAACAAAAAAAATGTTAACCAGTTGTCTTTAGAAACAAAGTAGAATCAGAGTGGATTGTGATGCTGAATCTCAAGCTTGCTTGCAGAGCAAAGGAAGTTACTGAAATCAAGGAAACACCACAGAACAACTAATACTTAACTTAGATTGAGAGAGAAGAGCAGTCGCACCGCAAGTCACAGAGAAAAATGAATAATAGCATACTGTTTGCCCCATATGATCCAAAGACCAAAGAATGATGCAAGGTTTGCTTTTTTTTTTTGTTTATAATGGCAATTCTCATTTGAACAAAGTAACTGTTCACAAGTACTGTGGCCAAACAACCATGGAATAATGCGAACTTGCAGAAGAAGAAAAAAAAGCCATGGAAGTGAAGTCAGTGTAGAAGTAGCTTAGCCAAGAGTTTGAGGCAACAATTCAGTGTAAGCTATTAAGAAAACAAGATAGTAGCTAGTAATTTCCAGGTATCCACCAGAACATATTTGCAGGATTTTAAAAAAGTTTACTTGAAACTTGTTGGATCGTGAAGTAACACTCATTAAGCTAGCTGCAAAAGAGAATTTCAAGTCTACAGCACGATGATTTCACCATTGGATCATTCAATCTTCTTCTAACAAACAACGGTACAAGAATAAGAAATCTCAATCCAATTGTAACAAAAACCAGAAACACTTGTCTAAATCGAAGTTGAAAAATTATTTGATAGGCTGGTTCGGAAGCACAAACACAAAAGGGAATATTTCAGCTCACTGATAATGGAAGCATTTCGATTTGAGAAATTGAAAAACTTCCTCCTCTATGCGCCACTCTCATTTTCCGACGCAGGTGGTGCCTGCAACGTATTGACGAGATCTAACGCCGGCCAGTGCAAAGCACCGAACATGGTATTATAAACATCGGAGCGAGATGGCATCGTCTCGATAACCTTGTAATCTTGAGGAGCGTACAGCTTTTCCTCGAAGACGGCACCGCCTAAGTTATTGTCGTAGAGCTTCTTCTCTTTCTGGAAACTGATGAAAGTCTTCAACGCCGCAGGGATATCTTCGGTTTGCACGAAGATCCAAGCGTTCATACCCTTCATACATGGCTTCAGAGACTCCCATTTCGTTCCTTCCAAGGCTTTGTATACCAGAGTGTTCTTGGCGACGAGGAGCTTCGTATTGCTGTTTTCCCGGAGAATCCCACGGAGCTCCTGTAGCTGCTTCACGCTCAGGCCGTTGTAGTTGATTCCGGTGATAAAATGGCAGTTCTCGAGGTTGATCTTCGTCTTCCCCGCAACGAGCAGAGCTCTTCTGAGGCTAGACATCGCTGCGATTTCGATCCAGAAGAAACCAAGCTCGAGATTCGATCCCGAAATGAGAAAGCTAGGGTTCTCACTTCCGAGAACCGGAGAGGTTTACACACACAGTGGTCAAATTGGGCTATTCTGTGTTGGGCTATGGATATGATAAAATATATATTTTTTTTTTAAAAATCTAAGTTTTGGTTAATTGTCCAAAGAAAAAACATTATCATCCTTCTCACTGCATTAGGCAAATAACAAGAATAGAGATCAGATATGAATTACAACCCAATAGGAAGAAAGTCACAAATTGTTGTATCGAATCTGGTATCTTCGAAGCCAATCTTCACCTTTCCCGTAGTAATCAACCTTGGTAAATGCATTCCTCAAGAAGTTCAAATCAGCAGCAAACGCAGAAGCTCCACGCCACGCATCAAGCTCTGGGTCCATAGCTCGAACCACATGTATGGTCGATCCACACGGTCTTATCATCCTCATCCCGGACTCCAACCGCTCTTTCATCCCCGGGGTAAGGCTGCACCCACCCGTCATCAGTATCGAGCTCGTTAGCCTCTCCTCCAACTCTCCATCATCGTGTGGTAGCCTCCTGATCGACGCACCGCCCATCTCGTCTAACCCTACTTGCTCAATGCCGACGAGGTTTGGATGGAACAGGATCTCTGGACAACGGAATCTCTCGACACCAATCACTATCTTGTAGTCTTCCTCTGTCAATGGACGAACACGTTGAGCCTCCCCTGATGTCTGATTCGACTCTTCCTCTGCTTTCATCACAAATGTTGGGTCGATTTCCTGAAGCCTGGATGACAAACGAGCCAACTCGGCCTCGTCTGAATCAGGCTGCTCGTCATCTTCGTCGTGGTCCTTGCTCATAAGTTTGTAGAGCTGCCAATCTTCGTCTCTAGAACCAAACGTATCCTCGCCTTTGCCTCTGTCGAAGGCTGCTGTGGTCAGCAGACGCATTCTCTCTCTCTGTGCAGCGCTTAGTCGTTCGCCTCGCCCAACACCTCCAGTCTTTTGATTCCCGTTTGTATTCGATCCGTTTGTTTTCAGACGTTTCTTTTGATCAACTCTCTCCAACACTTCCTTGTACTGAGCTCGCATCTCCTCTAAGTAGAACTCTGGGTTCTCACTGCAACCAGAACAAGGTGAGAACAACAAAAATGTTTACTCTTTTCCTCCTATTTTTTGCTTTCTAAACATATTTATTAGCTAATGAATTGGATACATACCGACGTCTTTCCTCCTCTAATTGAATTCTTCTCTCTTTCTCCAGTTCCTCCTCATTACGCTTTTGTCTAGCTCTTAGCCGTCCCTCTGTTGTTGTTTTAAGAAATATCTGTCTCCTCTTGTCCTTAAGCTGCATGCAAGAAATGATTTAAAACCAGATTAAGATATGAGTGAAGGATTTCGCACTATCATGGAAACAAACCTGCTCAGGTGTAAGCATGTTGTCGGGGACATTCATAAGAGGATACTTTTCATTATTAAGAGAATCAGTGTTTTCTTCGCTCTCATCTGGTTCTTCTTTCGGCTCACCCCTTGCTTTTCTAAGCGACTGTGTCACTTTCGAAACAGTAGATTCTAGCTCTTGCCTGGACGCATAACCGGTGTCTGACAAAAAGGATGGAATATCATCCTCTTCAACCTGGTCAAGTTGGTTCACGAGGAAACGCAAGCTGCGCAATTCGTTTTCCATCTCATTTATCTTGGAAGATCTCTTTGCCTCGGCCATTTCTCGCAGCCTTTGACCTTGTTTTTCTCTTATAGCTGCCTTCCTCGCAATCTCTTCTTCCGATGGAGGAACTTCGACAGGAGGAGGTATCCATGGAAGCTGCCAATACCTTGTCTTCTCTTCAGCTTCTTTTGTTCCTTCCTGATCAATGACGATCATGTGGTTTTTTAGTTTACTAGCGTCACATACCTAAGATAAGAAACGAGAGAAATGAATAATCAAATTACCTGGAATTTCCGAACTTCAGAAGCATAGTCAGGAGCGATATAACCATGTTCCAATTTCAAATCTTCAGCTTTCTCCCATGTAAACCTAGACCTTTTGTGAATTTGATCATGGAGAGAACAAAATATCAAATCTTGAAATGTGGGGAATGACAATTGGGATAGATAGATCCAGTGGAAGCACTCACGAATGAAAAGGGTACTTAAGTGACAGAAGCTGCTTTAAATAATCAGTGACATGATATCCACCAATGTTGGTTCGGCAGGATCCTTTATAAACAGGTTCTCCGTCGACAAACTGTAACAAATGAATTATCAGACCAATGGCTGAGTAATTGACGGAAAGGAATGGGTTTCAGACAGAAAAGGAACATCCGTTGTAGCCAAAGATACATACCGGAATGGCGTGTGTTGTAGTGAAGCCAGGACAGACAACAATTCCATCTTTTTTACATAACCCGTGTAGTTGATTGTACTTATAGCTGAAAGCAGCATCCACTCCAAATGCTGTGACGAAGCCATACACAAAAGAAGCCGTAATCAATTATATCAAACACTTGTTTCAAAAAGACGAATCAAATTCAGAAACCAAACATAAAACTGAGATTCGTACCAACTGCAGGCACTCCATAAGTCTCAAATAGCAGTTCTGCCATCTTGCTACGAGATTGAACTGGGTTGCATACACATTCTGTTATCAGGATCGGATGATCAATCTGCCCAGCCATCAAATGACACGTTAATTCAAGAGATAAATTCCGATACGGTCCATACGGAGTAAAATGAAACACAAAATCAAGATGAAAGAGAAAAAGATCTAAGACATACCACTGATCCATTAGCCCCCAAACGATCAAAGGCGAAGTCAAGAATCTAAAAACATTAGGAAAATGAAATAGATAAGTGACACAGGTTTTGCATTGATCGCATTTACTAATGAGAAAAAAAAATGCAGGAGGGAGTATCTCAGAGTTACAGTTTCGAGTTTGATACAACATATACATTCTAAAAAAAAATCAGAACAGAAACATCAAAGAACTTTGGAGTACGAGATAACAGTTAAACCAGCCAAACCAAATACAAACTGATGTATAAGAGCAGCAGCTCACAGAAAAGAGACAAAAGAAATTACAAATCATACAAACAACACAATCCCTTGTTGTCAAATAAACGGGTTTAGAATGCGTACATATTCCATGAGCTCGAACTGATAAACCACGTTGCTGTCAAAAGCCGAACGTGGTCCAGACCGAGTGCAATCAAAATACTTCATCAACGCGGGATCTTGGTCGCCAACGATAGTAACAGTTTCACCTGTATTTAAAAAGAAGACCACTCTATATAGCATTACTCATAGATAAGAACACAGAAGAAAGCCAGTAAGAAAAAACAACTTCAAGTATAGTCATATATCTCTAAATCGCACAGCCTGGAGCTTCTAGGAATACAATGTTAAGAAAATAAGGAGAGTCATATATCTCTAAAATCACAGCCTGAGCTTCAAGCAGCTAAAGAGACTCAGCAATTCTAGCTCAACTAATTATTAAGATCAATAAGAGGAAGAAATATGGAACATATCATTAGAGCCATTTGTTACTCTAGCAGCAAAGGAGTAAACACCGATCATATGAAAGAATGCACAATTTTTAAGACCTGTAGCTTTGTGGCGTGGTCTTTGCACGATATTGCGGAAAACAACACGAGGCTCCGTTTCTCCTGCCCACCTGAAACCCGAGAGAAAGTCACGGTTTGTATTGAATAAGTGGAATACGATTATACAAGCCAATATCAGAAGTATGACTGAGTTAGGGCTAAAGAAGGAATTTAGAGATTATGGTAAAGGTACCCGATACGGAAGTAGGAGGCGCCATTATCGATAACGATGGGAATCGAAGATGGGAAGACATTGTAATCAGTCTGCCTGCGTATCCTCGAAACGAACGGCATGCTTAACTTCCTTCTGTTTTGCCGCCGTCCGTCGTCGTCTGCTCCAGAATAAGTAATAGGCCGCCTAGAGCTCCGGTGAGGAAAGTAGAAGATATAGATGGAGCTCCGGGACGTCGAAATATTCAATTAGGCCTAAAGCCCCAAATGTCGAAGGTAACCGAACTTAATTACGGTATTTAGTAGAAGTAAATAGCATTGTTAAGCACTTACAATCAAGTGCCGTCTTAGCTCAGTGGTAGAGCGCGTGACTTTTAATCCCGTGGCCGTGGGTTCGATCCCCACAGACGGCGTTCGTGGGGCGTTCTTATTTTTGGTGCTTTTATATAATTGAATAATCCGACCAACTTTTTCAGCAGATAAGATAAAGCCCAATGGACAAGGTATATTGCCATTCGTATAAGTTTTGGGCCTTTTGATTTTACTCACAATGATAATATTAACATTCACTCAGTCGACTCTTCACTACCATAACAGTTAGGTCTCTAGGGTTTTAGGTTTTCCGCACAAATCACCAATCTCCTCCCTCTCTCTCTTTCTTCACTTCAACAACACATACCATGACTACCGAAGAGAAAGAGATCCTCGCCGCCAAATTGGAAGAACAAAAGATCGATGTAATTGATTCTTTTTTCGCCTTCTCTCCCTATGTTTACCGCGTCTTTTTATTGTTATCTTTAGCTGGAAAATAACTAGGCTGGATTCAGATTTTTAATATCTTCGCTCCCAGATCTTAGTGTTTTGCTTCGTATGTGCTAATATTGGAGCTATGCAACTTTAGATCTGAATTAAATAATTTACAACTCTATGAATTCTCAGTTTTTCAATCATTTTTAATTATCGATTACTATAGCATGTGTCTGATTTGATTGGTTTTTGGATTGCTGTGTTTTGCTTTTAGCTTGATAAGCCTGAAGTTGAGGACGATGATGATGAGGATGACTCCGATGACGACGACAAGGATGATGATGAGGAAGAGGGTAAGTTCTCTTGCTTTTAATTCTTTCATTTGATCTGTTCATTTCCTTGATCAAATTACTGCATGTTGGTACAGATTCTAGTATTTTTGTCAAGATTTCCTTTGAGTCTGTGTAAATGTGTAAAAGATTTATTGGTATTTGACCAAAAGAAGCTTCAAATGAATCTATATGTATAATGAATGTTTTTGGTTAGTATAATTCTTGCTTCAAATGATGTTTCAGTCTAGTTGAGCTCATTATTGAGGTGTGATTGGTGAAACAGGACAAGATGGAGAGGCAGGAAGTAGGTCAAAGCAAAGCAGAAGTGAGAAGAAGAGTCGCAAAGCTATGCTGAAGCTCGGGATGAAACCTATCACTGGTGTCAGCCGTGTAACCGTCAAAAAGAGCAAGAATGTTAGTGTTTTTTCTTCTGGGAAATTCATTTCTTTTTACCACTTTTCCATAGATTTTACACATGTAAATGTACTGAAAAGTTTTGTTGATTTTGCTTTGGAACACAGATCTTGTTTGTCATATCGAAGCCTGATGTCTTCAAGAGCCCTGCATCAGACACATATGTGATCTTCGGAGAGGCCAAGATCGAGGACTTGAGCTCTCAGATCCAGTCGCAGGCGGCAGAGCAATTCAAGGCTCCGGATCTCAGCAGCGTGATCTCGAAGGGTGAGTCGTCGAGTGCTGCAGTGGTTCAAGATGATGAAGAGGTTGACGAGGAAGGTGTTGAGCCGAAGGACATTGAGTTGGTGATGACCCAAGCAGGAGTGTCTAGGCCCAAGGCTGTCAAGGCCCTCAAGGCTGCTGACGGAGATATTGTCTCTGCCATCATGGAGCTTACAACTTAAATCGATATCTCTTTCATCTTAGATGTGGTTTAACTTTGAGTTATGTGCCAGAGATTGTCCAGCAGATTTCGGAAATTTTTGGTTTTGATGTTTTTCTTCAAGTGATTTTCAATGTTGTATCAGTATAAACCTCAAAAATTATTGATTTTCGGTTTGGTTTAAAGTTGATATCCAGTGTTTGCGGTTTAGTAGGGTTTCTCCTTAGTCCTAGTCCTTAATGGGACCGTATAGATGAGCTCGACTCAAACATGGTTTTTTAGTTCTTCTCACCTTAATAATCAGTACAAGGCAACGAAAGATTCAAAGGCACACACAGTGGAGACCGTTCAATGGTAGAACCGAAAGTGACGAAGAAAACCAGTTGATTCATTATATAATAGATTGTTCATCACAAAGATCCCCCAAACATTAAAAGTATTGATAAATGACAAAGGAGATGGTTTCTCTTATCACAAACTGAACAAAAGAAAAAAACCGTGATCCATTCAAATCTGTATGTGCACAGCTGTGTAGATGATGTATATGGAGTCCATGGGCATTTTAATTCAATCTTCAAGAGGAATATCGTCACACTATAGCCACAGAATTCTCCTCAAAGATGCTAATCTCAGACTATATAACCAGAGCATTGTGTGTCACAGCATCCCCACCAACCAAAAAGCTGAATTTCATTCACGAATGTAACCTACCTGCGATCGCTGCAACTTGAGCTTCCATCTGTGCTGCCCTAACTTTAGAAGCCGTGGCTCGGTGGAAGAACTGTTCCCTCGACAAAAGCCTCACATTCCTCAAGTACTGATCAAAGGGAACAACGCCATCTTGAAACGACTTATCCAAGGAATAAATAGCATCTTCAATGGCTAAATCCAAAGCAGTACACTCTAACATCTGCTTGGAGAGCGTGTCAACACACTCGAAGGCATTATCCACATCGAAATCAACTAAATTCTTCGTTTTGCATTGGTTCTCTCTGACCCAAGAGTCTAGAATATCAGTGTTCATGGAGATCACCTGTAACTGCTGTTCAAGTGTTTCTTTCTCCCCCACCATCTCCTTCAGACCCCTGTTGAGCTCCTCCTCTCTCCTCTTCAGCCCTGCTTGCAAGCTAAGTAGCTCTTCTGCTTCCGCTTCTCTGGCTCTCCTCATTGAAACGAGGTCACCATGAACCATCTCCACCAGCTTATTGATCGCGTTTTTCTTGTAAACCTCCGCCGCATCATCTGACTGCTGCTGGTGGTGAACGTGCTGCACCTGCACCCTGCCTCCTCCGCCGTAGGGAGACGGCGGGAATGGTCTCGATAATGACTGATCAGCCGGAGGAGGCCGTGTCAGTGGCGAATCGTAAGAAGGCGGAGTCGGTGACTGCGTAGGCTGCGGGCGGCGTCGCGAGTAGAGAGGCGGATCACGAGCAAATGCAGCGCTGAGATCGGAGGCGAGATCTACCAGATTGGAGCTGGGATAAACCCAATTCTGGAGATACGGGAGGGAGACGAGACCTGAAGGAGTGACGTGTGCGTGAGGTCGCTTGATGATCATATCAGCAGTGGGATTCACATAGACGCAGGGAGGATGACGAGGGTATGATTCGAGGAGCCAGATGATGACAGGGATGTTGTAGGTGACTCCATGAAAAGGCATCGGGATCGTTCCATCTGCTTGAAGGAGGTTGACGGAACGGCCATCGTTGTGCGTAAACGACGCTGTTTTGGGCTCTAAGGAAGGGTAAGCAGAGATTAGATTAAGGAGATGTTGCCGGATCAACCACTTGGTGGACTCGTCGTAGGGTACGGAGGAAGGACCGCGCTGAGAGAGCACGGACGAGAGAAATTGCTGGACTTGCTGTGGATTCAACGGCGAAGGAACCATCGGAGTTTAACGATGTCGGCGAAGGAGGTCCCAAATTGAAGAAGTAGAAGACGAAAAAGGGAAAGGGAATTTTGCTTATGGAAGATGAGAAGAAGCAATGTTTTTACGCGTCTTTAATAGGTAATGACTCTTTTGCCCTTAATCAGAACCGGTTCGATTAAAATTTTGGATAGAACATTTAATTAGACCAATCCATCAACTTTGTAACCAAAGAGATTTATACTAATCAATGATTAGTAATCATCATGGATTAACAGTTTTAACACGAATGAAAGACAGACTTTTTTAGAAGGTAATGACTCTTTTGCCCTTAATCAGAACCGGTTCGATTACAATTTATGATAGAACATTTAACTAGACTAATCCATCAAGTTTGTAACCAAAGAGATTTATAACTAATCATCATCATGGATTAACAGTTTACAGGAATGAAAAACAGACTTTTTTCCTCACAAGCTAACAAAAGAAAGATCCAAGAGATAAGCGCAACAGTAACATTCAATTGATATTTCTTTTCAAACTTCCCATAGACGTTCCCAGACACCGAGCTTGGCGCAAACACAAACATCTAGTGACGCCTGAAGTATCTGTTCATCGGAAAGCTCGTAAACACTCCAATCGCTCCTGGATATCTCCGGATCTAGCCTCACTCCTTGAAAACCCATACGTTCATGGAAAATCGCTTCAAACGAACGACCCCTCATGTGGCAGCCCTGCGAATCTCGAACATAGTTCCTAATGTCCAGAAGCTCTCCCATCTGCAACCGATGCCTACATGTTGCTAGCTTCCTTGCGTCTTGACTGTTCCGGACGCCGACGTAAGTCGTTTGCGGATCCGTGAGGAAACTGCGGAGTTCGTCGGGGACATCGTCACAGTAAGATAGCTGGATTATGAGACATTCATTACCCACGCTTAACTGGAGAGTGTCTGCTGGAGGATCGACGTAGTAGCGAGGCGGTGAAGGATCGGCGTAGTAGCTATCCCCTGGAGGACTGGAGTGAGGATCATCCGCTGTCCACTGAACGCCGACTCCAACGACGAGAGGATGAGAGAAGAACCGAGCGCTGTTGTTGTATAGGACGTTGCTGATCCATTGGCTGATGACGGAGGCAGTCGGCGTTACGGTGACGATCAACTCCATTCCAAAGAAATCGACAGAGTGCTCTTGGTGAGAATTGTAAATTGCGACGGTTTCAATCGTCGGAGCCATTGATGAGCTTTTTTTTTTGTTCTTCTTGCTTTTTCTCTGATTTGAGAGATGATAGAGGGACGAAGCGAATCTTTTTTATTGTTATCCTCGCGGAGGGTGTTTGTACTATATGTAAGCCGGTGGTGCTTTTTAGGGTGTGTACTTACACGAAGTTTTCACCGTTGATCTTTGGATGCATCTGTACAGTTATAATCGGACGGTTAAGAATTGAGATGCATCGTCAGGCCTTTATCATACGAATGTATATAACACGCAAAGTAATTTACTCTTACTAAATTTACAGCTCCCAATATTGATTTTTATTTGTTTTAAAAAAGTTTGGTGAACATATGGAAAACTGAATCAGGGGCAATACTAGTTTACCAGATATCTTAAGATTATATTAGTTGATTCATTTTTCAGTTCATTTTAGTATTTTCGTAAAATCCAGCTTCGAATAAATCAAAATAAGACTGTTAAAATATTCTTTGACGTATGTATCTTCCATATTTTTCTTACATCGTTTGTTTTATTTTCGATCAAACAAGCCAGCTCAGATTAGTATAAAATCAACCTTTTGAAATTCGTCCTGGACAAATATTAAATCAAGGGTTAACAATGTAGTAACTTCGTATATATTTGTTGGCAACTTTTTATATCATCTGATGATAAAGAAAAAAAGTTGTACAAGATGTTCTACCCAAAGTTACTAAATTGACTAACGATTGGAACCAAAAAAAAAAAAAACAGCTTATTAAATCTTGAATAAAAGAAGAGAAGAACAGCTTTTGTAGCATCATCATAAACCCTAATAGAAGAAAGATTCTCACGTTTTGCAGCATCGATGACATTCCTTTGAACTTTTCTTTTCAGACTTCCCATAGTCTTCCCAAAACACCGAGCTTGCAGCATACATAAGCATCTACCGACGCCTGGAGAATCTGAGCGTGGCTAAGGTCGTCGACACTCCAATCGCTCATGCTAATCCCCGGATCTAGCCTCACTCCACGAAAACCCAAACACCCCTCAACAATATGCTCGAACGAAAAAGTCCTCATGCTCCTTCCCTCCGAATTCACCACGTAGTGCCTGATGTCCAGAAGCTCCGCGATTCCCAACCCGTGACCTGATTGCCATAGCTTTCTCGCGTCTTGGTAATTCCACACGCCGACGAAAGTTGTCTGTGGATCGGCGAGGAATCTGCGGAGGATTTGCGGGACATGGCCACAGTGAGACAGCTGGATGATGATGCACCGTTTACCCACGCACAACTGGAGAGTATCCGCCGGAGGATCGTAGTAACCAAACGGTGTCCACTGCACGCCGACTCCAACGACGAGAGGGCGATGACGATGCCAACGACGGTGGTAGAAGACGGCAGCGTTGATCCATCGCCTGATGACGGAGGTAGTCGGGGTTACGGTGACGAACAGATCATTTCCGAAGAAATCGACAGAGTACTCTTTGTGAGTATTGTAACTCGCGACGCTTCTTATCGTCAGAGCCATTGCTTTTCCTTCTGCTTTCTTTCTGATTTGAGTATGAAGGAGAGAGAGAGCAAATAGAAAACGGTTCGTCTCGCTCTCTTTTTTCTTGTTATAGTCTCGGATGGTGTTGAGAATTTGTACTCTCTACTCGTGCTCTTTACTGTCGATTTCAAAGAGGAATTATCACCGTTGATCTTTTGTGATGCAGTTAAACTTGGACGGCTGAGATTAATAAGCCAGGGCATAGCCTGTATGACGTCGTGAATACGACACGCCTTCATCGACTCCAAACCCAAAATTTCACTGATTTGATTCTTTTGCCGTTTCTTTTTTTGTCCGCACTCGGTACTGTAAAATTTACCCTTCACGGAAAAAAGAATTAGTGAATATTTCAAAAAATTTGACCAAAAAAAGTGAAAGACTCCAAATATCAAAATTACGGATATTTTCGGTACATTTTCAGTTAATGGATTTAATTTCCCTTGGGGAAAAGCAAAAAAAAAGGCCAGTCCATTCTGAAGAGTGGTTAAATCCAGTCCAACATTTAAGTTATATATGGCTAGAGGTTACATGTTTAATCAACCATTTAACTATAGCTTAAGTTAAACAAATCCAAAATGTTATTGTTTTGTTGGTTACTCGGTTATTTCTCGATAAGTTAAAGGCTTTGTTAATCATTTATTTTGAATAGAAAAAATATATTTTCGTCCATGTTGGAAGAAACAAAAGAACAAGACGGTTCACATTTAAATCGACTGTAACAGTAAGGCGCCATGACGTACTCGGTATGCTTTATGGTACGTCGTGTTTTTTTTTGTCGATCATCAAAGCTTAATTTAATCGATCAAAACTTTATACAACCTTGGGTTGTTTGTTCACTTGTTTTATGAATGCTTAGTGATGATTTTTTATTAAAAAAATCGTCCATCTACATCACCTAATCGTCACATACCATTTTTTCCGTCTACAACCAATTGTTATATTTTAGCCCTTTTTATAAAAAAAAAAACAATTGTTATATTTTTACCTACTACCGTCATGATTTGCGAAGATGCTTATTGCTCAATGCGAGAGTCGAATTCATATCACACGCACACTTTAAAACCAAACGAATAATAGTAACTTCTTAGTAAACAATTGGTTGTAGACGGGACAATGGGATAGACGATCGGTGAAATTTGTTAAACGGTGCTCTTTAGCTTTCGTACTTTATTACCGTTGATCTTTGGAGGCATGTCTGCGGTAAAATCAGACGGTTGAGAATTTGACAGCTGCCACGTAACTACTGAATTTTACCTGCTTCATTTGGAAATTGGAATTGTAAAAAAAGATTCGATGAAGAGATAGAATTTGGGATCAAGGGTAATATTTTGATCAAATTAGTTGGTTTTCCATTTCCATTATACAAGTTTTATCAAATTTAAGATCTTCAAAACTTTAGCTTAATTATGATCAAATATATGTTTTGACCTTCAAAAAGAAATTCATTTCGATTTGTTAAAAAACAATTGATGAAAATATGGAGACTGAGAATATTCCGTGTGAGAATAGTCTCGGATATACTCTGTAAACTATCCTAATATTTTTCCGTTATCATTAAGAAATATTATAAATTAACTGATTAAAATCGCCCAAAAATATAAGTATTTCTGGTCAGAGATATGTGCCAAAAAAATAAACAAAAAAGAAAAGAAAAAAAGAGAGGATTTGAAGATGTAATAGCGTACCACGTGTATGGTTAGATCTTTCTAAACAATCCGATTAGTCAGTCTTACAAGTGTTTATATTCCACCGTATATCTATAACTAAACCATTACTCTAATTAAACCATGTCTTCGACCCTTTTGTTCTTTTGACCCAAATCTTTGTTTTTATATCTAAATTATTTTATTTCCATCGCGGAGATTGTAACAAGGGAACCGCCGTCGCCGGATCTGGCAGTGTGCGTGTCGACGAAGTGGACGAAGAATTACTTCCCGATCATAGAAAGGAGTTTCTCTGTACATAAGATTTACCCTCGGTTTTTTTTAATCCGAAAGGTCGGTTTACTTTTTCTTTTGGTGGTGGATTTCAAACCATGAGGAAGAAGCTCGATACTCGGTTCCCTGCTGTAAGTATTCTGTCTCGAATTGATTATCTCGGGGGATTGAAGTACAATTTTCTCGAAAATACTTGATCTGTTGTTTTTTTGGATCGAATTTTTAACACTGTTCGGTCTAAATCCTGTGTTCTTAGGCGAATTTTAGATTAAGTTTCTCATTTCCGGGGAATTGGTTATTACAGCTTTAGTAATATGTACCGTCAAGATCCGCTATGGAATGTTTCATGTAAACTGATTTATCTCTTGATTCTGGGAACTTTCAGCTATTGGTGTATTGCATAGGTCTCTGGAATATTGTATAGGAATTGCTTTTCACTTAATTGGTACTTTCAGTTTATTAGCACTTTCGTTGTATGATTGCCTCGAACGATTTCGTAAGCTAAGAGTGTTAATGTATTATGATCTTTATATAAAATGACCGAGCACACTTGGTGTTTCTCATTTTCGCCATTTGTTCTATGATTCGCTTAGCGGAGCAGTGTTTCTTGCCACTTACGATTGTGTGTTTGTTTTGATGCGCAATTTTCAGGCTCGTATTAAAAAGATTATGCAAGCTGATGAGGATGTTGGCAAGATAGCTTTGGCAGTGCCTGTCTTAGTCTGTGAGTCATCTTGCTATTGTTGACTTGAGTTTTTAAAAGGAAGTTGTTGGTTGTTATACCTTTAGCTAAATTTCATGTTATTAATTATTACAGCAAAATCTTTGGAGTTGTTCTTGCAAGACCTTTGCGATCGTACATATGAGATAACTCTCGAAAGAGGAGCCAAAACCGTGAGCTCATTGCACCTGTAAGCAACATATTTTTTTATTTTTGCTTCCCTCCGCATGATAACATTGAAGAGTTTGCTTGAATGCATTATAAATTCCTGAGGTTTCAGATTGTTGTAATTATTGATATTCTGGTTTAAGAGTTAACATGATGTTGTTAAGCGGAAGAGCTTCCAACTCATAAGCCCTATTCCAACACCGAGAGGATGTTGTTGATGTTACAGAACTTTATACCACAAATTTGGTATAAAGTTCATTTTGCTCTTTTTGTCTTCAATATTTTTTTGGTGATACTACTGCATCCACGTTTATGAAAGGTGTTTTATTGTTTACAGGAAACATTGCGTGGAACGATATAACGTGTTTGATTTTCTGAGGGAAGTTGTGAGCAAGGTGCCTGACTATGGCCATGCGCAAGGGCATGGTGATGTTACTATGGATGATCGCACCATCTCCAAGAGAAGGTTGGATCTCTTGACTCCATATATTCTGGATATATATTTGATAAGCCTGTGTGTCAAGCTGATGCGAAATTGTTGGTTAAATCAGGAAGCCTATCAGTGACGAAGTGAATGACAGCGACGAGGAATATAAGAAAAGCAAAACGGTGAGTATTCTTCTGGTCCATTCATTTTAGCGTCTAGTTATGTGAAGCTCTCTCAGATCCATTGAATTGTTCATTGCAGCAAGAGATTGGGAATGCTAAGCCCAGTGGAAGGGGTGGAAGAGGGAGAGGACGAGGAAGAGGTCGTGGTGGACGAGCTGCAAGAGCAGCCGAACGAGAGAATCTGAACCGCGAGATGGAACTCGAGACCGCCATGGTGGAACAGCCGCCTCCTCAAGACAGTATCCAAATGCATGTGTCGGAGTCATCACCACAAGAGAATGAAAAGAAGGATGTCGATGGCGGCATTGCAGCATCAAACGAAGACACCAAGCAGCCACTTGAAAGTCCAAAAGAAGGCATTGACTTTGATCTCAATGCTGAATCTCTCGACCTAAACGAGACCAAACTGGCCCCAGTTCCAGGCAGAGACACAGCCACGGTCTCAGAGGAATATCCAGGCTGGCCTCCTATGATGGAGTTGGGCAAAATAGATCCAGCACAGCTTGCAAGTTTGGGTAAGAGGATAGACGAGGACGATGAAGATTATGATGAAGAAGGCTAAGGCTAAGGCTAAGGCTAAGGCTAAGGCCAAGGCCAAGGCTAAGGCTAAGGCCAAGGCCAAGGCCAAGGCTAAGGCAAGGCAGCACCAGTAGGACATAAATAGAGTAGCAGCATTTAGCTAGAAAATGCTTTTCTGTTATCCCAATCTTCTTCCTGTTTCGATCTATTGTATGGATCAAAGATTGAAACGCCTTCTATAAAAACTTAATTTATTTCTCCTGATATGTTATTTAAGGGTTTATAGTTGCATCAGAAGTTAACATATCTTACAGAGTAAACAAACACTCAATATTACATAAACAGAGGAGAGGACTAGTCATGGTGTTGCTCCATGTGGTTGAGATGAAGAACACCTTCATGGTTCTTGTGAACCTCCACCTTGAATTTCTCCTCCTTTTCTCCTCTCTTCAACTTGAGAAGCATGTCGAATTTTGCAGTTTCGCCGGTGACCTGAAACCATAGTTTTTTCATTCATCATTAAATCTTAGCAATCACCATCCAGGACACCAATTCGGATTCACTAGCACCTGATTATGTTTACTTGCAATGTCTAAGATGGATTCTTGCAAACACGTTTACAAGTTCTCTAATGAAACTAACGGCGGATAATATTTAATAAGCTCAAGTTCAAGGTTGAATATGAGTAAAGTGAAGCAAAGCTATACCTCAGCGTTAGCATTCACAACCTCCTGAAGTTCATAAGGGAACAAGGAGTTAGACCTCTGTTGGATGGTCTTGACAGCATGCTCAGCAACGTGCTGCACTTCTGGATCATCTCCTGGAACTTGCCTCCATCCAGATCCATGTTCACCTGACCCACAAAACCCAAATTTTCATGATCAAATCTTACTTTTCCTGTTTTCGATTTTGCAAGTTCAATTTTTACTTAACCAAAATCTATTACTCAGATTCATTACCTTTCTTGCAGCCAAGGTCGGAGGGAGTAATGGCAGGGGCATCACTGGCAGGCTTGAACTCCTGTAACTCCTTAAAGTTCAACCATGGCTTCACCCACACTTTTGCTTCGTAAAGCTTCTTCTTCCCTGCCTCGACAATCTCCAGAGTCAGGTGATGCATCGTACCGGCAACAACTTGCTCTTTCGCCTTCACCACTCTCGCAAACTCGAGCAGTGCATTCTACGATAGGAACAAACGAAGAAAATCACAACGTCGTCCAAAAATCAATGACTCACACAGCATAATCATATATATAAACACTTGCAGAGATCTACACTAGAACAGCCAACTATGTCCAGTAACTAAAAGCGAGATCAAGAGGAAAACTCGGACAAAATATTCTAATCGCGCTCCGGATCAAGCAAATATCATAGAAGAAACACATATAGAGACGATAAAAGAGAGGAGAAATCGAAGATGAAGACAGAAATGGAACCTCCTTCTTGTTATGCTCATCGACAGCGAAACGAGCGAGGCTCTCGACCTCGTCACTGTTCTGGTTAGCAGGTACATCGCGAACGCCGCCTAGCAAGGCCATGTCGTCGTCGTTGCAGAACCCTAAATCACTGGCGATCAGAGAGGAATTGAAGATGGAGAGAGAGAGAACGATGAAGAAGAGTAAGAAACGGCCTTTCATCATCATCCACCTTTATTTGGTTCGGTGCTGTGTGTATTTTTAGATATTTTTCGTTTCTAGTCGTCCAAATGTCAATTGCGATATTTTGGAACTAATAGTCTATTTACACTCGTGACCCGCATAAAGGTGTCCAATTCGGTTTTGGTTTGGTTTAATTGGTATAGCCTTTAGTTTTAGTTCAGATTTAAGTTTCTGCGAAAAAAACATTTGTATGTAGTTTCTTGCAAAATGATCGTAGTATATTTGGATTGATGACAATTGAATTTCGTATTATATTGTATAAGAAATAGTATCTACTCGAGATTTAGATTGGTTTAAATTGGTCTTAACCGGTTCTTGTATCCCAAATTCGGTCTCAACCAGTTCTTGTTTCCAAATTAATTACACTCGAAAATGATGCTGGAGGAGGCAGCGGCACGTCACCCGAAACGTGTCGGCACTGAAACTGTGAAAACACGTTTTGAAGCGTGTCCTGCTTTATCTACCAAAGCCCATTTACAAGCCCATTCCAACTCTCTAATAAAAAACACTTGATATTATAAAAGAGGTTTATTTAGTTTGATATTCTCCCTTATTATTGCTTGGATACAAAGCTGCATAATACTACTATACTCTTTATTAAATAGCAGCGTCGAGGAAGAAATTAACAGAAGCAAAGGATCTTTGGTTGTAGCAATCAAGATTACCTCCAGGATTAACTCCAAAGATGTTACAGTACCTCTGATAAAACCCAATCCGATCCGCTACTCTCGCGTCTTGGCCACGTCCACACTCTAATCCACCGTTAATGATATTCGTAATCACTCCATAACCCGGTAATCTCCCGGCGGCACGGTCTGCATCTGACGGCTGCCACTGGCCGGCGATCACGGCGTGGCACGACGGTTTAGGAGACTGGGGAGTCATCCAGAACCAAATCGCGGCTTTGAAAGCGATCACTGCGTCGTTGGAGACAAGGTCAGGGTTGTTGAGTAAGTCGGCTCCTATGGCTCTCCCGCACTGTCCGTAGTTGTAGTTCCACGTCAGCTGCATGGGTCCCCTTCCGTAGTAGCGTTTGCCAGATGCGCATGGCCACGTGGCGCTCGGTGAACAGTAGTCAGAGGAAGGATTCTGTTCTTGCTTGAAGCAGTAGCCCCATGAATATGGTCCGTCCGGTGCTGTGGGCCATCCACCTTCAACATGCAACCGTCCATTTCGTTAATATTTTTTTATTTATATATACATATAGTCAACAACTTTAATCTATCACGTTTACGTCATTTATTTTTAAAAATAACGATGATTAAAGGGTTTAATTTTGAAATTGCTGTATTCTTATGATGCGTTGAAAATTTCTATTGTTTGTTCGCTTGTCTTTGCGTAACAGTATATAATTTAAGAAGAAAAAAAATATTGTATTTAAGAAATAGAAAAAACGAACAAAATTAGTGATTAATTACCGGTGGTTTCGTGGGAAGTCTGGCCAAAGAAGGCGGCGATCTCCTTCTTTCTCGTGGCGGTGTCTCCGGTGGTTCCAAAACCAGGGAAGGACTTAGCGGCGTTGAGGAAGGCGTCGTAAGTGTAGAAACCTCTAGCGGGGCAAGCACCGTCGTTCCTATGCTTAAGCATATCATCGAACTGAGATCTTGAAATGATGCCCGAAAGATCACCTGTGGGACCAGGAGGAGTACCGCCGGGAGTGCACTGGCTTTGGCAGCCAGGAACCTTACAGTAAGCTTCGGTGTTACCGCACCATCCGAACTCGCTGCAGCAAAGACCGTTGGGGCAGAGTGCTCCTCCGGCTTGACGACCACATTGCTCGCCAGAGGAAAATGATATGAGAAGTGAGACGATGATAAAGAGAAGTAGATAAGTCTTCATATTTTTGCTCTGAGTTTTTAAAAGGCAAGTAGGGGTATATATATAGTCAGGATGCAAGGTGCATTAATCAAATGTCACTTCAGATATTCTAATTTTCCATAGTTTAGATATATGACTGTGGAGTATGGATATGGGCAACAAACATTATTACTAGTAGGTTTAGTGTTTTTTCATATATTTTTTCCTTTTGTCAACGTTGTTAGGTTAGATGTTGATTCGATTTTGATTTTTTTCTTTTTCTTTTTAGTGGGTGATTACTTTGTTTTGTAGACATCATTTGTATCTATGTTGAACATTGAATGAAAACGTTCTTTATCGGAAGTTGTGCTCAATTTGGTGTATAAAATTACCAATTTTAGAAGACCAAGAGCGTAACGGAAATATACTATATTATTGAGTTTTGTTCTTAAATTACCGAAGTTTCAAACACACCAATAATGAAAATTTGATATACTAAACAAATATAACCAAATAACACGATAATATAAAAATGGCACGCATCAGAAATATTATTTTTGGCCTTAAACAGACTTGTATGAGAGGTTTTTGTTAATGATTAACTAATATCTCAACAAAATTAGAAATCACTTTTTTTTTTTATTGTGGTAGATACATATTAAATTGTTCGCGAGGTAATCAGTGAAATCTCGCCGTGGAAGTTTGAGCGGTCGGAAAACACATTAGTTAATCGCGAGTATGGGACTAGGCGAGCATTAAATAATCACACATATACATGAGCTAATGCCTAATGGCATGATTTTATTTTATGTAAAGGCAAGCCAGAAGAGTTGCAAGAATAGTCAAGAATGTATATAACGTGTGGTGACAAGGAAATTGACGTCCGTAAAATGTTCACGAAAAGAAAAGTTCAAAGTAAATTACTCCTATGAAATATGAGGCGGCGGGTTCATGATCAACTTTTTAAACAAGAAACCGATAATGGATTATAAGGTAACGTATAGCATTTTCCCATTCAATGTTATAATGACTCAAGACCAAATCATACATATATTTAATATTTCATTCATGGCAACTCATGATGACTTTCTGTCTCTTTCTATGCTTATGTTTTAACCAAAGCACGTGTCATTTTCACAAATTATTGGAAAATCAAAATCTCGATTGATAATCTACTCTCCCTCTCTGTATAAGTTTACGGTAAGCACTTTGACTAAGTCAGCAGTTTTCCATCACTGTGGGCTGCGTTGCAGTCTCTTTCGGACTAAATAATACTAATGAAATACTAATACTTATATGTATCTTATTTGACTTTCATGCATAGTTAAACATTGATAACCCAACTATTAAGCAGTTGCATCTGGTGGTCACATGATACTACGATGACATTTTTATAAATCAATACGACGAGACCATTCGAGCAACAAACAATTTTTGTTCCTCATTCTTTCACCCAATCAATCTCCGCATCTTGTATTTCATGTACACACAAGCCCAGAGTTGAAACGATGAACCAATAACTAGTATACAGTGCATAGCGAATAATTTATTTGCTACGTAATAATTGTATAATTAATATTAGTGTTAAATAAAACCGTGTATAATACTGTAGTAATAACTAGCACATTGTGTATTGGTTTTTCATTTGTTGGTCAGTCTGGAAATGTTTGTTCTCCAATTAAAAAAAAATAATGTGAGTACGCCGTTCTCTGTTTGATCCAGGCTCCTTAATTACTCTGATTTTGCAAACTCAGTTTACAAAGCGTTATCAAACTCTCTATCATTTGGCTTTGCTTCTTCTCTCGTCTTGAAGGAAGAGCAACTATAAAATCAGGTTCATCGATATTGTCATAATTGATTTCTAGTTTGATCCAATTTATCCATGCTCCTTTTATTAAGGCAAACCATTAAGCCTCTGTGAAGTTCGATTTAATTTTTAGTGATGCAATTATTTATCTATAAATCATCCATTCAATGAGCTAGCTTAACCCTCATTGCGACATTTACTATCCACTTATCTCGAACTAGTCTGCTGAAAATTGGCTGATGAAATTCATTTTTTTCACCCTTAGAAAAAAAAGGGCTTAATATCAGTTTTTTTTACCAAAATTTAGTAAATTGGTGACAGACTTGCGCAGTTAATCGCATATGATCACCTGGTAATGTGTCAAATCTGTGACATATTGTAGTAGCAGGTTATAAGTCTAGTGGATTATAAGAGCATGTGAAAGGTTCTAAAGCAAAAAGAAAAAGAAAAAAAATTAATGATATAGCTAGATTTTAGAACAGAAGTGACTCTATGCCGGAAGAGGCGGATCTCTGCTGACGTTTCAAAATGTAATTTGTCAAATTTTGTTTTTTTTAAAAACAAAATCAATTTTTTTTTAATAATAAAAAATATTTTAAGAGCTTTTGGTGTAGTCTTACCGATACTGATGCCTTAAGTATACGTACAAGTTCTATGGTCACATTCATATCAAAGCGACTGTATGAGGGACAAAAGTAGAAACAATCGTATAATAACCAGATGATCAACCAAAAATCATAATAACCAATGATCAGCATAAAGAGAATTCAAAATGATATTAGTTTAGGTGGAAGTATTAGCTAGGGTTTTGTAGTTAATTTAATTTTACTTGATATAACTTGATATTTATCTGAATTCAAACGTAGATAATGGTATTTTATTTATTTATTATTAATTGTTTCCGGTTTAGTTATGGTCCGGTCTACTAAATATAATAACGGTATAGGCTGGTTCTTCTTCTTCTTATTTTTTTTCTTTTTCTGGTCACAGACTCACATTACAGATTGGATTTGATTTGAATTCCTAATTTCATTTAAAAATGGATTCGGTCGGTCTCATAGACACCATCTAAACCTTACACGTGGATGAATGAAGGATCGTCGTCGATTTTCGGGGGGGTTTTTCGCTTGACGTCGGTTCATGGCATCTCTTTATAAAACTATAAATAGAGAGCAAAATCTGTGTGGAGACGACACGGTACAATGGGAGACGCCAAGAGAAAGAGCGAGACGGAGATGGAGAATGCAGAGAAGAAGATCGCCAGGGACGAAGCAAGAACCTCTCGTTTCGAAGAGCTACGTGACGATCTCTTCCGCGAAGCAGCAAATCTCGTCGCGGAAGATCCCTCCACTCGAATCGCGATCTTAATCACTCCTCCTGCCTCCGCACCGGACGACTCTATACATTCCTTCGGCTATCCCTCTGTCCAAGGCGTGGTCGAGACGTTCCTAAACGATCCCCGTCCTGTCCAGGTATCAGAAGTCGCTGATGAGGAGAGCGATGACGATGATGACGAGGAGGAGGACGATGATGATGATGATGACGAGGAAGAGGATGATGATGATGAGTAGCACGAGGATCCCTCGCTGGACTCAAACTCGAAGGCGGATGCACTGTGAAGTCCGGTGATATCGGGTTCTCATCGTATTACGAGTTTCGAGTCCAGAATTTGTTGCTCGCTTTTTTTTTTATATTTTGTTATGGCTGATTCTGTTGTTACCTAAACCACAATGTTATATTTTTCTTAACTTCAGTTTAAACATCAATTAGTCTTTCTTCCATCTTCCATTTTCCATTTTCTCTGTTGTTACGAAAACGCATGTGTAGTATATACAACAGTTTAAGTATACTATATACTATGCTTTTAAAAATAAGTACTTGGAACCAGAAAGTAATGCAAAATTGCTCGCGTATAGTGATGTTAAATCTATAACAAATGAGAGTAATATACTAAAAGATAAAACATGTTCTATGATATAGACAAAATCAAATCAACCATTCACATAACTACTAACAAGTTGTTTGTATGAGTGGCTAAAGTAGAAACAATTAAAATATATAATACCGAACCAATGATCAATATATAACCCAATACTATTACTCTTAAAATCATACCAAATCAGAAAAAACATCCAAAATGATATGAGTGTACTAGGTTAAACTATCAGCTAGGTTTACAGATAAAAAAAAGGACGTACGGTTTTGTTATTGTACATTTGTAGTAAATTAGTGCAATCATGAATAAAGATGAATATTCAAACGGAAATAATTTTATCTTTTTGTTATTTGTTTAATTCGTTTCGGTTAAGTTATGGTCCGGTCTACTCAATATAATAACGGTACAAAATGGTATATTCTTCTTTTTTTTCTTCATGTCACAGACTCTCAGATAACAGATGGGATATGTAAACCAAATTGGATTAGATTTGAATTTGAATTCCTAATTTTATTTTTAAATGGGTTCGGTCTCATAGACATCATCTTAACCGTAAACGTGGATGAATGAAGGATTATCGTCGATTTTTCCGCTTCAAGTCGGTTCCTGGCATCTCTCTATAAAACAAAAAAAAATAGAGAGCAAAATCTGTGTGAAGTGGAAACGGTACAATGGGAGATGCGAAGAGGAAGAGCGAGACGGAGATGGAGAAGATATCGAAGGTAGCGAAGATAGAGAAGGTAGAGAAGGAACAAGCGAGATCCGCTCTTTTCGAAGAACTACGTGACGATCTCTTCCGCGAAGCAGCAAAACTCGTCTCCGAAGATCCCACCACCCGAATCGCGATCTTAATCAAGCCTCCTTCCTCCGAATCGGAATCCACTATACATTCCTTCGGCTTTCCCTCTGCCGATGGCGTGGTTCAGAGATTCCTCGATGACACGTGTCCTGCTCCGGCATCAGAAGATGCTGCTGAGGAGAACGATGATGATGATGACGACGACGAGGAAGATGATGATGATGATGAGGAGGAGGATTTCTCGCCTCGACGGTTTTGGTGGGAAGATCAGAAGCTACAAGAGTCGATGGATGCGGAGGAGTTGCAGGTCGCGTGTGACAAGATGTTAATTCTGCAAAAGCAGTTGCAAGTCATTAGAGAAGCTGAAAATTCTGGGAATCAGGAGGATCTAAACAACGACAAAGGTGAACGTAAACCCTAAGGCCGATGCATTGTGAAGTCCGGTGATATCTGATTCTGATCGTATTAGTAGTTTCGAGTTCAGAATATGTTGCTTTGCTTTTTTTTTTTTTTTAATCTTTATGGCTTATCTGTTGATACCTAAACTACAGTGTTTAATTTTTAACATCAATGAGTCTTTCTTCCATTTTCCATTGCGGGTTTTGCTATACATATGCGTAAGAAGATTGAAACACAGAAATGGGAATCATATCTTCTCCACAATCGAATCTCTTATTTATAACAAACATACTATTATCGTAAAAAGAATAGGAATGTCTTATTTATCGCTGCACAATAATGGCTCCTTAGTATCGGATTCAACTTCAGCGTACGATGAGTTTTTCATACCACACCTTCTCCATAAGCTTGAGTTGCTGCTCTCTTCAACATTTGTGGGTGTTTGGTTCGAGCTCTCAACGTAATGAAGACAGACTTGGACGGCGTCGTGCACTCTCACAAAGTACCATTCTTTGCCAATAAGCTCCACAATGCCTGATCTTGCCAGAGTCCTGAGAACCTCTCTGTTCGGGTTCGATATTGCAAGCTGCATCATTGCAAAACCAACACCATCACCACAAAGGTGTTCCCAAAATTAGAAACAAGTACTAACTATATTAAGGATGATAGTATCAGTCAGCCAGTGTTTGCACCTGAATGTCCCTTGTTTTATACTCCTCGTACAATTCTTTCAAGGCTTCTACGGCGCTTGAGTCTATGTATGTGACAGCTGCGTTACATCCAATTTATCAATACTCATTTATGAACTAATCAACGTTAGGTTCGAACCTTGAATCACAAAAGTTGGGGGCTTACGCCACATTTCCAGGATAATAAAGTAGATCCTCTCCAACTCTGGTCCCCTGTTTGTGTGTTTGTCGATAGCTACTTCATATTCTCTTAGCCTGCGTTTTTGGAAACACAGGGTTGTGTTAGTTCCTCCTGTGGCATCAGAACACATGGCATCTCGGAGTCAAGTGTCATTTTCACCTGTCCTTGATGTAGCTTATGTTGGCAAAATATATGGGAGCATCGGTTCGAACAATCACAATCCCGTTGTAAGTGTATGCCTCTGGATACTGCTTCGTGTTTCTGTACACAGTGGTCCCTGGAAGACGCCCCAAGACAGCTGCAAAGCATATGTGTTGATATGTAATCAAGAAGATGAGTTTACAAACCATTCTAAGAAACAAAATAGGCAATTGCACATAAATTTATCTTACCGATATGAGGGTTTGCAGACTCGTATATAACGAATGCTAGTGAAAAACCAACCTGAAATAACAAGTGTTGAACCTCTGTGAGTCCTTATAGAGCGTTCACAATTCACATACATTATCCTACTTTTCAACATCATCACTACTTTTAATTTCAAAGAAATATATGATGGGCTTCAGAAATTAAGCTAAGTGAATCTGAACATACTCACACCAATGAGGACTCCGATCTTTATTCCGAAGATCAAAGTCGTGGTGCTAGTGATGGTCCAAAGAGTAAAATCTCTCTTGTCCACACGCCATAGGAAAATAGCCCCTTCATAGTCCACCTACAATCCAGAAAGAGTAAATGTGAATATTTTTGCTCAATAACCAAAGGCAGTAGCACACATGCCGGATTTTCCCCTGGTGGGTTGATTTGAACTTACCAAACCACTAACAGCAGAGATCACTATAGCAGCTAAAGCACACTGTGAATTTCAGAAACAGTTGGGAATTAGAAGCCAGATTTTAGTTTCAGATTTAGAAGGAATTTATGTGATGTTGAATAAAAGACTCAAAAGACTGTCAAAGAAGAAATATCCAACACAGACCTACCTGTGGTATATATTTAAACACCGGGGTCAAGAACATTAGAGAACATCCAATGATGATGCCTGTTACAAGGCCTGATAGACCAGTCTTAGCTTCACTTTCGCTATTCACTGCAGACCTAGAGAAGGATCCTGTAATGATACATTCAGGGTATTAACAAATTTTTTTATTCTATAAAAACACATTACATACTGTCCACTGGTCCGGCTTTACTCATCTAAAGAGTCAAGGTAACGTACCTGTAGTCGGATACGCAGAAAACAATGACCCAAATATATTTGCAACACCAAGACCAAACAACTGTCAAGTTACAGGAGAAACAGTTGGAACTCTCAACGACCATGAGAAGTTGAGATAAAAAGAACCACGTACAACAACATTTTATGGTAACAATTTGGCTAGCACTTGATTTTATCTTTCTAAGGGTTATTTACCTCTGAATTTGAATCCAACTCATATCTGTTTTTCGCTGCTAGTGCTTTCGCAATACCTACAGATTCCTGGATTAAAAAGCCGAACTAGCAAATCAGTATACAGCGAAATATGCGCAAACTGCAGCTGAATCTAATGAAGAAACTGTCTCTTCTGCTTCTCAAGAGGTCAAATTACTCTATATCTCAACCATACTCATCCATTTACAGTTTTTTATGATTAGGTTCAGCTGCAATTTGCCTCCACTTAGAAGAAGTCAAAGACGATTATATCTCACCAAGATGGCCACACCAGTTATGAGAGCCGCTGTTGGAAGCAATAATCTTGCATGATCAAAACTCTTGGGGAAAGAAAACTTTGGAATCCCCTGAGGTATATCTCCCACCTGAAAAATCCTAGATACTATGAAATTATGAAAATATGTAGCATCAATGAAAAATTATATAAGAAAACTTGGTTGTTTAGAGAATCTGACCAGTGAGATAGAAGGTGCATGCAACACTTTTGCAATGGTTGTACCAAGAACAAGCCCTGTGAGCGGCCCTGCTGCTCGTATGAACTGAAGTTCCTTCTTTGCTTTTCCCTGCCATGGAACATCACGCCTTAGCATAATAAAAGTAGGGAAAGCACAAACTATCCTGCCAACATAGGAAAGAACAAGCCTCATACCACATGCTTCATTACTAGAAGGATCACTAGAATGGTAGACCCCAACAAGAAAGGTGGCCACTTAAACTGCAAAACAGAAAACCAGATGAAGTTATACCAGTAATCGTAAGAGTTTTATTGAACCAGAAAGTAACTGCAACCCAAAAAAGAATCTGCAGACCAATATCTCAAGTAAAGAATGAAAGACCTTTAATGTCAATTTAAGGACTTTGGGGGAAAAGAGCAGAGTATTTAAATGTCAGCTCAATCGAAAAACAAAGTTTCACCTGATCAGCTCCAGCTATTATACTCTCAACTACCGGCAAAAGCTTGCTGCTCCGGGAAACGTTATACCCCAGGAAGTATTTCAACTGGGATAATCCAATCACAATAGCTGAAGCAGTTGTAAATCCAGAAATGACTGAGTGACTTATGAAACGAATAAGCCATCCAAGCCTGGGTTGGAAACACAAACGAAGGACTTTTTCTAACACTAGAATAAACACAGGGCATGCTAGTAAACAAGCAAACGAAAACAGTAGCAGCGAAGAGAAGAAGAGTAGAATGACCTTAAAATCCCCATGATGCACTCAAATATTCCAACCAGAAGTGCCAACAAAATGGCAAGCTCAGTGTATAGCTCTTGAGATGGATCAACAATTCCACCCAAAGCATTGGAGACGAGAAGAGAAACCAGTGCTACAGGTCCAATCGCAAGCTGACGAGATGAGCCGAACACGGCATACACAAATACCGGCACAAATGAGGAGTCTGCACCAGCAGATACAATCAAACATTATTAGTAAGCTTTAAATTATCACATCGATGAATTCAAATAAAGGGTCTGAATCACAATGAACTCACATAGACCGTATATTGGTTGAAGCCCAGCTAGCTTTGCATACGACATTGCCTGCTCAAATCCATCAAAACAATATTCATTCAAAACTAAAACGAACATGTAGAAAAAGAATACACACCTCCGAGCTGAGCTCCAAATGGTAGAAGATATTCAGGAGAAGTAGAATGTTATATGAATCAACAGAGAAGAAAATCAATCGAAAAATGTAGAAAACAGAAATTACCTGGGGAACAAGCATAACACCGACGGTGATGCCAGCCATGAGATCAAGCTTAAAGTATTGTTGCCACCGGTAAGTCCGAATCCAAATGAAGCAAGGAAATAACGTATCCAACCAGTCGAAGACCGTCATACGCTTGATCTTCGTCGTCCATCGGGAGAAGAAATCATGGAAGGGAACGGAGGGGCGACGAGGATCAGATGATGGGGAATCGGGGTGGTGGAGAGGAATAACCTTGACCGGGATCGCCGGAGATGACGAGGATGAAGCGGTGGAGGGGTCCTTGACGGCGAGTGACATCGGAACCGGGTGAGGTAGAGAAAGAATGAGAACAATTTGAAGAGGGACGTATCAGTATCACTGATTGTAGCATGAAGAAAACAGAAAGCGTAGTGGCAGTGGGGAAGGATAAGGACGCAAAGCCGGCTACATTCTTTCTCATTGTAAACTTAATTTAATGCTTAATATTATGTGATTGCGTGTTCTAATAATCAGGTTCTTTACTGTTTTAGTGTATACTATAATAAGTATGCAACATAAGCGATATTAATAATCATTGAGAAAGCAGAACCATCCATAATATCCTCTTAGCATTCAAGTTCATCATCATTAGCTCAATTTTGATAATTAGATTATTTCATTGCAGTAGGATTGATAGATTTTGAAAATAGATTGGGTATTTAATGAATTTGCTGATATTGATTCCACTTATAGAATTCACAAATTCTGTGACCATTTTTACCCAAATAAACTCATTATTCAATCTATCTATTTCTTTTCATTATTGAATTAGTCATACCAGGTTCCAACTCTATTGAGTATACGAGCCATTAGTAAGTGCAAAGATGCTTAAAACCAAATGAGTATGTGAACACGAGAAACAAGGCATATATAAAGGACACATATGTAGATGCTGTTGGTGTTCTCACTTCTCAGGGAGCTCCACAAATATTGGCACAGAAGATACCTGACTCTTCTTCTCACTCAGGCAAGGACACTGAAGCTCCTTAGCGTTGCCTTAGAGGTCTCTGTAAAAACATGTGTTGCGGGTTTGTATTTGTTTTCTCTTAAAAAGGAAAAAAAAAGAGTGAGTAGGCAGTGTTAAGAGCTTTACCCTTGGTTCATTGTTGGCTTCACGAGGTTGTCTACTACTTCTAGTATCTCTGTCTACATCAGCTTCTGGCTTGTCATGCTTATAAAACGCTTCTAAGGCTCTTCTCACAAACGGGCGAACTAGGTTCACTTCCATTGCCGACACATTAGAGATCTGCATTCTCAAAATTAGGAATATAATTATTACTGACATCGCTTTGGGAGGTTTCCAAGACAAGACATGATGAAACTTGTATGATCAAAATGCTTCAAATCTCATTCGTAGAATAGGAAATCAATTCTACATACTATAACTGTCTTGAAATAAAAATTAACAAGCACCAAAGGTAACTCACAAGAAGCAATAAAAACAGTTTACCTTTACTGCAGATGTACCTTGAAATGATCCCAGGTTAGTCTCAAGTTTGTGAAGCCGCACATCTCTGATGTCTTCAACTAGAGATCTCACCTATACATAATTCACGAATGTCACCAAATGCTAGGATTCAAACATATGATTGTTAGAATGGGAGAAAATTTACAGCAGATGTTCGACGTTACCATGTACATGTCTGGAATGTCGTCGCGTGCACTGCAAAAAGTGAGATGTTCAAATACTTATCAGAAACAACGGATGCTGTAATGCGAGAGGAGCTACGAAACAAGAAGAGTGTGAAGACATACTGGTCAAAAAGCAGTCTAGCAATCTCCACGTAACTAAATGGTAATGCCTGAAATGTCGACTGAGACTCCCGTTCTGCTTCCAAGACCTGAGTCAGATTATCTAATTCGCGAACGAAGAAGCAACAAGAAACAGTTAATACTTAAGCATCAAATTCCCCTTGCATTAATAATTTATCTGCAGAATGTGCAATTTTTTTCTGTCTTACCAACAGACAGCCACTCGGGAGGCCGGAAAGTGCATTTGCCTCTCCTCTTCAGTGCCACTGCAAGCCACAGAGGCACTTGTGTCGGAATCTGAGGAAGGAACCGACCAAAATCCCCCTGTCATCGGTTCACACATTAGTCACATGGTTAACAAAACAGGTTTAGGTTGCAGTGATTTCAGGATTGTATAGAACGGGTGAGAAAGTACACTGATGAAATTGAGTGGCTCCATGTTCATGTTGGGAACAATCTCCACCATTTCGTCCTCTGCCATAAACTCAACCTGGTATGAAGTGCTAACTCAGTTATATCGTTGCAGACCGTACATGAAGAAACGCATACAAATAATGAGGAGAAAAAGAACCTCTTGTGGAGAAAAGAGTGAGATGTGAGGATCAGTCTGTCCAGCCATGAAATCTCAGCTTCCACACCTAAACGGAAAAACAAACTACTGTATTGTATAATATAAGGGACTACCACGAACAAAGGCAAAGAAACCATCTAAAATCTAAAGAACATGTTAAAGCAAAGCTGAGAAAGTTCAAAATTATCGGAGGGAGTAAAAAATCTAGCTCGTTTCAATTCCCCAAATCCCTTTTAGACATTTAATCAAACACATTGTCTACAGAATATTTTCCATTTATGTTTTTCGCAAAAGTCCAGTTTCAATCTCGGTAGCATCACGAATCAACAATACAAACTCTAAAACAAAACAGACTAGTGATCCAACAAATCAAATTTCGCAATTTCTGAGGTCAAACTCAAAGCCGGGTACAGTAATTGAGGAGCCCCATGTTCCTGATTTGTGATATGAACTCGAAATTACCTGGTTCGATTTTGTATGATTCCTGAAAGATCAGACCGATCCCTTTCGATCTTCTACGAACGGAAATTAAATGAATTTCCCGAACACCCGTTATCGACGGAAACAAAAATGAGATTCCCAAAAAATCCTCGAATCGAAGAGAAGGAAAAAGGATCTATCTTTGAAAACCCAGGAGAGAAAAAGCAAAATCAACGAGAAGAGAAGTAGAGGGACAAATGAAAGAGAAGAATTTCGATCCTGGCGTAGAAAGGCTTCGAATAATCCTTCTAGGTTTGGCGGGAAACCAGATTTCAGTGTAGCGGGAAATTAAAATGGACAAGTAAGCGTGGTTGGTTTATCTAACGACCCCGCCTGTAGGTTTCGGTTAGACTCGGTATTTAAAATTCAACCAAACTCAAACTAAAAACCGATATAGTAAACCAGTCAAATTAGTATTAATTGATTCGCACTATGTTTTATTTAAAGGCTAAAATCGAATAACACCACCACTAAATTTTATAATTAGTCAAAACGAGAGAATAGAGATGGTAAAGCCATGTTGCGCTGTATTCTTAAAGAATAAAGTAAGTTTAGTTTTATTAAAAATAAAATGTTCTTCTCTCACCCGAATCGAACTCTTTGTGTTCATCATGGCTTTCACGTCATGACGACTTTCTCCTAATCCTTAAAAAAAAAACAATCGAAGCCAATGGGGTGAATCAACAGAAGTCTTAATTGCAGGCACGACTGTTATCTATCATCTCATCATATCTTCCAAATTTAATTTCCTTTTCTAAAGCTTCACAAAACTCATGATCAGATTGCTTTTTCTCTGGAACTCAAAATGAAGCTAGAAGACTTACTTGTGGAAGATGAAACCAAAGATCAACATAGCGTAGCAGCTTTTCTTGATCATCATCGCCGTCAACACCGCCAGCAATTGCAGCAACAAGTAAGTCAAAACTCATATATTTATAAATATTTGACCTAATTAGGCTTTCACGAGCCACAATTACTTGACCCGCAAGATAGCACATTGCTCCCCACCTTATCTTCAATGATCCACATCTGTTTTGGTCGATTCGTTGCAGCCAGCAGAACCGAAGGATGACAAGAGCGAAGAAGAGAAGAATAGCTTACTGAAAAAGAAACAAAAACGTCGTCTTCAAAGAGATGTGATGAAAATGCAAGGAGAGCTAGAGGACGAGCAAGCACTCAACAAGGCTTTACGTGACATGCTTCGTGGTCCAGTCATGTCTCAGCCTCGTCTCTCTTTACTGCTTCTTCCTCCTCAGGCAAGTCTTATACATAAGTTCTGTGATTTGAATAAATTCAAATGAAGAAATGAAACATGATTCTGAGATTGTATAGGTTCAAGAGCTAATAGAGGAGCTTGCAACGGTTGAGGCAGAGATACTCTGCCTTGAGAAACGAATCCAAGACTTGAAACTTGATGTGTATAGTGAGAAAAAAGAGAATGAAGAGCTTGAAGCCAGTATTGACGAAGGAGAAGAGAGGTTGATGACTCCTAAGAGGCTACTACAAAGGCAGAATCATCTTCCTTGTGACGCTGACAATGACATTACGAAGATGAGATCTGAGGATCTAAAACAAAGGTCCAAGTCCCATAGTTATGGAGATCATCGTGTTGTCAAGGAAATTCAAACGAACAGTCCTCGTACTCATGCTTCAATTGGATCAGCCGTGGAGTTCTCATCAAGAATCCATTCTTCGACTTTTTCCGATGGAACATCAAGAGCATTAGAGAAGAAGAAAGGGCGGGAGACGACACCAAATGGAGTGTCGGAAGATCTGGTGAAGTGCTTGATGGGAATATATCTGGAACTCAACAAGTCATCGCGGGAGCGAGAAGGGTCAAGAACGGTTTCAAAGCTGAGCCTCTCACATCTGAAGAACGCTTCTTTCAAACGCAAGTCGGTGTACGATCAAAACGCATCAAATCTTGATCCTTATGGAGCTGTGATGGGGACTTCTCTCAGAGACATTGGAGAGTACAAGAACTTCATCCACATCACTCGAACCTCCATCGATGTTAGCCGTTTATCCGACTGCTCAACTTCTCTTGTCAATTTGGGGTACTTAAATTTCATATTCCTTCTTAATTTAAAACAAACATTTCATGACCTCTGTATAATCAAAACACACATTTGTAGGGTTTTGAAAGAGAAGTTGAGCAAAGTCGATTTGAGTTTCTTGAATCACAAGAAAAAGATGGCTTTCTGGATCAATACCTACAACGCCTGCGTCATGAATGTAATTAACTAGCTCCGGAAACTTAAACATGCATCTTTACATATGAAACAAAGTCAAGTGTTTTGAAAACCTTAAACTGTTTGCAGGGATTCTTGGAACACGGACTACCTTCATCAAAGGAGAAACTACTGACTATTCTAAAATTGGTACGTAATTAATACATGAAAAATATATAACCTTAACCTTCTCGTGCTTAACCCAATACTGACGTGTGTTGTAGGCAACAATTGACGTGGGAGGAACGCAACTGTCTGCTCTAGATATAGAAGGATCCATCTTGCAGAGTCCATGCGAACCTAGGGAAACTGTAAGTATTGATGTTTACACGAACGACACATATCTACAATCTTTTGAAGTTGTAAGAATCGATTTTGAGATGTTCTCTCTTTTTTTTTCCCATCCGAATCAGAAGGTTCCAACTGGTGAAAGCGAAGCAAGATTACAGAAACGGTACGGATTCAGATGCGTAGAACCGAATCTAATGTTCGTGCTTTGTCGTGGAGATTGGTCTTCGCCTGCAGTAAGTTCACTCTTTTTCGTCATGCGATTTGATAAGTGCTGCTTCAAAAATTAGTAATCAACAAAGAATCTTTAATTGTGTGCATGATACAGTTGAGAGTATATACAGCAGAAGATGTGGTAAACGAACTAATCAAAGCAAGAACAGAGTATTTAGAAGCTTCCATAGGAATCTCGGGGAGGAAAAAGATCGTGATTCCGAGATTCTTGCATAAGCGTTTGCGAGATTTCGCGGAGGATGAAGGGTCATTAGTCGAATGGATATGCAGCCAACTACCACCAATACAACGTTGCTTGCAGCTAAAGGAAACAGCGATCGAGTGGTTGAACAAGAAAAGTGAGTCTCCTTTGAACAAATTGGTAGAAGTGAGGCCTCACGAGTACGAGTTTCGCTATCTCTTGCCTTTGTAAATCTAATCCTCGACTTTGGTATTTGGAGCATGAAACAACGTTGTTCTATGTGTGTGTGTAAGAAAAATAATTTGAAAATCGTGTCACCAACTCATATACAAAACCAGAGGCTTGAGGATGGTTGACAAAGTGATGATTTTGACCTGAAAACGTAATATTAACTAGTTATTGGGCTGAGACCTACCAGAATCAAGCCCGATTAAGCAGTCCACTATAAATACAAAGGACTTAGTCTATCAACTATAAACCCTACCACACCTCATCTCTCCCTTGGTTTCGTTTCGCACATTTAAACCTAACTTAACTCAGTTGTCAAAAGAAAAATAAACCCTAGCCTTTTTTTTCAAACAAAAATATCATAATGGCTTCGGAAACGCTTCCATGGGAGTTGGTGGAAGAGATACTCTCTTGGGTTCCGCTAAAATTTCTTACTCGTTTCAGAACCGTTTGCAAACAATGGAAAGCTCTTTTAGAAGATAAGAGATTCGCCAAAAGCCACCTGGCTCGTGCCGCTCGTCCACAATTCATATTGTTCTCCAAATCCATCATTTATTCGGTAGATGTCATCCTCAACGACTGTCCATCGATAGAGGTGCGTAAGTTATCCTTAGATATAACCGGTCGTGGACTACTTAATGATATGCCTTTCTTAGCCGGTTATTGCGATGGGTTATTGCTTTGTGCCACCTCGAATGACATTGCGGTTTGCAACCCGTGGTTGAAACAGGCTAGATGGATAAAAAGGAATGAAGAGTATTATAATATCGATGAATGTGGCATAGGATACGATACTCGTAGATCCGACAGTCATTTTTAAGATTTTTGAGTCTTATCACAGACTTCACAGTAATGAGATTACCCTTATGAAAGCCTATATCACCGACTTTGGATCCAATGCATCGAAATTAAACGAGTTTTCAACCGGAGATTGGTTTTTGTCGAGGGATAGTGTATCCTTGAATGGAACCTTGTATTGGATTGATTCTAGTGAATATTTCATCCAAAGCTTTGACTTTTCTGTGGAAAAACTCAAATATCTCTGTGCATTGCCTGGCAAGGGCGGTTCATGCTGCCGTCAAAGATCCTTAGATGTTTTCAAGAGAGATCGATTATCGTATTTACATCAATGCTATGAAACAAGTAGTATAGAGATTTGGGTGACGAAAAGGAGGATTCAGAATGGGGACGGAGAGACTGTGGAGCGGATCAAGTTCATGAATGTGCCAGTTCCTTGCTCGTCGGCTTTAAAAGACATATGCCGGTCCAGTCGTCGAATATGTTACTTCATCGACGAGAAAAGTCTCAGTCTCGTTATGTGTTGTACGGATTCTAATGGGAGTAATTGCATCTATATTGTAAAGGGAGATCAGCATAAGAAAATATATATTACATAAGAAAATACCTATTTTCCAAGTTTGGTCCAAGTTCCTTGGTATCAACGAGAAGGAGAAGAACTACAGTTATAAATATATATTACATTTATTGTTTGTTTAGAAAAGCTATGGACTTTTGGTTCTGCTTAATTATTTTCAGTAATAATAACTGTTGTAGCAGAAACCAAAGGCTTGATCAGGAAGCAGACAAATAAATAAATAATTATATTTTCACTTTTCAGTAACTGTGATACACACGACGCGCGCTCTATAGCGCGTGTAAATACAAACAGAGGTTTCTTGTAATCTCCAACCACCTCCCTGGAAATGGAGCAACCCAGACAAAAACAAGAAATTGAAATTGATCACAACAAAATTTCTTATGTCTCCTGAAGTTTCGAGCTTTTCTTCTTCTCAGGTACAGGCTCTTACGTCTTCTTTGATTGACATTCATCTCTTCTTCCCCCAATTTCTCCTGTGGATTTTGATAGTGACCATTACGGAACTCTAGATCCCAATTTTTTCAATGCTTTCTCCAGTAATCAGAACATGCATGTTTCGTAGAACAGAGAGAGAAAGGAGAAGTCAAACTTGGTTAAGTAGAGGAGTTGCCATACATATATTCCGGATCTCAAGCATCATCGTAGACCAATAGTTTGTAGCATTGCGTAAAGGTTTTTCCTGTGGAAACATGCATTTTACTTACAATGTACTTAAATTATGTAGATATAGAACAATAATGCAACAAGATGGCGATGAAGAACCAGATATCAGATTACGAGAACAGTCTGTACAAGAAGCTCAAGAGTGGAAAGCTCGAGGTGAAACTCACATACCGCACTTTCCTGTGTCCTTATTGCCCCAAGAAGAAGGTCGGTCTGTATATCGACATCCTTCAGCATGCTTCTGGAGTTGGTAATAGCAATTCCAAGAAAAGAAGCGTCACTGAGAAGGCAAGCCACCGTGCTCTTGCCAAATACCTCAAGAAAGATCTCGCAGACTACGCTGCCATATCCAAACGCTCTAAAGGCCCAGCATCGTCCACGCCTGCAGAAACCAGCGAGGCTCCGATAGCTTATAATGATGATCAGTTCGAGAAACTCGTGTGGCCTTGGAAAGGTTAATGAATCACACGCATGCTTTTGTTAAGGCACATATCTCCTATGTCATGTACTAACAGAAAGTTGTGTCTGTGGCTGTGATAGGCATTTTGGTTAATATTCCCACGAGGATGACACAAGATGGTCTGTGCTGCACTGGGGAGAGTGGACCACGGCTTAAGGATGAATTGATCAGAAGAGGATTCAACCCAATTAGAGTTCGTACCGTGTGGGACTGTTTCGGCCATTCAGGAGCAGGAATAGTGGAATTCAACAGAGACTGGAATGGGCTTCACGATGCTTTGCTGTTCAAGAAGGCTTATCAAGAAGATGGTCATGGGAAAAAAGATTGGCTTTGTGGTGCTGCTGACTCGAGCCTTTATGCGTGGCTTGCCAATACTGATGATTACTATAGAGCGAACTATGTAGGAGAGTACTTGCGGAAGATGGGTGACCTCAAAAGTATTTCTAGGTTTGCAGAAGAAGAGGCCAGGAAAGACCAAAAGCTTCTGCAGCGTCTGAACCTAATCTTTACAAACAAACAATATCGGTTGAAGATGGTAGAGGAAAAATATTCAAAAACTTCAATCATACTTAAGTTTGAGACTGAAGAAAAAGATAAGCTTCTCCATAGTTACAATGAAGGTGAGCTTTAAGACTCATATCCCCCTATTGTTGCATCATCCAGCTATACATATATGCCTATAGATTGTGATAATTGTCGTGTTGCATTTTTCGTTTTGCATCTGAAGATCTGAGGGGAAGACAACAAAAATCGGCTGATCACTTCAATAGGATCTTTGCTGATCATGAAAAGCAAAAGGCGCAGCTTGAGTCTCAGATGAAGCAACTTGAAATTAGGGAATTGGAGTTAGCAAAACGTGAGGCAGAGAATGAAACGCAGAGGATGATGGTGGCAAAAGAGCTTGAACAGGTATATGCTAACGTGCTCATCTATTAAACTGACTCTGGATTGCTTTCTTACTTCTTCTAAATATTTTTCAATGGCTTTTATATTCAGATTGCCGCTAAATACAGTTCCGTTCAGCTAGCTGCCTTGGAAGAACAAAAGGCCAGAGAGAAACTGAAAAAGTTGGCTGGAGATCACAAGGTCTGGAAACACTTCCTTCTTTAAAAAGGTTGGCTCTTTAACTTTTATGTGACAGGGTCCTGCTGTGTTTTTAACCTTAGATGCAAAAGGAAAAGCTTCATGACAGAATTGCTGCACTAGAACGACAGCTCGATCAGAAACAAGAGCTTGAACTGGAGGTTGAACAACTGAAAGGACAGTTGAGCTTGATGAGGCACATGGAACTGGACGGTGGTATCGAAATTGTGAACAAGGTGGAAACGTTACTCAGAGAACTTAGTGAGAAGGAAGGAGAGCTTTCACACGTAAACAAATTTAATCAAGAACTTGTTGTTCGGGAGCGGAAGACCAATGATGAGCTTCAAGAAGCTCGAAGAGCACTGATAAGCGTATGTACATCTATTATATGCGAACAACTGATATTTAAATCTATTGGTCTCATAGAGGAGCTAGGTAAAATCATTGAATTTAGGGAGTTTATGCCAAAGACAATACTTGATTCTTGGTCTAAATGTGTTTTTCCTAACCTGATTGCATTTATAGAATTTGAGAGACAAGAGATCGTATATCGGTGTAAGGAGAATGGGGGAGCTTGACACGAAACCGTTCATAGAAGCAATGAGAAGAAAGTATTGTAAAGAAGATTTAGAGGATTGGGCAGTTGAAGTTATCCAGCTCTGGGAGGAATACCTGAAGGACCCAGATTGGCATCCTTTCAAACGGATAAAGCTTGAGACTGCAGAGACAGTAGTGGTACTTCTTCTCCCGTATATTACTAATCCAAATCAATTTTGTGTCTACGTTTTGGTCGTAGATAAAAATATGTTTCTCAAGTGTTAGCAGCAGAGGACCTGCAGATTTGGTAATGCATGTTGGACTTGGTTTATAAGTTGGTGTTTGAAGCTGTTGATGTGTTATGTGTCAGGAAGTAATAGATGAGGATGACGAGAAGTTAAGAACGCTGAAGAATGAACTGGGGGATGATGCGTACCAAGCGGTGGCAAATGCATTGCTGGAGATAAACGAGTATAACCCAAGTGGAAGGTATATCTCCTCAGAGCTTTGGAACTTTAGAGAAGACAAGAAGGCTACGTTGGAGGAGGGTGTTACTTGTCTACTAGAGCAATGGAATCAGGCAAAGCGTCATAGGCCTTAAAGGGGTTATATATTCGCATTTACACGGTACACTAAACTGCCAAAATGACAGCTCTCTCAAAGTTTTTGCATCCTTAGGTGTTACAGTTGTTTTTTCCAAGTTTGCTGATCTGAGGTTGTTCGTTGCAGTTGCAGGAGATGGACAATCAGTCTGAGGACTATTCGTTGAACCCATTGTAGGAAAATAAGTTAACAGACATTGTTAGAGATAGGCTTGTAATTAAACCTTTGAATTTGTCAAATAATGGAACACGTCAAGGGTCTTTCACCAGTCACCAACACCACTTTATTTTCCCATCTGTCGAATACGAATATACCAAAATCATTGAGCAATAACATAAAGAACACAGACTTATCAAATCACTTGTCAGAAATGATTGAAGAATAATAATAATAAAAAAAAGAATGTTTAAAATTACAAGACCCATTTTCCTGGACCAACCAGATATTACACAACATAATCAATGTGATATAAAACCTAAAAGTTGGTAAGGACGAATCTCATCCCAATTTACAAGATGCCAAAGCAGGAAAAAAAAAGTATTTAGGAAAAAAAGAGAATTAAAGACAATTAATCTTTGCAGAAATTGAGTTTTCGATTATTGTTGCTTTCTTCTGTACACCCATACACCTCCCAATACTTGCCTCCTTTTTACACCGAAACACCTGATTCAAGAGCTCTACCTCTGTTCATGTCTGGATCTTTGGGTGCTCCTCTCGCCTGATGTTTTCCTTGGTGCTGCGACCAATACCCGTATGCCCTCAACACTCTGTCTAGCAGTTCTTGTGGCACGGGCTCTCCTCTTCGTTGCTGCGGTGATATACTTGCTGTGTGAACCAGCGTCTTCCATTTGTCCTGCAAACATCACATGTTCTTGCAACATTAAGCTACTGTGAGACATGATATGTTCCACGGTTGCAAGTTTGTGTTTAATGTCTTTTACCTTCAAGTCCACGTAGGTCCGATGATCTGCATTCTCGAAAGCACGCAATTTCACATCACGCCATCTGTGTGATGAGATGAGATACATCAACCATTAGCTTTTGAGTATTGACATTAACCCACGACCGAACCAACCACGTGAACTATACCTTCCAGTCCCGAGTTCCTCAACTGCGTGCACGAGTGCTTCTACCTCTGCCACAGAGAAAGGTCTCCTCGTTCTGCGCTGGGAAAGCTCAGTACGCTTGGGTTTCTGGTTCAGTGGAACTATGGCAAGCGCCTTAACTTCCAAGGCTGGAAGTGGAACAAGCGCTCTTAAATCTGATGAAGGTTCATCAACAGATACGTCACTTTGATATGGAACTAATTCGAGGTTATTTTCCACAATATTTCCTGCATTAATCACGTCGTCGGCGTGGGGAATTCCAGAGTCTAACGTGGGAGAAGCCGCAGACCTGGGAAGAAGATCATCAAGAAGCGCTTTTGCTTAGCAATCTTCAAGAAGAAAGAATTCACCAGTGGTATTCGATTAAAGCAAATCCCGCAGCAGAATGACAAGATTAGCGAATTTTCTTAGTACCGTTCAGAAATATTTGCAGGTCCGTCTGGCACAACAGGATCTTCGGAACACAAAGGTACGGGAACTTTGCTGGGACTAGGCTCCAAGGTGAACCCAAGGTTGCGTAGATTCTCTTCACGTGAGATCCCACTCTGTGACAGAGTTTTCCTGTCATCTCTTACCTTCTTCCCATGTACTAATACCCCAACACGTATTCCACCGCTGAGTAAAACACTAACAGCCTCCATCACCGTCCTCTGTAACCAAAAGGGGTCAAAGATCACGATTAATACCTCAATGTCCACACAAGAGAACCAAACATATGCGAGGAATATAAAGGAAAATACACATTGCCATGTACCTTTAGTGATCCTACTGTTGCAGTTTCTGGAACTTCGATAAAAAGCTCTGGAATCCTAAAGGACTTGATGCTTAGCTTTACTGCACCAGAGATAAGAAAAACACATGAGAACCAGGTTATCAGGTCTCCAGATAAATGTCTCAGTGTCATATATATCAACCGGTCAAGTACCATGAGAGCCCTTTCAAATGGGGACCACAAGAGCTAAGATAAGATAACTGAAGAAGAGTTGCGATATAGACTACAATAACCACCTGCATCTCCCTTCTCAGCTAACTTGGAAACACTTCCACTACTGTGTCCTCCATCAGAAGTTACAACCGAGCTTCTGTCAGATGATCTTCTCCTCTTATAAATGGTCTCACGCTGAAACGCGTTGTATCCATAACATGATTTTCTTTTGCGGTAAAGAGCCTTTATACCAACATCTACACATTCGTGACCAAAGTAAGAACAGGGCACGGCACAAAATGATGACAATGTGTTTAATAAAATATAAGTGAACACACTTACCAGCTCTACTGTGTCCAAAATCCTTGGGAACTTGCTTCCAGTATTTGGACGACAGCGACTTTCTTATTCTTCGAATTGTCGGAGACCTATACGACTTAAATTTATTGCTAAGCTTATGATAACTAAATAATTTTTCATCATCATCTCTACCTAGGTTAGTATGGTTCCCATGCCTAGCATATGAACCATTAGGTGTCAAATTCACGAAAGATGGCGATTTTAAATCACCATCCACGTAGACTGATATCGGAAACTGCACACCCAATGCAGTTGTCTCCTCTACGTTGCAAGTATGAGTTGTACTTAAGCCTCCATCTCCCAAGCCCTTGGTTGCTTCTCCTTGTTCAAACCCAGTATTCACATTAACATCACCCGTCTCCGCAGTGATGCCTTCAGATTTGACGTAAAAGTCGCAGTTCCCGTTCTTGGCTTCACACCCTACAGACGCCACCAACCCATGAACCTTCTTGTAATCAGACATCGGAGTTCGCTCCAAAATGCCGTCACTGTCCGGAAATGAAAAGCTGTTCACCACACACTTGTCACTAGCGTTTTCATATGCAGTAGGCCTTGACACAGAGTTTCCTTGGTCAGAAGACTCGGATTTAAAAGGTTTGTAGTGATCTTCTTGTTCTTGTTTGATTTCTTTACCGAAACCCTCGAGATTGTTGCCTTCGAATGCATTGGAAGACGCCGAGGAACTCTCGCATTCCTGCAGCAACTTTCCAGCAAGAGAAGCGAGCAAGTCCATTCCACACATGTTAGTGTCATCATCGGTGCTCTTGTTCAGGACCTTCCTCTGAAAAAAAATCAGCCGAGAGTCAACAGAGAGCAATTCATGACATTGAGCTAAAACAGATCCAGGTGAGAAGCACATGGTCGTTTACCCTGCATGAACGAGGAGCTCTTGGAATGTTTGGGTAATTAAAGCCAACAGATAAGCAATCTAACTTCCTCTTGAACACCATCTCTCAGATATGCATATCACTAGCAAGACCAGGAAAAAACAAAAGTTGCAACGAATCAGCTCAAAAATTAACCTTGAGATCATGTTTAGCTAAATTAAGCATAATGAGACGCACATATGGAGAAGCCAAATCGTGTTAGGCATTTCAGGACTAAAGATCTAATATTATTCTACCCGAAAGCGAAACTCATGAAGTTGTCAATTTCATATTTGAAAACATTAATTTGGACACAAACCAGGCAGATCAGACACAGAATCAGGAAGTAAAGCAGCTTTAGATCGGATCAGAACAACCAAATCCGAGCCTTTGATGTAAGAAAAGGTAGAAAAGAGAAACGGATCATAGGAATGCAAAAGCTCACAAGTAAGATTGAACAACAAAAAAATCAAGACTCAAATGACAGAATTTGCTTACAACTCCAAAGAAAAGAACAAATCGAATTCAAGCTGAAAACGAACAGTAACTTGATGCTACCAATCAGATCTCGAATAAATTGCCAATTTCTATCGATCGTCGATCGTCTAAAGAATTTAACCGGAATTAGCACATGATCAGGGTCAAAGATCGAAAATCAACAAAAACCCAAAGTTTAGAGATCGGTAATCAATTCGATCAGAACTCACCTATCAACCACCAGTTCCTTGATCACGATCCAGAACCACTAAATTACAGATCACGCAAACTGAAACCCAAATTTGCCATACCGGTTTGTATTTTTAATATATATATACACAAACAATGTTGTACAAATGAGAAATGAGAATCGATCTATACAGAAGTTCGGAGATTATGAGGTTTAAGAAGGAAGAATTCTCGAGTTTTGCGGTATGAATCCGTCGTTGTCCCTATAAAAGAAAGAAGGAAGAAGACGTGAAAAGCCCCACAGAAACAGAAAAACCCTTTTTTTAATATATATTCTCGTAATAATAAAAAGTATTATTGACCACACAAATGACAATGGGTTGGGATGAGGCAGTTGAGGGGAAACCGGTTAACCGGCTGATGACGGTTACCCTCGTAGTATGTAGTATTGTAATAAACCCCTCTCTCTGGTGAACCGGGTGTTGAGGGTCACCCTCTCTCTCTCGGACCATTTCTTAAAGAAGATAGGTTTGTCAGAAGAATCTTAATTTTAGGGATCGGATAAAAACAATAAAATAGTGTTTGTGACTGGAGTGGGGTCTTTTTAATACAACAAAACTAGTCCTATCACTCTTCCACGTGGTACAGAAAGCCTCTGTGTGAACTCAGAAGTACAATGCTTTGGTAATAACGTCACAAGGTTCACTAATCTGAGTGATAACATGAATTCCCTCCATAATTGTTCATGTGCTTCCTATGTTAGACATGCTTCTGAAACATGTGCTAATGCGGCCGAAATGAACGTGGTCTTTGTTTTAAATGTTAAATAAGTGTGTGTAATCATCTGTAAAATGGTCATGCTCTTGTGTTAGATGCGTCGTGGCGTAGTGAGCGTGTCTGTATCTGTGGACGGTTTTGGACACTCGTAACCTTCGTGATTATGGGCCGCGTGAAAATTGGTTAACGGGTCGACTCGGACCATTCTATAAGGAAAGCACAATGAAATAGAGATGGTGCTTAATCGAATAGCTCTCTAATCAAAAGCTTTCTTTCCGTTCGTGACTATATATATTGGTATAATTTGTTGAGATTCTGATACTCATAGATAAACCCATATAATGAACAAAGAAAAGTGGATAAAATTTAGAAGACGAGGAAAAAGAGTAAACCAGAAGGCGGAAGACTGATCCACTCTTGCGCAATGGCATGGCGAAGCCTCATGGCATAAATCGCATTTATCTCAAATTTGAGCTGCAGAAGTGGACCACGATGCCATTCTTTAACACACGGCCGAAAACAGTTTACCAAAATTCAACATGGTAAATGGAGCTTAGAGATTTTTTAGTGATCCATATACTTTATTCTCTAATTATTTGCCCTTATGCTTTTCTTTGTTAGAACCTTGATAATGTGTGGTGCCAATCAAGGAGATTATAATTACTATAGCTAGTATTTCGCACTTTTACGTTTATTAGTAGTCCATTTTTCATGTTTTTATATTATTTAATATAATCAATTTTATATAACTTAAGAGCAACTTCAATGGTAACACCATTATAAGGGATCTTATTGATTAATTAATAATATTTTGTATATTTTATGTGTATAAGATACTTTGAAGAATTTTGTTGTTTTTAAGCATACAATAGAGATACTTTGATGGGTGTTTTAAAAAAAATATATAATTTTTTTTAATAAATTTATGTAAAAGCTTATTTTAACAAATTTTAAATCATAATATATTTTTACAAAGGTAATACATAGAAACATATAGATTATAGAAATGCAATTCAGTGCTTGTTGAGAAACATTATTCTTTAGAATTCCAGTGTTTGTTGCTAGGTTTGGAACTTCGGATAATTCGGATCGGATAATTCGGATAATCAGATAGTTCGGATTACTGAAATTCTACCGAAAATAACCGAAATTTAATTCGATTCGGTTCGGTTCGGATATCGGATAGTTCGGATATTAATTTTCTTATCTAAAACTATCCGAATTTTTGTTTTTTTTTTGTTTAAATTAAGTTAAATTCGGTTAATTTTGGATAGATTCGGGTTATTTCAGGTATTTTCGGATAATTTCAGATATTTTTGGATAGTTCGAATATTCGGTTCGGTATAATTTGATACAATTTAATATATTTTGGTATAATTTATTTTTTTTAAAAAAAAAATTCAGCAAACTGAACCGAACTGAACCGATAACCGAACGAAATTTAAAATCTGTCCGATCGGTTTTCCTTCAATAACTGAACCAGAATCAAAAATCAAAAAATTCGGTTCAGCTCGGTTCAGTTTAAAATCTCGGGCCTACTTGTTGCAATCAGGAGAGACGAAAAAAAAAATATATATTTTGTGTGTTAATTTTTTTGTCCACTCACATGTTGATACATGTCCGTTCTTAACTCAAAAAAAAGATCCTATACTAGACACATATCTTATATATTAGATACTCTTTCTAATTTTTTTATTCAATTATAATATTAGATACTCTTCTTTAGACTCTTGATATCACCATTGGGGTTGGTCTAAGATACAAAGATATAAAGAGTGTATATGTGTATTGTATCTTTTTATGAACGAAGTGTGTATTGTATCTTGACATGCGGCTTCTCAAGAAGCTTCGAGAGGGAACTCTTTTGAGGAACCCTCCAACAAGATATATATCATATATGTGAGATCTCACAAATAACGAGTCCAAGAACCTATACGTCTTTTACAACTCCAATTGCTGAAGTATGGACTCTCATTTCGCTGACGACCAATCTACGTTAGGCTCCATAAATGCAGCAATGATAGGTTGCACACCACGTCCATGACCAAAGGGAATTGCACCATAGCGTATAGACTATAGTCTATAGAACCTAGGCTTGTCTTTCACGACATAAGTTGAAGTAAATATGATGCTTTATGTCAAATCTCGCTTACTAAAAAATTCAAGAATTCGGATAATCTAAACGGTTCATATAATTTGTAGAAGTATTCCTTCATATACTATAGAGTTCACAATTCTAAAAAAGACACAAATTAAAACTCACCTCTTAGAAAAAGAATGTCAATTTCAATTTAAAATTTAATGGTATTCCTTCAGCGTCCCTTCGCCCAAAATAGTATTTTGGATCGCAAAATCTTCTTTTAAGCTTTATAGCCTTTATTCATTCCGATACTTCCACTGCCCATGTAATTTTTTATTTCTGATTTAAGCATCACATAATAGTTGGGAACTTGGGTGTCATTCTAAATATTTTGACCGTTTATTTATTTACAAGTTTATACTATCGCATCCAAAAGATAATAAATGCATATATGTGTATATATAAATTATTATTTTATTAATGCACTTTCTTATTTTAGTTACCTTTTCTATGTGGCTTTCGATTTTTTTTTTCATTCACTACATATAAGAATAAATATTTTTCATTACTTTTTAAAAATTAATTTGCTTTGACATAATATCTTGTTAATTTTATAAAACTAGTACCTGTCACTTGCTTTAAAAAATGTAATATTAAATAATTTTGTTTTTTTAAAAAACATCTAACAGCTAATAACAAAAGTTGATTATCCAAGTAATAGTCATTAACTTGTTAATCAATGGTCAGTATATATTGACGGCTACTAACGCAAGCAAAATCATTGACCGCATATTTTTGACTGACGCAGCCCTCCAAACTCCGTCAACGTAACGGCGTTAACTAACGGCGTCTTCTGTGTTAAATAGCGAGTCTTCAAAGACTCTCTCTCTAGCTGGATTTCTCTCAAAATTTGGGATCATTGTGACAGGAGCGCCTCTATTCCTTCTCCGCCGATACGCACTCTTCTTCTAGCTGCTCCGTCAGATTTGCTCCTAGGTTAGTTTTCTCCTTCCTTTTTCCTTTTCAATCTTCGATGATCCTGCTGTTTTTTTTTTTTATCTGAATTCCATCTCATTTGATTTTGCAATTAAACGAGGGGAATCACTGATTATCTTGTCGAATATCTAAGAAAATATGGAAATAGATGCTATCAGATTTGTGGATAAGATTGTTAGATCCCTAATTCGTTCGTGTTTTTTTGGTTCTTCTAATGAAAAAAGTGTTATTGATTTGTTTCGTGAGTCCTCTCATTTCCGGTATGTTCTTATTAGGATTTAGATAAGGGCTTGTTAAAATTTAGGTTGACCGTAATCTCTTTCTTTTGATCTCTCGATTGATATTCAGGTATGGGATTGTTGCTCACGATGTGTAGTACTGTTTCTTAGGCCCATGTTCTGGAGCTGATAGTAAAATTCCGTGAAATTTGTTTGGTGGGGGAATCGTGAGATCGTGTCAGATGAAGATAACATCGAGTTGCAGCTATGGGTTTGTCGACTGATGTTCTAATCTCTAATCGGCAAGAACAAGGAGTGAGATATGGGTGAGACTCTCATCACATCCCTGTCTATGGAGAACTATCACCCGTCGACATTTCTGTCCATGGATTCAGGCGCTTTCACTCACGAAGAAGCAGAGAGGGAGACAAACCGGTCGCTCATACTTTCGGGACCTCCTGATATCAATCTCCCGCTCTCATCTGAAGTAAGCCCGTCTCTGCTTTTGTGGAATGAACACTGTGACATCTTAGACGTTGGACTCGGGCCTCAGCTGTACGAGCCCGAGGCTGTTGTTCATGTGCCGAAGGTTGCCAAGAAGTATAACAAGCGTGTTGATAGTGCATGGGGTGCTTGGCTTTTCTTCAGTTTCTACTTCAAACCTGTTCTGGACGAGAAGTCCAAAAGTAAGTTAATGAGGGACAGCAATGGCTTGTCCGGGTATGATAAATCTGACTTGCAGCTCGACTCCTTCTTGGTTCAGCATGATATGGAGAATATGTACATGTGGGTGTTCAAGGAAAAGCCTGAAAATGCACTTGGCAAGATGCAGCTGCGTAGTTACATGAACGGGCACTCACGCGAGGGGGAGCCTCCTTTCCCTTTTAGCGTGGACAAAGGTTTCGTCCGCTCTCATAGGATGCAGAGGAAACATTACCGTGGTCTTTCTAACCCACAGTGTCTCCATGGGATTGAAGTTGTTCAGTCACCCAACCTTTCTGTTCTTAACGAGGACAAAAGGAAGAAGTGGACGGAACTCACAGGTCGAGATCTGAACTTTACCATTCCGCCTGAGGCAAGTGATTATGGTTCTTGGAGGAATTTCCCAACGACGGAATTTGAGTCTGAGCGACCTGTTCCTCAGGCGAAAGCTAACGGGCACGCCCACCTTAAAAAGCTGAACGGCACCTGTCTGAATCTGTCTACACATTCACCAGACCACGCAGTCGATACCGTGGAAGTTCAACTCGCTTGTAACAGTAAACGCAAAAGAGACTGTCTCGCTCTGGGAAACTGCGATGACTCGAGCTCAAGTGAGAAATCTCTGGACATGAAAACCCAAGCAACAGATCTGCCATGGTCAAATGACTTCAGCGGGGTGATGAAGAATGTGTATGGGCCAGTCACAGCCGCGAAAACGATATATGAAGATGACAAAGGGTTCTTGATAGTTGTGAGCCTGCCATTGGTTGATCCGGGAAAGGTGAAAGTGACATGGAGGAATACACCAACACATGGAATTGTGAAGATATCATGTGCAAGTATAGCATGCGAGCCATTCATCAAGAGACGCGATAGGACATTTAAGCTAACAGATCCCACACCAGAGCATTGCCCACCAGGAGAATTCGTCCGGGAAGTCTCCCTGCCAAACCGGATTCCAGACGACGCCAAGCTCGAAGCTTACCGGGACGAAACCGGAACAACGCTAGAGATTTTAGTGCCTAAACACCAAACGGGACCAGAGGAGCATGAGGTTCGCGTCTGTCTCCGTCCGTTCGGGTTAGAGTGAAGATTGTAGTGCATAATTTCTTTAAAGGATTTTATTGGTTCTTGTATCTGATTATTCATATTTATTAATAAATATTTACTCATTGCTTTGCTTTAACGAGGTTAGAGTTACGAAAATAGTAAATACGGAAAAGAAATTCTTAAAGCAACGGACTAATCACACAGCAGGTTTCAAAATAACATTGAAAACATAACTAAGCAACAAAAAAACAAACAGCTGGAAAATAAAAGCAAACTCAGTAACAAGAGAGATAAAAGACTTAATCAACTTCTTCAATCTTGGGGCCAGCACCGCCGCTGCCACTAGCCGGAGCATCATCGTCCATTCCTCCAGCACCACCCATATCAGCACCGGCGCCGCCTTGGTACATTCTCGCAATGATTGGGTTGCAAATAGTCTCGAGCTCCTTCATCTTGTCCTCGAACTCATCTGCCTCCGCCAGCTGATTTCCATCCAACCACTCAATGGCTTGGTCAATCGCATCCTCAATCTTCTTCTTGTCAGCTGCGTCGAGCTTGGATGCGATCTTCTCATCCTTAATCGTGTTCCGCATGTTGTAAGCGTAGTTCTCGAGGGCGTTCTTTGCGTCGACCTTCTTCTTGTGCTCTTCGTCCTCAGCTTTGTACTTCTCCGCTTCTTGTACCATCTTCTCGATCTCTTCCTTCGACAGCCTTCCCTTGTCGTTTGTGATTGTGATCTTGTTCTTCTGTCCCGTTGTCTTGTCCTCAGCCGACACGTTCAGGATTCCATTGGCGTCGATGTCGAAACACACGGTGATCTGCGGAACACCTCTTGGTGCAGGTGGTATACCGCTAAGCTCGAACTTCCCCAAAAGGTTGTTGTCCTTTGTTCTTGCTCTCTCTCCTTCGTAGACTTGGATCAGTACACCGGGCTGGTTGTCTGAATAGGTCGAGAATATCTGCTCCTTCTTGGTCGGAATCGTGGTGTTCCTCGGAATCAGGACGGTCATAACACCACCGGCGGTTTCCAAACCCAAGGACAAGGGAGTGACATCAAGGAGTAACAAATCTTGGACCTTCTCGTTCCCTTCACCGCTCAAGATCGCAGCTTGAACAGCTGCTCCATAGGCAACAGCTTCATCAGGGTTAATGCTTTTACAGAGCTCTTTCCCGTTGAAGAAGTCTTGCAAAAGCTGCTGCACTTTGGGGATTCTTGTGGAGCCACCAACGAGGACAACATCATGGACACCGCTCTTGTCCATCTTAGCATCTCTCAAACACTTCTCCACGGGCTCCATACACTTCCTGAAAAGATCCATGTTGAGTTCCTCGAATCTGGCACGAGTGATGGTCGTATAGAAATCGATGCCCTCGTAGAGGGAGTCGATCTCTATTGTCGTCTGAGCGGTCGAAGAAAGGGTCCTCTTCGCCCTCTCGCAAGCTGTCCTCAGCCTCCTCAAGGCTCTTGGGTTCCCAGTGATATCCTTCTTGTGCTTTCTCTTAAACTCCTGAACGAAATGATTCACCATCCTGTTGTCAAAATCCTCACCACCGAGATGCGTGTCACCAGCCGTGGCCTTCACTTCAAAGATACCTTCCTCAATCGTAAGCAGAGACACATCGAATGTACCACCGCCCAAATCGAAGATGAGAACGTTCTTCTCGCCAACACTAGACGCTTTCTTGTCTAGACCGTACGCAATCGCAGCCGCGGTTGGCTCGTTGATGATACGCATCACGTTGAGACCAGAGATGACTCCGGCATCTTTTGTCGCCTGACGCTGAGAATCGTTGAAGTAAGCAGGCACTGTGACCACAGCGTTCTTAATGGGAGAGCCAAGGTAAGCCTCTGCAATCTCCCGCATCTTTATAAGGACCATCGAGGAGATCTCCTCTGCAGAGAACTGTTTCTCCTCTCCCTTGTGGTTGACGACGATCATCGGCTTCTCCGCCGGGCCGGAAACAACCTTGAACGGCCAGTGCCTCATATCCGCTTGAACAGAAGGATCGCTGAATCTTCTACCGATGAGACGCTTAGCATCTGCGAAAACACGACAAAACGTTAGCTCCTCGAAGATCCTAAATCAGAACACGAAATCAAACACTAAACCGTCTCCAATTTCTACATAATCAGAAGATGAATATTCCTACTGGAAGCAAAATCGATATGTGCCGATCAACAAAACTTCGAGATGCAGTAAGCAGATGGTATATGCTCGAATTCAAAACAAAGTGTTTAACTAAAGATCAAAAAGCAGCTGAAGTCTTACCGAAGACGGTGTTGGTAGGGTTCATGGCGACCTGGTTCTTGGCGGCATCTCCGATGAGACGCTCGCTGTCGGTGAAGGCAACGTAGGAGGGAGTCGTGCGGTTGCCTTGATCGTTGGCGATGATCTCGACGCGGTCATGCTGCCACACACCGACGCACGAGTAGGTAGTACCGAGATCGATACCGATTGCTGGACCTTCGCCTTTACCCGCCATTAGATAATCAAATTCTTCGCCGGAAAATAAAAATCGGAAGCTGTGAATGTGAGCCTTTTTTTCTGTTTTCCTTCTTTGAAATCAAGAGTGTTTCTTTTAGCTCTGAGCAGGGGAAGGGAGAAGAATTTAAATAGTCTGTAAAAGAGGTTCGAGAATGTTCAGGTGATACGATTTCAGCCGTTGGATCGTATTTGTCCACCCCTTCAGTTTTTACATTTCCTTATTTGTCGTTGGTTCTAGCTCCTTCGAGAGGTCTCTTTTAAATATGTCCAAAACTCAAAAAGAAAACTGCCGTTTTTATGAGAAGTCAAGTCCATATTACCCAATTTCTCATTTCTCACCGTCTTTTCCACACATCATACACACGGTAATTTTATAAAATAAAATAAAACATTCAAATACCACAAAATTTTAGTTTCAAATATACCGCAAATATCAAAGATTTTATTAAGATCTCAAAAAGTTTCCAGAAAATCATTTAAAACTCTTTATAAACTGAATTTGGAATACTTTTTGAATTTTTGAATTTTGATGGTGGCTGTAGAAAATAAAGATAAAATGTTGTACTTTTGGGAATTTGGTCATGCAATGCAATTTAATCTTGGCAGTAAAATTGTAAATAGTTTGTTTTAGTTTTATTATCAACTACATTGGATGTATCATGAGAAAAACGAATCTTACTACATAGAACGATCTATGGTCATTGGATTAAACATTCTACGGTTGTCGGAACGAGTTTATCGACTTGCAGATAAAATCTTAAAATTCATCAAACATGCCGACAAAGTTGGAAAGGGTTATACACTAGAAATTTTTTTTTATGAAATGCAGATAAACAAAATCGATTCTAGTCCCGCATAGTAGAGAAAGAAAAATTGAAATAGAGATGTGACAATCTCGATAATATTTTCTTCATCTCAACAAAGACTGCTAATAATTATCTCTTTTCAGTTTGAAACAGATATAAACTAGAAAGCCTTATTACATCATCTAATAAAATCCATCACTTAAGTCGCTTCGTATTTGGGATCAGCAGCTACGTAATGATAAGCAATTACCAATGCGAAGATGAAGATGCCAAGGAAATTGACTATAAACCCCAAGTCTTGATCATCGATCATCTGCACCAACACGAACAACATTTGAGCAACACTTCTTGTTCCATCGACAAACAAACATATATAATTTTTTCGTAACAGTAATGTAACCGGTGTTCTTGTATCTAACCAATTCATCAAAATGTATCAGATTGTTCCCAAACTTTTCCAACTTGACACAAAACTGTAGTCTAATAGATTGCAAGTCATAATGGTAAACAACATCATGCAGCTCCATAAACCCAATTAGAGCTAGACCTAAATTCAATTGATGATAATGCTATTTGACCAAATTGATAGTACTAGTATATTGCATAAAAAAACAAATAAAACAGATGATCCCAGTGGGAATCGAACCCACGACCTTTAGATTCGGAGTCTAACGCGATATCCACTCCGCTATGGGATCACATTGGAGTAGAAGTTGAGACTCAAAGCATCTAAAACCGAAAACGTGACACAATTCGACAAGAGAATTTGGCAGTAATCGCCGACAGAGACGGATTCAAAGGACCATCGCACAGATGGCGCCCAGAGAAACCTTTCAGTCGCGAAATACTCACAACACAAAACAGACTTAGACTGAGCGGATCAAAAAATCAAACACAATTGTAGGAATCAAATCTCTCAAGAAAGGATGTATAGATTTTAAAATTGAGCAAGAATTACCGTTAAATGAGGAAGGGAATCGGTGGTAAAGGATCAGATCTCCAGGATACCAGAAGCGATTTACAGAACAGAACCAAGTATTGGATCTCCTCACTCAGGGTTTCGCGGTCTCTGAGGGCTTTTTATTTACTCCTTATCACGAAACAAGCCTGGCCCATTTATTTAATCAATTTTCATAACGTGGTTAGTTACTATGTTTGTGTCTTGATTGTTTTGTTCTTTATCAAATTGGTTTGGTTCCAACTCCTCTTCTTTCCTAAATTTTAGAAACAGAGTTCACTAACAAGAAATTTCCTATGTTTGTTATCTTCTCAAATCAGAGACATTGGCAGCAAAAAAAACAACAAGGAGAAATTAGTTTTGTTTAGATTACAAAAGCACTGGTTAGGTTCACACTTTTCACATATAAACCACTTCAAAAGGCAAAACATTCGACACCCAAAGGCCAAAAAGCCTCTATCTCTAGTTCTCTACACAACACAACCCCTAACTGGATTTGTTCCTGACTGTACAAAAGCAGAGCTCCGAGAAAAATAAAATTTCTGGAGCTGCAGCCTCTGTTCATGATTTGTTACTTTTACACACAGATCATAAGAGAGAAAATTTCAGTTTGTTAGACCAAAAAAATGACATGCCGGGCTATAATCAGAAGCTCGGTAAGTTCCTTAAAGTCGCGCCATTCCCGCAGAAAAAGGAGAAGGCGGATGGAGTTATATATGTCACACTTGTGTTGATCCCTTCATCCAACTCTTTGCTATCAACACCTTTCTTCTCAACCTTCAGATCTCAACCAACGGGAGGCATCATAGCCAAAGTGATGACAGATAATCTCGCCAAACTCTGTCGCACACGGAGCCATATCTGAATTCACTTGCTGCTACTTTCGTCCAGTATCTATAAATCGTCTTTTACTTGCACACAATTCTTTTCTTCTTTTTTCACGGCAGGAAGCGGGTAACTAGGGTGCTGCTAAAGTAACTCTCTAAGAATTTTCTGAAACCGAGCAACCTACGGAAGCCATATATACGAAACGGCAGACTTGTGAGAGCCGCGAGTTTAAAGCTCGTTTGATAGCTGAAGTATACCACACATCTGCAGGTATGGATTCTCCAGCAGTTTCTCGTTATTGCTCTGCACAAAACAAGAATACTATTATATATGGCACAAAACAAAGGAGAAGCTCATTGATATTTGTGGTTCTATGACTCCAGACTCTAATCTATTACAGTAGCATTACCTGCTGAGCCTTAAAGACAAGCTTCTGAAGCATGTTTTGGTATTTCTCAGGTTCCTCCGTCATCATCCTCTAAAATAATCGAAACTTCAACCGGTGAGCCAAAAACAAAATAACCAAAAAATATCTGAAAACTTATTTTTTCTTCCGATGTATGTCTTTCAAAATCAAAATGGTGAATTTGAGAAATTTTCTTGCCTTCAGAAGAAATGCTGAAGAGTAATAAGCCACCCTTGAGTCAGTATCATCCAGGAGTTCCCTGCAATAATATACATAAGTTTGTAAATGCCATGGAAAAATGTTGCACTGATAAATCAATTTGGTTTGTAGGTATGGAAGAGTCGATGAATCACCTAAAAAACTCCTCTCCACCAACTTCTTGAAAAGCAACTGTATCTGCTGTGCATTTACCGATCAGAAGTAACAGCAGGGTGGCTCGAATATCAGAGGTTGCCCCTGGAATGTTTCCTCTTCCTTTGCTTCCAACTGCGACACCAAGTGCTATGTTGTCCGTTGCTGCACCTGCTAGTTGAATCAAGGGCCAGTAGAACAAAGCCGCTGGGACACGCGCAACCAGCTGCATAGGGACGATGGCCTGTCCACGAAGAAGCATTGCTGCCATTGACGCTGTCTCGCACGTTGAAACAGAGACATTGTTGTACCGAGGCCTGGTGTCAGCTTCCTCCACAGTTTCTTTATAGCTGTTACGATGGGATGTTTCAAATTTGCTATTTCTATCAGCAGAATTGGGCACTGTCTCCTCATCAGTAGACAAAACTTTCAAGCACAATTGCGAGAAAAGAATGTCACACATCTGCTTGGAAACAACAGAGAGAAGAGTCAATTAAACTTCATCTGGATAAAAATTCCAAAAAGAAATAGGCACAGTAGTCTTTGACGCCAGTTACTCCAGATGTATAACATATATATTGATAAATATCAGCAAGCTTTTGAGTAGCCTTTGATTGAACATTTGGGAAAAGCAAACGAAAAGAGCAAACAAAAGTATTACCTTTAAGATGTTAATCCGGTCAGTCTCATTTATTTGTGCCATCAAAGACAGAGCACTGCTCATTATGTCTATAACAGCATTTGCTTTCTCTAGTCGTGTGTCTTTATGATCCTGACTAGCATTCCCACCAGTTGATCGCTGTGTCTCATTCTCATCTAGTAAGAACTTGGAACGCATAAGAAGCCTCTCCAGAATGAACAAGAAACCCCATCTGATAACACTGTTTCTTGACTTCAAGAGTCCACATAGAAGGTGTATGGAAACAGGTATATCAGAAGTATCTAGAGAGTCGGAGGAACCACAATGAGCAATCTTTTGCTGCAGATCTTTAATGCTCAGCCATATACTTCCACCACTCTCTTCACTAATTTCCGCAATCAGAAGATCCCCCAACCAGATATATCCATTTTGACGGTATGTGGCCCTTTCTGAATGAAGAAGAGAGTGCAAAGTAGCCCAAGCTAGATTCACTGACATGCTTATATCATTTCTTAACACTTGAATGCTTTCAATGAACTTGGAAGATTTGGTTATTTGTTTGAGATGCAAAAACTCTGTGTCTAAGTGAGTAAATGAACCTATTATCGTGTCAAATTTTTCTGTTATATTTGCCAAAAGCTGCAAGAAAGTAAAGAAAAAGGAGTTAGAGAAGAGCTCTGACTGGCAAACCATTTAAACGAAGACTCTTTGTCAAATCCTCAGAAAACGAATTGCAAGATACTCTCACAAGAACAAACCTACCTGGCTTAGACGTTCACTGTTGCTGAACCCAGACAATGCTGCAGCAATTGATCTTCGCAGGATTTCCCCTATGCCTTCAACACCAAGCTTAACAGAAATGTAGAAAGCTTCAGGTGCATCAGCAAGAGCAAGCCGAACAGCCAAAGGTTGAATCTCATCATCTGTGTACTCAGAAAGACCAGCAGCTGAGCATGCCTCATTAATTTGATGCAGGACATAGTCAAATAAAACCGAGTAGAGATTTCTTCTTTCCTCTCTAGTGGTTGCCAAAGAGTACTGTATCAATAAGATGAATCCCTTAATCTACTAGAAAATTATTAAGGCTCAAAGCGTCTATTAGGATGAATTTTGAGAAAGGTCATTCAGTCTAACAGAACATTTTTTCGCAGTACCTCACAGAAAATGAACTCCACACCACCAATCAGATCGACCTGGTCTATAAGAAATTTTGAGGCACTTGAAGTTGCTTTGGTAGAGCCATCTAGTTCTGGAGATCGATAAAACATGTTTGTCATGATACAAATAAGCTTGGAGTGAACAACTTCTGACCAAGAATTCCTTTTGCTAACTCCTAGAAGAGCCTTGATAACCTGATTCAAAGAAAGTGACTGGCTCGTCAAAAAGTACAACTTGGCATGAGAACCAATTTATTGGTAGCACAGGACCGGAAACAGAAAGAAATACAAAAGACAGATCCAAATTAGAGTAGGAGGGGAATGAAAGAAGGCAATAATCAACATAGCAGAAGGCAAAGATAAATTTAGCAGCATAGGACTGACTTACCCTTATGTCAAGACCATTTAACTGGTTTCTCCGTATTTTGCCTCTATCACAGACAAAATAGAGCAAGCAGCTGAGAGCAGATGCCCAAACGGATTCCTCCTTTTCCTCAACCTACGAAAACAATTTTTAAGGTATAAAATCCTAAACAAGTCTAGTTTTGACGTCAAACCGGAGATGCAAGAAGCATGTAAGGTACCTGAACTAGGAGAAGAAGTATTTCAAATAAGATTTTTAATATCCAAGACTCGAAGTTCTCAATAGCTGAAGAACTGCTTGACATCTTCGGCAAGTCTTTCGTTCTTGTCCCTTGCAGCAGTAGCCTATTTTCATTGTCAATAAATGTTTCTTGGGCGTATTCTTCCTCAATGGTTGTAGCATTATCATTCATCATTGGCTCTAACAGTTGTGCATGAACTCCTAAATTAAGAATTAAATCAAATACACGAATCCTACAAGCTGCGTTTGTGGAGCATAGCATTTCCTGAAATAAATTTACAAGCAGGGCTAGATTAGTTAGTAAGCAGTTTAAATATCACAATACTATATCTGCGTCGAAGTCACACCTCAAGCATGGAAAGAGTAAGAGGGGCAGCAATTCTGGCGTCCAAGACATACCTAAAAAATAAGTTTTTCAAAACGGTGTACCATAAGCTTGTCAATAACTATAAAAGGGAGGAATGATGATTAAAAATACACGATTAAGTTAGCGGCAGAATTACAGAGCGTACATGTCAATAACAAGCTTTATCAGGACGCTCACAGCCACATCCATTGACGGCTTCCCAGTCTTGCTAGTTAATTGGGGTGATACGGTCATTTGATTTGAAGGGGTGGATGATGCCTCGGAGCAAACAGCGGCGATCACCTCACCTACCTCCGCAGAGTTTAGGCGCAGTGGTTGTTGTTCACTACAAATCATGCAGGGAAAGAGAGTCATTTGTTGTCATAAAGTCGAAAGCTAAAATTTGCATCAGAAAGATGCTTCCATGCAGATAATCCCCTTTCATTTACAACAGCCAACACAAACAGTTATTTAAGGTTCAAAAGGGAAACCTTATTACGTGACATTAAGCTAAACCTTATTAACACCTATTGCTATTACGGAAGTCTTGGCAAAAGATACCCAAAGATCATTAAGAATCCCATTTTCTACCTGTAATGACGATACTGAAAAAGTGGTCTGGCACGTGGGCGAAATGTGCTGACTGTGGAATCATCCCTGCAGATCATACAAATCCTCAATCAAAAAACACACACTAACTTTCAAAACAGAGTTTTATGTTTTAATATAAGAATTTGCCCAAAACATCATCCTTTTTATGTCGAATCATGCAAAAGTGCAATCCCCGAAAAAATATCTATTGTAAATAGCACCATCTATGTGATTCTTTCAAAACTATCTGGGATGTCATTCTGTCAATGGTAGAACAATCTCTAAAAATGCAGAAAGGGTCATAAGCTTTTTTGTCATCAAGTGGAGGGTTTTCGTTATCAACAAAATGCTGGTTTCCAAAACTTAAAAAGGACAAGATCATCAACTCACCCAGATTAAGTGCCACTTCATAAAACGCCCTTGATTAAAAAGATAATATACATATTTTTTTGCTTCTATTCTAGAGGAAAAAATTATAATTACTTCTTGAAATCTAGGAGTCCAGTTTATTGGCGGATAAAAAGAGAGTCGCGTGAAAGCTTGCAAGGCACAAAAGGCAAGTATAATCTTACGCCATCACTTAGGCAAAAATCACAATAGAATACATACCAGATCTGCTGAGGGCCAGCTTTAGTGCGTTTGGAAGCTGTTATTGCTCGCAAGTGGGAGCGAGCTGAGGCTGAGTTTGTTATCATCGTGACTGAAGCTGGCTGCAACAATTGTTCTAAGTAAGGCATCTCTGTGGTACCAAAATATTTCCAGTGTTGGCCCTTCATTTTAGCTTCCATATCTCCTACGAGTAGGCCGGCAGCACCAACTTCCAGAAGATTACAATTGTTCATGTCTTGGAGATTCACAGGTCGTTCGCTAACCATGCAGAGAGAGTATTATCAGCGATAGTCGTACTATAGCCATGCAATGAAGCAACTGCTTACAATATTAACTGAAGGAGTGTTTCTCTACTAAGATACAAGAGTGTATAGTCAAGAAAAGAAGCAAAGATGCGTTTGAACATTTGTAAGAACAGAAATCATGTATGATCTACCTTTCAGAAGAAGCTGATGATAACTGGAGCTCCCCAACCCAACGCCAATTCAGTAAGTCTGGTGATATGTATTCAATGTCTTCCATTGAATTAAATTCTTGTATATTAGACAAGTTCGAAGTAGACAGATTTGCAGCATCCTTTTTCTGTGGAGACTCTGCGGCATTTGCAGGACTTAGTTGAGAATTGAATGATTTGCTCAACAAAGAGGATAGAGATGGCAATAACTGTCTTGACGCAAGAGTAGCTCCCGCAAATGCTGCAGGTTGGAAGGATCGCTTCGGGATATGTAAAGCCACAAGGGAACGCACATAATGCAATGACTTCACCAAAGCTGTAGAAGCAAAACTGGACACTGGTAAAGGAGAAGCACCAGTTGGTGCTGATAAAACAGGCAATGATTTTTGCTTCAAGCTAGCATCGCACTCGGCAATTAGGTTTACGCAAAATCTATCGACCTGCAGTAGTGTCTCCTCCCCAGGCTTATATCTGTAGTGGAGGAACACCTAGAGATCATTATAATGTAAAAATAAAGTCCATGGGAAACACTGGACGACTTGTTTACATAATACAGACAATCCTCATAATATAACAAAAGAAAATGCACACTTTAACATCTAGGTTTGAACATATTCAAATGATCTACCAAATCATTAACCAATAGCAGTCCCCATAAACATAGCACAAATTATGGTAATAGTGAGAAGGATGAGCTGAGGGACTTTGATAAGTGAAAGAGATGCTAGTTCAAAGAAGTAACTGAAAATAATCAAGTTCATATTATTCGACTAAACTATATTACCTTAGGAGATACCGTTTCAGTAATGCCACACACCTCGTCACCACGGCTGGACTGCATAAAATTGTTTGCACATTAGCAACAAATATAACTTAAAACCATGATACTAAATATTTTATATTACAACAATAGCTTATATGAGGTGCTATTTATCAATAGGTCCATGTAGCAATAAGTCCCCATGTACTCTACAAGACAACCAGGGCTGATGGTATATCTATGCCTTTTCCAACTCTGCTCAATTATTTCATGGAGACTTTTGAGTATTCTTTATGTTAAGCTATCAGGAGACTTACAAATCTAAATACTGTTTTCTCATACACTCACATACTTTATTTTCCTCTGGGGTCAAGCTAAAACGACAACATCCATATATAAATATAATTGCATTTACATCATCCATATTCTGGCAAAAAGTTCTCATTTTCAGCATTGAAACTATGTCTATCCGTTCAGGCCTTCCATATTCGAAGACATTAATTTCACTGAATTCTAAAGCTAAACCCCTATATCAGAGTTTCACTACCATGACTTAAAAAGTTCCCGACGGACCATATATACATGTCACCGATCCAAAACATGAATCAAAAGAGTCAATTACCTGCGATCTCTCTCTGCTACAGTATGCTCTAACAACATGTTGTAGGCCAGGTCAGTCGTGGCAGAGACTGATAAATAATCCTGTAATCATATCCACAAGTGATTGCGTGAGATTATACAGTTTCCATACAAAAAACACAGTTCCAGGCAATTACAAAGGTCCTACCAAGCCAAGAAGATATATAATGAAAGGAGGCCTTCTCCATCATCACATTTGGAATCAAATTCAATGGGATCAGAAACAATAGGAGGAATGTGTGGTATATAGCAGAAGGTCTTCATAAAAATCGAACATGGTAACTAGAAGTACTGGTACCACAAGAAAATAGAACATTACCAGCTCTAATAATCAATTCCAATGCAGACACTACTCAAAGAAAAGCGACTAATATCTTGTTACTATTCGTTTAGGCTACATAGAACTCGTTTATCGATGGAAAACCCAAAAAAAAATCCCTAGATACTCAATTCCTCTCGCTAGACAGCATAAACAGGACCAATTTGCCGCAAAAAGGGAAATACTACGAGAGAGAATCCCATTTCACAATAAGGAAAAATAAAATAAAAAAGCAAGCAATAGGATGGGTGGTACAAACCCGGAGATTCCTAAGAGCTTCAGACGGGGCCATGGAAGGGATCGCACCATGGTGCGAGTTAGCTGGAGGAGGGGACGATGAGAGGCAATCCGCCACGGCTCGGCGCAGCGGCTCGGGCGGTTTTTTGGAGGAAGAAGATCTAAGGCGCGAGGCAGAGCCGGCAACCCCAAGCTGCAGCAACCGGGAGCTTCCGGGGCTCTGACCGGGGCTAAAACTGGAAGACATCAATCAAATCTCGCCGGAGTCGCGCCACTCTTGCTGCGAGGAGTGAAGACTTTTTTCTTCGATTTAGTTATGTTGCTGGCTACGTCGTGTCTTTCACATCACACAGATGAGCTGTCAAGCTCTACGTTTTGATCCCCCATGGTGGAATCAAATCACTGAGGCATGGTTTTTGCAATCTGGTCCCCCTTATTTAAACATTTCTAGATTTTGTGTCATATCTTTGTTATTTGACTTACTGATCCTAAATCCTTATGAGATCTACTACTACTACATATGGTGCTGAAATATTTATTAAAGGATTTACTATAATTGGATGAGAAAATCAAAGACAGTTTCTCGAATTCCATGAAAACAACTATATGATATTAATCAAAAGGACTAAGAGCACACTTAAAGAGTAACGAATGTTCTCCCACCACTTTTAAGCTTACTCCATGAAAACGTAAAAATTGGCTGTTAAAATCTCACTGAAAATGCCTAAACAACTATTGTAATCCGATCGCTGCATGTTCGATAACCTCGAGTCAATATAAAAGTGGGCCCATACATTTTATGGGCCCAATAAGCTGTCCCATAACCCACGTGACTAGCTGACGGTGCCGATCCGTTCTTCGCGCTCTCGGTTTTCTTCTTCCCCAGTGGCAGTGGCCCGATAAAAGAAAATGATATTACATTTGTTTTCTGTTCGTTCATTGTTGACCCAACAAAAAAAGAAAATAGAAAAAAAAATACAAATCTCTGTGTTCTCTGTCTTTGATACAAATCTAGAGCGAGACACACCCAAACCCTAGATCCAACACCAGCCGTCAGATCAGATCAATGGGACGATCTCTTCTGGACCGTTGGAATCTTAGGAGACAGCAATGGTGGAGGTAGAATCGCATTTGTGGGTATCCAAAAGAGGCGTGAAGATTATTGTCTCGAGCTTCGGAGTTTTTTTTTTTTTCATCTTGATGGCCAACAATTCGAATTTCCTCTAGCTATTTCTTTTTTGTTATTTCGGTGATGTGTGATTTGGTTGCGCGTACGGGTCGGCTTCAGCAACGGTACGAGGGTGGCTCGCGTCTCGTAGCCGGGTACTGTGTTTTTGGTCCACCTTGTTCCTTTTTTTTACATATCGTCTCTTTGGAGTTCATGCTTTGGTTTGTAATGTGATTGATTATCCCATTGATTCTACTGGAAGATTGTGATGCTATTGATCATGATGTGTATATAAAAACTGGGGATTTCTTTGGTTTTGGAGCTGTTTTACTGCGTCGTGATGATGAATTGCGCATTTTGTGTGTCCTGGTTTGAATCTCGATTGGAGATTCTTTGTATCAGATTCATGCTTTGATTTTAACAAGCAGTCAATAGAAGGAATGAGAGATTCGCAATTAGGATATGTTAGTACTGAGCAATAGGATTGTTTAGTGTTGACATGTTTGACCCTTTGTTTCGATTTGGAGTTTGATGGCATGAGTTTAGTCTTTTACCTGTCTTCAATTTTTAAGTTTCCATAGATGGTGGAACCTTTCTTAACAAATTCGATGCCGATTTTGCAGGTGTATTCCGTTTAGGTATATAAACTGTGACGAAGATGGTGGGAAAGTGGTTCAAGTGTTGATGATCAGCTCATCTAGTGGACCGGGACTTTTGTTTCCCAAGGTACAGCAAACGCCGATTCTTCTCGCTTTCTCTTCCGTTTTTGAAACGATGTAACATATTTTGATTCATGGGTTCATAATATGTAGGGAGGATGGGAGAATGATGAGACAGTGAAAGAGGCTGCAGTAAGGGAAGCAGTGGAAGAAGCAGGAGTCCGTGGGGTTTTAATGGTAAAACCATTTCTCACACCATGTATCCCATTGCTGTTATTGTTAGCAACCTTGGTGCTGAATGTGTTAAAAACGGGGACTTTGCAGGATTTCCTTGGAGATTATGAGTTCAAGAGCAAAACGCACCAAGATGAGTGTAGCCCAGAAGGTTTATGTAAAGCGGCAATGTACGCCTTGTACGTGAAGGAAGAGCTAGAGACGTGGCCGGAGCAGAAGACGAGAACAAGGACATGGCTGACAATTGAAGAAGCCGTGGAGAGTTGCAGGCACGCGTGGATGAAGGATGCGTTGGTTGAAGGATTCTGTAAATGGCATAAGGAGAAGATGGGCAAAGGAGAGGAGATAGCAGATGATGATTGAGGTTAAGTGTGCATAAAAACTCTGAAGTCGGTTTCATTCCTTTCGATTTTGTTTTTACCCTTTTTTTTTAAAAAAAATCATATGCATGGAGTTTCAAAGTTTTAAAAGTTCAATTATTTTCCTGTTTCGCAGTTGTCTTCATCATTTTTCAATAATTCTGAAAAGAAAGACAGCTCTTAACAATCGTGTTTAATGTCATTCTTGATTACGAAATTATTTGCTTCTGTTTTTGGCGACGAATTGTTTGCTAGTAAACTCAGTTTTAATATTTACTATTAGCTTTTACAAGATTCAATTGTCATATGATTATGACTTGAAGAGTTGTGTTATAATGTTCTATATTCAAATGGAGATGGACCTCAAAGTAGATATGAGCTAATATAAAACCACATTACCGTCTGTAATATTTCTAAACAGAAGGTAAATATTATTTCTATAACATTTAAGATCTATAACATTGCTTTTAATTATACATGAGCTGCTATATTCCTTCCACCGGTAAACATATTGGATCGGTGTAGAGCCATTCGTTGCCAATAGAACATAGTGGCTGTAGAAATTATGAAGGAAGAATAATAGAAAAGAGAAAACTGGATAAAGAGCAACACGAAACTTGATAAATCCCCCGGTTCAGCAAAACCGGACCCATATCCCGTATTTATTAACATGACTTCATCAATGGGCCGCCGCACAAACACTCGTTGTCACTAAACGACGACGCTTCAAGGTGATCAAAAGGAGAACCCGTCGGAATAGGCCCACAAAGCTTGTTATGGCTGATATCGAGATGACCCACAAACTTAACTGACGACAGTGAAGCGGGGATCCGACCCGATAAGCTATTGTGGGACAAATCAAGCGCCACGAAATATGTTTTTGACCCGAATACGTCGGGTATGGATCCTTCCAACGCATTTCGGCTCATATTCAATACACCGAAACCGGAATTGCTGAGCATCGAACCCGGGATTGGACCGGTCAACGAGTTACAATCGAGATTCAGAAGAGAAAGTACCTTCATGTTACCCAACCATTCCGGTACCGGACCCTCGATATGGTTCCTGGATAGGTCCAGATCCGCTAACCGTTCCATACCCGACATCGACCCTGGAATTGATCCGGTTAGTTCGTTACGACCCAGTAACGCCCTGCTCAGCATCTTCAACGATCCAAAATCAGCCGGGATCTCGCCGGAGATTCCGTTTTCCGTTAATTCAAGATGCTTCAACTCGGTGAGTGAGGTCAGGGACGGCGGTATCTCGCCGGACATCCGATTCTCCGCAAGGTTTAGAACAGCGAGTTTGGAGAGTTTGCCGATCTCCGCGGGAATCGCTCCGGTAATTCTGTTTCCGGCGAGGTCGAGGATACGGAGCGAGGCTAAGGATGTTATGCAGGGGGGAATCTCGCCGGAGATTCCTTTCCAGTCGGCCAAGACGAGGGAAGTGAGTGTGGTTAAATCGCAAACCGCCGGATCAATCGAACCGGACATACGACCAGACCGGCCTGCCTTTTGGAAGATTGCGTCTTCGGATTCGCCCCGGAGAGAAATATCAGTGACTCGGCCCGAGTCCGGATCGCAGCTAATACCGTACCATTCCTTGCAACAGTCGGTGTTTTCAGACCAAGTGTTGAAGATGCCGAGGTTGGGTTCGCTCAGAGACGACTTGAAAGCATTTAGAGCCGTTTGATCGGCAGGGGAGCAGCATCGGACGACGGAGATGACGGAGATGAAAACGACGGCGAGTAATGAGCTAAACGGCGATGCCAACAACTTTGTCATTTTTGAAATAAATCTTTGATAGTGAAGAGAGTGGTGTTGTGTGAAAATTGGATTATATAGAAATGCTGAGGCAAGAAAAGAGAGACATTGCATGTGCATGGTATCATGGGCATGTGCATGTTACTACTATTTGTTCCATAAACTATTATCTTTTACGAATGTATTTTTATGCCATTCATTTATTGAACCATACAGAGGCGGATCATGTGTGTATGTCCGTTTTTACTTTTTAAAATGTTTGATTTATTCGGATTGAATTTTTATCCAACAATGATCCCGTAAAAAATAAGTTCATGTTAATTTGTAATTCATCGATTTTATAATATTTTGTATGAAGTTGATAAACTATAAAATTAAAATGTTGTTAAAACCAATATTAAGGGAAAAATAATTACAATTGCTTTAGTTATGTGGTTACAATTACAACTACAAAGCGATCATTATAATAATAATTTTTTATACTACAATGCCGTAAGATCAGTGCATGAATTCTGGACGATAAACTTTCTATTTCCCAAGGTCTTTTGCCATATTACATCAATCATGATGATTTCTCTGTTACTGAAACTCCAAAACTTCACATCAATAAAAGCATTATATGACTAATTATGTATGATTGATAATTTACTAATTATTAGAGACAACATTTAATAAAACAAAAATATGGTTGGTCCTCCATAAATACTTTTACATGTGACTCATGTGGTCCTACAGAAGCATTTAAGCATCTCCTCCTCTGTCCAAACGCTGATATTGCTTTTTTTCTTCCTAATATCTCAGCCCATATCTACTGGCCTCATCAAAATTCTTGCAATTCATCTAATTAGCTTTTATACTAATATTTTACGTGTAACATGTTTTTTTTAATAACTATTTCACATATAACCTTGATGAGAAGATAATACTCCATTTGTGATTAAAATTATTGGAGCTTTTCCAGCATTTATGACCTGAATCTCGTAATTCACGCTGTCTTGGTTAGGAACATGATTCAACGCCCATCACATGCACAGGGGTCAAGATCCATTTTCATGGAGCTGTCTTTCTTTTTTTATGTATGGGGTTTCGTAGTTTTCGATATCCTTTCTCAATACCAATATCATTCCGATCAGACACATGTATATATGTATTTGATATATAAATACTATTCAAAATCCGTAATAAAGAAAGTGTATGTACTCCGACTATGTAGTGTCGCCTGCGTATCACACAGTATGGATTCAAACTTCGTAGAAAGCAAGTGTCAAACATGAATCATTACCTTTTTCTTAGTTTTCATTTTGATTTAGATTTGTGTGGATTATCTGAAGGTCTTTTTGATTATAATTGTCTAAAACTTGGAACTGTTACTCGGGTGAATTTTTTAAATCTGGAACTGTTTTCAATTATATTTTAGGATTATCTAGTTTGTGACTGACAAGATTATTTGAATTCTTAGGCCTTGAAAAGCATTGTTATCTTGTCTCTGCCATAAAAGACGAATTTACAACAGTACTTGTCTCTAACGTATCATTTACATATTCGCTTATGTTCATGTTGATACAATACATTATGTTAAACGACAACAGAAGCAAAAATGGTAGCTGATGCAATCAAGTGGTAGAAATCTTTCCAACAAGTGAGATATCTCTTTATCATAATAAACTCAGTTTGCCAAAAGACCTATACATTGGTGTTTCAAGTCTTCATTTTTTTTTTTTTTTTGGGGATGAAGAAAAAACAGAGTTAAAAAGGAATTTTTGTTATATATAAAGAAAAAAAAGAACTTGGAGGGTTTCTGCAATATATGTTTATATATAGTGGGATATGTATATATAATATATATAGATTGTGGTGAAAGTGAAGTCAAGTGGTAGAAGGTCCAGCCAAGTCACCACCGCCTGAGATGGAGATGAGAGGTCGGCGAGTGGTACTGCGACTGACGAGATGTGAATCAAGAAACACAACAATGACCGTTATATCATCGTGAAAATGTCTCCTCACTCCTCTATCAATCTTTTTTAGATCCGAATATCTCATCTCTCTCTTCTTTGCCGCCTCTCTTAGAGCCGTTTTTATGAGCTTCCTCGCAATTCCCTGCACACATATGTTTCAATCCACATGCAGACAAAGATACAGAAAAGAGAAAGAGCGAGAAGAATCTCACATTACGCGGGCAAGTGTTCACAATGTCAACAGCTTCCTGATTGGTCAAGTGCTCCCACAAGCCGTCTGATGCAAATATAAGAAACTGATCCTCTGGATGGATTTTATGTACTGTAATCGCAGGCTCTGCTTTAAGGATCGGCGTTTGAAAAAGCTCAGGCACCCTGAACTTTGCCAATAGCGGCTCCCTGTTGAACTCTGCTTTCTTTAAGTAGGCGTCACCGATTGACCGTGAGACCTTTCAGTAACCAGACAAATGTTTCAGAATCAGACTTTGGGCAAGAAATCTTCATAAGTTGAATTCAGCTCTCATTTTGCATTACCATGAAAGTATTGCTTATTTTTTTACCTGTATAATACCTTTGACACGCCAAACTTTGTGCTTCAAGACGACAATCTGAGGATCATTCGGATGCAACAAGCGCAACTCCTCTCTCACAGATTCAAGACTCGCGTTGTGCTCTGACGATAATTGAACGGCCTTGACAACTTTAAACGCTCTTTCCAGTCTCCCTAGCACAACCCGAGAATCCCCGGCGTTTGCAATGTACAACAATCCACTACATATGATCCCTACCAGACAACACGCTCCGACAGAAGCAATCTGTGGTTTCGTCTGCCACTGCCGCCGCACAAGAGAAAGAAACTCCTCCTCCGTAGCTAAAAACGCTTTCGTTATAACAGACGCAGACATCCCATGGTTCTCTGAAGTAAACTCTGCATCACAACAAAGAGTGTCAGACTCAGATTTACTCTAAATCTATAATTCAGCACAAAACAAGGATTAACAGAGAAAAACCGCATACTCCTGATGTTGTCGAAGAGGTGTTTATTGACAAACCGGGCTGCTTCTGGACCTCCATGACCATCATACACACCAACAAAAGTAGCTTGAGGACCCGAATCGAACATGCTAACGGGTCCAGACTCGAGCTTGCTATGATCTTCGAGAAGATTGTTGGCTTGAATCACAGACATTGAGAACTCCCCAGCGACATGGTTTCCAGAATCTTTATACCAAAGAAGCCCATCACACCTCCCATTAGCGTCTCTGGTTGAATGATCTCCCTTCACAGAAGGTCGCCTCCAACACGGTGCTACCATCCGCAAAATAGTTGCCGATACCATAACTCACATAACCCTCTCAAAATCTCACTTCATCTAAAATATGCCACTTTCACCAACACCCAACGGATCAAATTTTTTGCTTGTTCCTCCTTCCCTAAACAAAATTCAACATCCTTTATATGAAACCAATCTACATTGCGGCACATATACAATACAAATTTCTCTAAAGGGGGGAGATCTGTAATCTTACAAAAAACTAGAGCAGTTTCGTGATGATGAATAAATTACCTTTGTGTGGAATCGCAAAAGGCGCAAAGATGATACCGATACCGCCCGACCAAAAAAAAATGAAACCGGACAAAAAAACGGGATCGAGATCGGAAGCAGGTTGTTTTCGAGGAGTTACGATGAGAGGGAAATCGTAACTCCGGTAAGGATTACAAGAGAAAGAGGGAAGAGAGATGACAAAAAAAAAAAACCAAATCTAGCAGCGACTCTGTCAAAATTCCATATTTGGGGGTCGATTTCTCTGAATTTTCTCTCGTTTTATTTTGATTTTTTATTCTTTTTATTTCTTTTTCTTTTAATCAATACTCTTTTTTTTTTCATTTGCTTTCGAGTTTAGCTGTTTAGGCATTGACCTCAGAAACAACCCGACGTTTTAGGCAGCTTTTTCTCCCAAATTTAGCAACGTTTCTCCATTTTTCAATATTAATAAAATAATTAAATACTACATACTAAACTACTCATTAATTTGTTTACATTTTTTTTTTTTTTGAAAATCAAGTTTGGAACAAAAATAAGCAATTTATATAGTGGTTAAAATGGTTCAAAGAACTTTAACTCCAATATTAATCATGATAAAATACTAAACATGCATTAAAAACAACAAATTCACATGTTTTTCGGAAGAAAAGAATGAAAAGTATAAGCACCACGCGCAACAACACAATCCACTTATGTGAAGTTTTGGATGCGGACAATAGAATAAAGACCATTGAGCTTCAACACTTTCACGCAAACCATTTGCCCATGTCACCGCCTTCTTCATTTCACCGTCCACCCATAAAGAGCATATCTTTAAAATTATACTCCTATTATTTACATAATTACATATTATCTGCAAATTGGCATGTTGGACGCCGAGAGTTTTAGACCCTCACATGTCCTTTTACGTGACAGTTTTAACCCGCATAATCTCTCCTTTTTTTTCTATTAATTTAATTTTCTCTGAAATAAAACTCTAACATGCCCTAAAAAGCGGATTAGAACATAATACATGCAGTCAACACCTCTTAATGCATGAGGATGTAGATGATCGAGAACTATATTGTTTTGGTTCGTTTTTAGTTAGCAACTGTAATCATATACCACATACAGGAATTATATATCCCAGTTTAGAAAGAAAAAAATAGGGAGAAGAAGCATAATTTGTTTTATATATTTTTGTTGGTCTAGGTGTACATTTATAAAAAAACAACTTGGCCCATAATCCCATCGTTTTTCCTCTGGCCTTCAAATATAAAATATAAAATTCATGATAAAAAAAATTTAAGAGTACAGTCAAAGAAAATCAGAAACAGCAAAAAGAAAAAAGATATGAAAGAGCGAGAACACATATTGTCCGCTGTATGGTGTCATAAGGCATTCTAGAATCATTGAAATGCAATATTTAATCCTCTGTAATTCCGCGAAAGTGGAGAGGGTATTTACGTAATTTACAAGCATAAGACGGAAAGTGGGGGTGGTGGAGAGAGATGATAAGAGTTGGAAACGCGTCTCTATGAGGCCCATATTCCATCGATTTCCTCTCTCTCTCTCTTTCTTTTTCTCTCTCTCTGTCTCTTCTCATTTCGATCCGTAGCTCGCCGGAGGAGGAAATTCAAACAGATGGCGCAGAGAACAGAGAAGGAAGAGACGGAGTTCAAGGTACTCGAGTCCTTGACGACGAGCCCGACGCTCTGCTCCAATAACTGCGGCGTCACGGCGAACCCGGCAACCAACAACATGTGTCAGAAATGTTTCAACGCATCCGTCGCCGCCGCCGGTGTTGATTCCGGCTCCATCTTGAAGAGATCGGCGAGATCCGTCAATCTCCGGTCGACACCAGCCAAAGTCGTAATTCGGAGCAGGGAGATCGACCCGGTGAAGAGAGATCAACAGACCGTAAACCGATGTTCTGGGTGTCGGAAGAAGGTTGGGTTGACCGGATTCAGGTGCCGATGCGGCGATCTTTTCTGCTCCGAGCACCGATACTCAGATCGCCACGATTGCAGCTACGACTACAAAACCGCCGGACGCGAGGCGATCGCCCGGGAAAACCCGGTCGTAAAGGCGGCGAAGATGGTCAAAGTTTAAGTTATTCACATCGAGATGGATTCTCAATCGTTGAAGCTTTGTGGTGGTTCAAGCTCGGTCTATAAAGATCGGAAAAATCGTTTAGAGAGATGCTCGGAAACATCGATTTGGTGCTGTTTGTAACGAAGATCAGAGAGATCCTCTGCTCGATTAAATCTGAACCTCAATTTTTATTTTTTTTTTACCTTTTTTTTTTCGTCGTGAATTATATTAGTGAATGATTATTATTGTGGCTTTACGGATTCATGAATTTGCTTCGGATGTGATGATCTTCTCGACCATCAAAGACAAGTTTCTCGAGTGGCATGTGTATGTAGATTCGGTAGAAACGAAGGGTGGTTTGGTAATTTTAGGAGACGTGTATCTGGTTTCGTGTGGTAGAAGATTAGCTGTACTTATCACGATGTTATACTACTAGTCATTTGTGCGTCACAACTCACAACCCAATTTCTCTCGACAAAGTTTGCTTGGCGTATAAAAGAGCCGGCCAATAACGTGTTTGAGTTGTCTGGTTCGATTATTTTTTTTTTGAATTATATAAACCAGATTTTACGCATTCTCAGATTCTTATTTTTTTTTGTTTAATATAAAATTAGTACATAACCCAATATTATTATCTTTATATGTGATGTGATTACACAAGTCTCGTGAAAAAAGAGAGTTGATACTTAAAATCTCTCATGCAACTATCATTATAGTAGTAGTACAATGATAGAATAACTATTACAACCCAACCCTACTAGAAAAGTCTTTTTTTTATTGGGCCTCGTCTTTTGTCCAAGAAATAATGCAAGGCTACACACGATTTGTTTAAATGTCAAACATCAACTCGGAATGAGGGGAGGAGGAGAGTAGAGAGACAATTGGTGGAATGTTGTACATAATTACAAGTTGAGTAATAATCTTCCTCAAGTTGAAAACTGCATATTTTCTTATACAATCCCAGGTGTATATATCTTATATATATCTTGCCATATTAGAATGTCATATATCTTGCCATATTAGAATGTCATTGTTTCTTTGCATAGAACATTCTATTTAACTGTGATTATTATCCAGTTGTTACGTAGAATTGCAACAAAAAAAAAAATCTCGTTCTGTTTTTCTAAGTCGGAGGACCTAATACATTTTGGCCCAACCCAATAATGAAACTACTTAATTCCTTATGTTGTTTTAAGCATAAACCTCTCTTGTTTATATATATATAAAGTTTTTACAGGGGATCCTAATTTTATTTTATTTTTCCAGTGTATAATAATATCCCAACCCGTTCCGTCTGTCCAAGCGAATCCTCTTTGATATAATCAGAAATCGAGCGGGTGCTCTTTGGATTTCTCCGACAGAGGAAAAAAAAAAAAAAACCCTAGCACACACAGCTGGAGTTTGTAGAATCTCTTCCGTTCTCGAATTGAATCGCTCGTAGGTTAGGGTTTTTGATGGCGTGAAAGTAATATTGATTTGTAGATTTCTGTTCTGTCATTGCGGCGGCAAGTTAGGTTTTTGATACAATCTCGCTAGGTAATTTTCAGTGGAGATGGGAAGCGCCGATCCGGCCGATGATCGGACCTTCAATGGCGATTTCAGTGACGAAGGAGTTGCCAGGTTGAAAGAGAGAGTGAAGGTTAAACTGAAGGAGTACATGGGAAATTATACGGATGACACTCTCGTGGTACGATTCCCTCATTGCGTTTCAATACCTCGATTCTTTTCGGAAATTTGGAATTTTAGTGAAAGAGAATATGATTTTGCGCTTTCTGGCTTGGTACTTGGTGATAAAAGAGTTGTTCGTGTTCCTTGTTAGCTTTGATTTTCTGAGTTTTTAAAGTTTAGTGTACGCCTTAATGCTCTCGTAATGCTCTGAGAAGTCTCTTAGGATTCAAATGATACTAAAGCATTTTGCTTGCAGGAATATGTGATAGTCTTGCTTAGAAACGGGAGACGGAAAGAGGAAGCGAAGAACGAATTGAAAATATTTCTTGCTGATGATAGCGACTCTTTTGTGGCCTGGTATTCGAATACTTCTATACCCTTTGTGAAACAAAGTTTATTGCCCTTATAGAACTTCAAATTCACTTGGAGGATTATTGTATGCAGGTTGTGGGATCATCTGGCGGAAAGTCTGGATGAATACTTTAGTTCTCATATGGTAATCAGTCAGAATGAGGATAAAGCACTTGTGCAAATGGATTCGGAATCTGAAAAGGGACGATCTGGTTCTCGCCGCAGCAGACAATGGAGAAGCCAGCCAAGTAATGCTCCTGACGTTCCTCCCCTTCTGAGTTCTGAGGTTCACAAAATTCATGACTACAAGAAGAAAGATCACAAAAAAAGACATGATAGAAGGTCTCCATCTCCACAGTCTGAATCCCACAGGAAAAGAATTCGAACTGAGCGGAATGAAAAGGTTTGTATTTCGTAATGTCTCATCATCGTTTTACTTGACTTAGAAAGTTGAATTATACGCTCGATAGTTCACTGGCTGGGATGTCATATCTTAATTGTGAAGAAGTTCTCAGCGTAAAAGTTGGGCCAGAGGGCATCTTTGCGTTTTGCTTTGTATGGGACTAACATCTGAGATGATCTCAGTTAGTCTTAACTTTGTGTGTTCTTTGGTTGCCTTTTGCCAGTTTTTCTAATGGATGTTCTGATAATGTAGGGATACTGGTAATGGTTTTCTGATCTTGTTTTTTTATTTCTTTGATAGAGGGAGGCTAAGGCTAAACCTGATGTCTCTCGCCGGCTTCTTCAGTTTGCTGTGCGAGATGCTCTGGCTACATCAAAGCCGTCAAATTGTTCGACTGAACCCTCATTAAAACGTCTTCGTTCAGTGGTGTCCGCATCTACTGAAGACGCATCCGACCCTGACCCAGCTCCGAAAATTCGATCTGTTGCTAGGGTTGTGAATCCCACGGCCACTGTTTTGAAAGCTGTAGCTGAAGCCGCTGAAGATGCCAAAAAACCAAAATCTGGCAGAAGTGTCTTTGACAGAATAAGTCATTCTACTGGCTTTTCTGAGACCCTGGACCAACATATGGTGCTTAGTGAAGTCTCTACCGAGAAGGAAAATTGTAGGAATTTTAGCGAAGATCAGGAACCATTACAGCATCAATACTCGCAGAGTCTTGACAACAATGGTGTGTATGTTGAGAACAGGACAAGTTTTGACACTAGCTTGCAGCCAAATTTTTCATCTGATCGAAGCAGACTAGGTTCAAGTGTTGATGTGTCTCCAAGTAATTTTCCTGGGAATCGAGTTAACAATCTGCAGCATCGTTTAGTCGTTGACCCTGAAAGAGTTAATGGGACGGATTATCAGAATCACCTTACTGAAGTTGCAACCAAGCATAAGACTGCAAGTTTCTCTGGCAATGTATATACCGGGAAAACAGTCGGAGGAAGATTAGTTTCTAGTGAAGCTATCACTCAATCATCAACGGAGAAAGTCTTGGGTGGTATGATGGGGAATGGAAATGTAAGTTCCATATTTCAGATCCATGCTCGTACTAGCTACTTCAATGATATTCTTCTTCCATAATTTGTTGGCTGTTAAATATACAATATCCTGGAAATTTCTTGTTAATGTCCTACCACTCATGGCTATGTTGCGATGATTGATTTTGGCTTGTTGTTTCTTTGACAGATAAAACCTGTTGCCGATGGGAAAGAAGATTCAACAAATAAGAAATCTGTTCCTGGTGAGTTGTTAAACTATATCACTCTAAGCTTTGTGGGTTACATAATATTCAAATTTCATTTGTCCTTGTCGAGTTCACTTATTTGGTTCCTGCTGGCTTAATTCTTGTGCATTTGCAGGGACATTATCCACTATCCGCCCTTTGGAAGACGCTAGCTCTCGAACAATCTTTGTGGCCAATGTAATAATTACTGTTACTGTTTATTAACTCATGAACTGGGGATTAAGCAAATACTTGTCAAATGGTGTATTGATATGAAATTTGGTTGGTAACAGGTTCATTTTGCTGCCACCAAGGATAGTCTTTCAAAGCATTTTAACAAGTTTGGTGAAGTGCTTAAAGCTGTCATAGTTACAGATCCAGCGACAGGGCAACCAAGTGGGTAAGTATTTTGAGTTCACTGCCCTAAAGTCTATTGTCTTGACATGTGGTTGGTAATGCAGAGTTCAGTTACCAGAGACACCTTAGTGACAAAAGTTGTTCGCCTTTTGCAGATCAGCATATATCGAGTTCACGCGCAAGGAAGCTGCAGAGAGTGCATTGTCTCTGGACGGTACCTCTTTCATGTCTCGGATTCTCAAGGTTAATATCAAAACCAGTGTTCAACTCTGTTTAGTGTCACTAATTAGAAAAGCTATAATCTTAGTTGGATATGGAATTGCATCAAAAAATGAGTTGTGTGTATTTTGTTCGGATGCAGATTGGGAAAGGAAGCAATGGGCAACAACAAGAGGCAGCGTCGAGCATGACATGGTCTCGTGGTGGAAGGTTCCCAAGAGCCTCCCCGTATCGAAGAGGTGTCCCTGGTGGTGCATTTAGGGGTCGTTCTGTTGTTAGAGGTGGAGCCAGGAGCATGCAATGGACGCGCGATTCAAACAACAACATTGTAGCTCCCACTCCTCGTAGTCGGACTTACGTCAGACCAGAAGCAAAATCAGACGCAAATGCAGCAATTTGATAGATAACAAGAGAAGCAAGAGCTTAGGGAAAAAAGAAAAGAAAAAAAAAGGAAAGATGAGCTTGTCATCCTGCCTTATCGGATTTTTATCATTTTGTTTTCGTCTCTCTATAATCATACTCCAAACTTATATTCCTAGTGACATTTATGTTTCTATTTTTTTTTGTGTATGGATATTAAAAAAAAAAGAAAAGCAAAATAAAAATTGTATTTCAAGAAGCTCTGTTTCCATTTTCATGGGGATAACAAGAAGAACAGGTTTCCGCAACACAAGCCAGAAACGCACAAGATGGAGACAACACGAGTCCTGACGAAGAACAAATTGAGATTCTTTGCAACCTGAAGTGTCAAAGTGAGAATCTGCAACCTACCTACTTCCTCCATCTTCTTGAAGAAATACATTGGCTTCAACGATCGTCTCAGCATCAACGCCACCGCGAACGGGAATCCGAAAGCGATACAGCTCTGGATCGTCATTTCATGCATCGGATGTGATCGAGACGCGTACAGAATCGTGCCTCCAACGATCAGTTGGGTCAAACCTAGTAGACCCATGGCTCCACTTAGACTGTACATATTCTTCATCATCCCTTCAAACACTTGTCTCGTCTCATTCCCTAGCGCCGACACGTCGCGTTCCACAGTCGGCCCCTCGATCTCCTGGTGCTTCATCTTCGGCTCCTCTGGCTTCGACTCCTCCGGCTTCTGCCCAACCTCTCCGCTCGGCGTCGAGAAATACCTCGGTGACCATGTTTCAGATCGCAGCTTTCCGGTATTGGGATTGGTGACGAAAGCAGAGAAGGATCTTAGAAGACTCAGCTCCTGGATTTCTGATCCGTGGATCAGGTGGTTTCTAATGGGAGAAGAGGAATGGAGATGATGGCGGGAGACGTGGAGGGATGAAGAAGACAAGGGTTTAAGGAATTTGGAAGCTAATCGACGAGAGATCATCATCGTTTTCTCTGTGAATTCTCTCGATGGAGAGAGAAAAGGAAGCTCGACGTAATTAGGTTTTCTTATTGAATGGGTCTATGCTATTGGTTGACTTATGAGAAAGACCCACCTATTTTCGTTTTCCTGGGCTCACTCTTTTCAATTTGACCCAATCCATCAGATTACATATAAATATCCGATAAATATTTTAAAATTTTAAAATCTGCTTGGACAAGTATTATTAGCTCGTTTCCCTAAGTGTAAACTGTACATCAACAATGGACAATGCATAGAACTAGGTATTTATCTGTGTTATGCTGCAGAATATTTTTCTAAATTTTGTATATATTTTAAATATAATAAAATTATTTTTATAATATAAATGAGTATTATATTTATTTTTTTATTAGCTTAAACTATGTATTTATATGTTTTAAATCTGAACAAATATTATATATTTTTTATTATTTTTTTCAAAATTATAATTTGCTATTAAATTTAGTTAGCTAACTAATTATAAATGTATATATAGGAATAAAATATATAAGAATAAAGTAATATATTTTTAATTTTCATGCTAATGACAAATGTAATTTATTTTCTCCAATAAATTACCACTTGATCCTCTTTCGTAATTATATAAAACAAAATGCCATTTAAAAAAAGATTTATTAATTAATATAATTATTTTAAATTATAAAATTTATTTATTTATAAAATATTTTATTATAAACATATGTTTCTAAAACTATCAAACTATAATCAATAACATTCATATCAAAACCATTGCTATTGCTTTAGAACTAAATAGAAAATTATGTTTAAACTCTTAAAATATCGTTTTAGTTAAAGTTAAATAATTAAATTTTGGTTACTGTAAACATACTTTAACTTGGAAATTTAGTACAGAGAAATTTCATTTTTTTATAAAAATCGAGAAATCGTATTTCCCGTCAGAACAAAAAAACATCATTTTCCCATTAAACTGAGAAATCGCCTATTCCCGCCAAAACCAAAAAATTTATTTTCTCGCCAAACCTAAAACCTAAAATTTCATTTTCCTGCGAGAACCTGTGTTTTTCCACCAAAGCCGATAAATTACGTTTTTCACAAAAACCAAAAATTTCATCTTCCTGCAAAAACCAAAAAGTTGTATTTTCCCGCCATAATCAAAAAATTTATTTTTCCTGCAAAAACTAGAAATCGTCTATTCCTGCCCAAAAAAAAACTGTTTTCTCGTCAAGCCCAGAATCACGCTTTCCTACAGAAACAAATAAACTACAATTTCCCGTGAAAACTAAAAATTGCATTATCTCCCATAAAATTATGTTTTTCCGTGAAAACTAAGAAATTATTATGTTTTTATCGGTTCAAATTTTGCTGATGTGTGAGCTTCTTATAACATAAGGCTTTTTGCGTTGTTGTCATGGAAGCATAGTTGATGCTGAGCCTACACTTTTTCAATCATATACGTCTATGTGAAACAAACAGATAGCTATAATTTTTTTATTATTTATTTGTTATTATTTATTATTTGGATTTAGTTTTGGCAAAAAAAAAAATTAATTTTTTTTATTTATTATTTGAGTCTGAATTTGGTAAAAAATAAAATAATAATTTTTTATTTATTATTTGGGTCTGAATTTGTTATTGTTGTATTGATTCGATTTGCAACAAGTGGCTTACTTACCAAAGTAAATAACCAAAACAACGTAAAAATAACCACTATAATTGGTCCGGACAAGTGTTGTCAATCGAAAAGAGACACAACACAAGTTCCCTCAAACTTAGGAGAAACACACTCTCTTCCTCATGCCTAATAAAGAAACACATTCAAATCCCTAAAGCAACACTATTAAAAAGCTCATCACAACCAAAAGCCACACCCCTCATCAATCAATCGACCCTCACAATGTCTTCTTCTTCACGTATACTCTTCTTCTTTGCTTCCACATTCCTCTACACTCCATCGAACTCATTCAACATCACAAACATCTTAAACCAACACGATGATTTCTCCACCTTCAACGACCTCCTCTCTCAAACCCAACTCGCTTCTACCATCAACAACCTTTCAAACCATAACCGTCCTCGCGCTTTCCAACGATGCGATCTCTTCACTCTCCGGTCAGCCAAACACCATGATCAAGAAAATCCTCAGCCTCCACATCGTTTTAGATTACTACGACATCAAGAAACTCAAGAATCTTAACAAGAAATCAGCCATGCTCACCACACTCTTCCAATCCAACGGCCAAGCTAAAGGCCAACAAGGGTTCTTGAACGCTACCGTTATGAAAAACGGTGATGTTGCGTTTGGATCTGCGGTCCCTGGGTCTACCCTTAACGCCCAGCTTGTAGACTCTGTGGCGTCACAGCCATTTAACATTTCGGTGCTTCACATCAGCAGTGCTATAATGATCGATGTTAGAGCTGATGCACCAACTGGTTCTTCTTCACCGGTTTCATCTTCACTGATTATGATGGATCACCATCCTCTGCTCCTGGTGCTGCTGATGCAACTTCTGAAAATTCCGGCTCAAGGACTAATTCTCAGCTTGACTTGGCTTTTGCGCTGGTGATGTCATCCTTCTGGTGTTTCACGACGGTTTAGTGACTTAACGACAATGAGAAACAGAGTGCAAGAACGCAAGAGATCACTTCAGCTTTTGGAAAGTAATTAAAAAAAAAGGCAGAGAATTGGAAGCAAGAAGTTTCAACTTATTTCACCAACAACAAGAACACTAAAGGAGCAAAGTTTGACAAGTTCTTTGGAGAAAAACATAAAAAAAACCAAGGAAGAAATAAAGTGATCGAGGCAATAAAGATGGAGAAAATTGCAAAACTCAGTAATTTTATATTTATTTGGAATCTTGGATACGATCTTTAAGGTTGTGGAAGATACCAATTGGTTACCAAACCCACATAAACTGAAAGGTTTATTGTTTGATTGCATTGCATGAAAATCAAAGAAGTTGATCGAATACAAAACCAGATAAATATCTGAATAACGGTTCAATCCGTTCCGAGCCGGAATCTCAAAAGTTTTGGTTATAGACCGGTCTATCTAAACAAAGATCAGTTAAAAAGATTAAACCGGTTTTTGTTTAGTCTGGCTTACGTTACAAATGAACAACTTTCAAGTGATGCATAGATCCTGACGTGTAACGAGTGGGCTTACTTAACAAAAGCAACCAAAAATGACCGCTATAATCGGTCCCGACAAGTGCTCTCAAACCAAAAGAGACACGACACAAGTTCCCCCTCAAAGTATGGAGAAACACTCTCTCTTCCTCATGCCTAAGAAAGAAGCACATAATCAAACTAAGAGAAGCAACAGTATAAAAGCTCACAACCAAAATCCACAAAAATAAAGAAGCTTCATCAATCAAATCTACAAAATGTCTTCTTCTTCAACTTCACTCTTCTTCTTCTTCTTTGCTTCCACATTCCTCTACACTTCATCAAACTCATTCAACATCACAAACATGTTATCCCAAAACGATGATTTCTCCACCTTCAACAAACTTCTCTCCCAAACCCAGCTCGCTTCTACCATCAACGAACGTCAAACCATAACCGTCCTCGCCCTTTCCAACGACGCACTCTCCTCCCTCTCCGACCAATCGACCGCCGATATCAAGAGAATCCTCAGCCTCCACGTCGTTTTAGATTACTACGACATCAAGAAACTCAAGAATCTGAACAACAAAACAGTAATACTCACCACTCTCCTCCAATCGAGCGGTCAAGCTAAAGGCCGACAAGGGTTCCTAAACGCGACCGTTCTGAAAAACGGTGACGTTGTGTTTGGATCTGCGGTTCCTGGATCTATCCTTGACGCTCAGCTTATAGACTCTGTTGCGTCGCAACCATTCAACATCTCGGTGCTTCATATCAGTAATGCTATACCTATAATGATCGATGCAAATACTGATTCTCCTTATGTTGCACATTCACCACTTCCGTCACACGGTAATGATGATGATTATGACTATGACGAGCCACCATCCCCACCATCATCTGCTCCGGCTGCTGCTGCTGCTAAGGCACCTTCTGGAGTAAAAGCCGACTCAACAAATGGAGTTTCAGCGATCAGTCCTCAGTTTCACGTGGCGTTTGCGCTCTTGATGTCATCCTTTTGGTTGTTCATAACGGTCTGGTGAAGTGATGGCTTAGACTTGACGACGATGAAAAACAGAGAGTGCAAGAGTGAAAAAGATCAGATCAGCTTTTGAAAAGCCACAATAAAGGAAGAAGATTGCAAAAGGTTTCAAGATTTTTTTTCACCCAAACACACAAAAGAACTAAAAAGGAGAAATCTGAAAAGTTCTATGGAAAAAGACAACAAACTCCCAAGAAGAAATAAGCGAGTGATTGATGATAATACAATAAAGATGGAGAACATTGTAAAACTCAAAAATTCTTTATTTATTTGGAATCTTGGGATACGATCGTTACAAAGTTGTGAAAGATAACAAGCATTTGGATTAATAAAAAAACAGAAACTGAAAGGCTTTTCTTACTAAATGGTGCCATTGTTGTTTGATTGAATTACATGTAATCGAAGAAGCAAAGAAAGGCAACACTAGATTGAGATGTTTATTACTTTCATCTAAGAAAAGGCAAAAGCACCCCAAGAACAGGAAGCACATTTCAGATCCAACAACAAAGTCTTCAAGACAAGGAAACAAACTCAGGGGGCTATACATGCAGACGAGCTTTGATTTAAGGGAACAAAAAAAAAAAAAGAGAGCTGAAAACGCAGTAAAATTTTTTCCTTTCTTGAGTCAGTGATGTAACCCGTTCCCATTGCTATACACATTGCCGTTCTGGTAAACTTTCCCCGTTGATGATCCATTGGCCACTCCATTTGTAGAAACTTTGTTCACCTTGCCACTTGTTTGCAGAACCGCTTCTAGACACCCAGACGCTGCTGCTATAAGACCTGTTTGTATCAAAATGTTTCTTAGCAAGCCCACAACACCATCAATACAGGTTCTTGCCATTATGCTATATAACCGACAAATTACCTAGAAACAATGCCGAAGGCTTTCCAGGTCTGGACTTGAACTCCGGATGGAACTGAACACCCACAAAGTAAGGATGATTTTGTAGTTCCACAATCTGCACACAACACACGCAGAACAATGATGCACAACATCATGAAAGCATTTATATACTATTCTAAGACAGCATCACGAAAACCTTCATATACTGTTCTAAGCTCACTGAAGTTTATACCTCCATACGACGCCCAGTCTCATCCTTCCCAACAAATGAGAGCCCAGCATTCTCAATTTCTGATATCATATCTGGATTTACCTGCCATAAAAAAAGAAAAGTATTTTCACTTCAACAACTCAAGGAAAAAAATATGTAGAATAGAAAAAGCTGTACGTTTGCATTAAGAAATATTACCTCGTATCTGTGACGGTGTCGCTCATCAACAAACTTTGCATTACCGTACCTAAAAAACAGAGATAAGAAGTTATATAGGCTTTGGAAACGAGTCCTACGAGTTATCATGTGCAACTGTATGTACTTACAACTTGGCAGACTTGCAATCAGGAACCTGAAAGTGAGTCCTCCTTGACCCTAAGCGCATTGTGCCCCCCATATGAGTCGTGGATCCCTTAAATATAGATTAAACAAGGTTTAGAAGACATTCAAGAAACTGAAAACATGTATTCAGTCAAAAGAGAGGACTATATGGTCTCGTACTTCTGGCATAAATATGACGCAAGGGCTTGAGGTTTCTGGTTCAAACTCTGTGCTGTTTGCATCTTCAAAACCAAGAATGGAGCGGGCAAACTCAACAACAGCCAGCTGCATTCCCAGGCATATGCCAAGGAAAGGGACTTGATTTTCACGGGCGTACTTTGTAGCAAGTATCTTTCCTTGCACTCCTCTATCACCAAAACCTCCTGGCACTAGAATACCATAAGCACCCTGCAACAAGAAAATTGCTGAGTCGAACATATTTACTGAATTTGGCGTGCCAGGCTCCATTAAAGATGACCTACCTTCAAAAGATCCCATGCAGCCTTATGAACATCTGGCGACTGCAAAAATCGTACAAAGGCTCGTGAGATTAAATACAGTTGTAAACTTGTAATACACCGAGAGAAACGAAGACAATACTCACTTCCTGTGCTGTAATCTCTTCAAGGTCACTGGCTGCAACCCACTCTACAACAAGCTTCTTGTGACATGCAACAGAAGCATGCAAAAGGGCCTACAGACAGAAGTCCCAATTTTCAGAATCCTCAATACTAGACCCGGTTGTTAAGGAAATGAGGCATAGAATTGGGCGTAAACTACATAACTATATTTGATTTGTTTAAGAGCAGAGAGATCCACGTACCTTCAACACGGAGAGGTAAGAATCAGTGAGGCCAGTGTACTTTCCAACCATAGCAATTTTCACCTGAAAGAAAAGACCATTCGGGATGAAAAGTGGTTCCCTTTATATAGTCACTCTGACATCAAAAAAAGTTATTTCCTAACAGGATCTTGCAGGGTATCATAAATTTTAGTTCTTGCAGTCCATTCTGTCACGTCAGCTTCTACAGCTTTGCTGCAGAAGAAGCAAATAGCAATTAGTAGAGAAAAAGTCATCACAGACCAGCTACCTAGAGCAAAATGGAATTTACACATAGAGACAAGGAAAAAAATGAAAAGATGGTCTAGAGACAAACCCCAGGAGGTTCAACTCTTTTAAGATTGCTTCATGAACCTTTTGATCCTATTGAACAGAAGTTAACACCAAAAGAATAAGAAGAACAAAATCAGCATAGCAACAGGCTCCTTTGATTTCGTAATTTCGTAAGTAGGGTTAGAAACTATTCAACCGAAATTTACTTACCCTTAAAAGCAGTGGAACATGCCAGATATTTGGAACGTCATAGAGCGTTACGATATTCTCTTCCTGGGAAACCACAGAAAAGTAGACAGAATGTATACTTGAGCAGGGATCTTTTGATGAGAGAGAACCTCACTGCTCTAAAAAGGTTAAATTAATAAGAATCAAATGATAAACAACAAATACCGGCACATGGCAAAATTGGGATAGTTTCGTCTTGACATTATCTTCAAGCGCCTGTTACAAAACAAGAACTGATAAGATGAAAAACCAAAATACATGGCTAATCTTCAACACTACAGCACATGGACCATTCATTTACCTTCGTGCTGCGACATGCTAGGATGTTTGGAGTCAGACCAAGGCTCCTGAGTCCTCGCACACTATGCTGGGTTGGCTTCGTCTTCTGCAAGACAGATGTTCATACCTCATCTGTTAGAGATTGATAAAATAGAACCTCCATGGAAGATACCAAAACCACAGAAAGTTACCTGTTCACCAACAACACTGAGAACAGGCACAAGACTCACATGAACCAAGCAGAAGTTACCAGGTCCTAAAAACAAAAGACAGAAGGTGATGGAGCTGATAGTCAAAGGCTTAAGAAAACTACTGGACCTTAAGAGTTAACAAAAATTTAGAGCACAGCTCACCAACTTTATACGAGAATTGACCAAGGGCCTCGATGAAGGGCATAGATTCAATATCACCTGCACAGAACATATTGTAAATAAATAGAAGCCACTCTTCTGAGAAATTGTCAGGGAAGGTAAAATAAGCCAACGAGCATACCAATAGTCCCGCCTAATTCGATGACACAAACATCAGGAGGCCCTTCCTTTCCATCCACAGGAACATTAGCTACACGCTCAATCCACTCTTGGATTGCATCAGTAACATGCGGAACCACCTTGATAAAAGAATAAAGGCTTGTTTAAACACTCAATCAAATTAGAATAAACACTCAATCAAATTAGAATCAGAGGAAGTTAAGAGCACATGTAGATAATGTATCAACCTGTACAGTTCTTCCGAGGTAGTCCCCCCTCCTTTCCTTGTCAATAACTGACTGCAAGAATCAGGGCAAAAACTAGTAACCTGGTTCGAACATGGAGATAACTACTATTGATTTGAGGTAGTAGACAGTAGACACATACCTGGTAAATCTTTCCGGTTGTTAAATTGTTGTCACGGGTCAATGTACTGTCCAAAAATCGCTCATAGTTTCCAAGGTCCAAGTCCACCTAACATGTTCACCGGTTAGATACACAATGCATCAGTTTGAGGAGCAACACAGGACAAAATCACAATATGACATACCTCTCCACCATCATCCAATACAAACACTTCTCCATGCTCAAACGGAGACATAGTTCCAGCATCAGTGTTAAGATAAGGATCTGCGTAAAGAATGTAAATGATCATATAGCTAGAAACCGATGCCAGAACCCAAAAACAAAGAACCAGCCAAGAAAGTTTCATCATTGCTACGAAATTAACTCAAATTGGCAACGAAATACAAGTCGTTACATAAAAAAGAGGAGTCTTTCTTGGTCGTTACATGCAAATACAGAGTCAGAAAATAAAGAAAATACACATGTAAATTAATCTCACCAATCTTAATGGAAGTAACACGAAGACCACAAGCCTGAAGGAGAAGTCCAATGCTACTTGCAGTGACTCCTTTCCCAAGTCCACTCACCACTCCTCCGGTAACCAAAACATACTTCATTTTTTCGTTCTTCTTCTTCACCTAATCATCAAGAACAGAGAACACGGTAAACATAAAACACTTGTCAAAGATGAGCAATCACTTCCTAAGTAAGCGGAGATGGTTGGGTATGAGTCCACTAATGAGAAAGCGAGAAGAAGGAATGGCTTAATTCTCTACCTCTTCGTCGAAAAAAATGGCCTTTCTGGATTTTTTCAAGGCGGCGGCTTATAAGCTTTATAACCTTGCGAGACCCTCCCTCTTATTTAAACCTCCCCAAAAAAGAAAACAACAATTTCGTATTTCTCTAATTAACTTTTAATCTAATATATTGGGAAATTACAAGCATCAACGTTGGCTTTGACCCGGTCGGAGTAAAGGGAAATGAGACGGTAGATATTTTGTAGGTTCAAATTAAATTGGAATTTAGGGTTTGTGATATTGCGACACAGTGGTCTTACTTTTGTGGAAGTTTATGGTAAAGATAGGCCCAAAAGAGAGTTTTGGATTCGATATATTGGAAACTGTGCGCCCAATTTTAAAGCCAATCAAAAAGATAGAAGAGAAAGGTATCAAACTTTTGAGTCTATTTACTACTTTGATCGTTTTGTCCTTTTGTCATTAATAGAGGCATTCACATGTTAACACTAAAGTCAGAAACAGTACAGTCAAATGCACACTCTTCCTTTGCCTCTCTTCTCCTTCGACTTATGTGACCAAAAACTACCAAACAAAACTTTTGGACCCACTTTTTCATTTTAGCAGTTAGCACCGACATGTTTCTTGCTCAAGAAGCATTCTTTCAAGAACTGGCTTCTCTCTCTTTCACTGTTACATCTGTAAACAATGAACGGTTTCGATACATCTCGTTTATATGTGTTGTTGTTCAGTGTGCTTGTGGCATTTGGTTGGAGTTTAGTGATTATTGCTATCAACATCATTTATCAAGTATTGAATCATTTAGTAGATAATAGGAGCTTGTTTATTGCATTTGTAGACACACTCTACTGCATTATCAGTAAAAAGATCAATTTTACTCGGCAAACAAGACCCTTTTTTTTGGGCCAACAAGACTCACTCAACCTTTTCTTTTAGTTTTAGCCTTTTTAGGATGTTAAAGACAATTGTGGAAGGAGAAGAATTTCGAAACGACACAGATGCAGAACATAGCGACTAAAAATAAGATTACAACACACTTATCATCTTATCTTACACAAAGCTGGGTGCTCATTGAGTCGTGTCAGCTCCTCCACCAGCATCGGCTTCTGAAGCGGTTTTAGCCATCACCTCACCTGGAGGAGGATGGTCGAACTTACATGTTGCCCCGTACTTGCAAGTCCCTGTCTTCATGTAATACGGGCAATTAAGCGCACCCTGCAACAGAGTTTCGGTTTGTCTATAGGATTACAACAACACACAAACTCAATACAAGCAAAGCAGGATTCTAATCAACGTTTCGTATGTACCTCTCTCCTGGGATACCCTGCAAGACTCAGCTTTACATTCGGTTGCTGAGAAGCTTGTTTGGTCGTCGTTGCATTTAACCTATCTGCTGGGTGATGAAACCTGCATCTCTCTCCAAACTTGCACTCCCCTGTCTTCATGTAGTACTATGATATTGAAAGACAGGGAGTGGTTTCGGTTAAACTCCAACTAACATGTCAACAATCTAATTTAGAAAACAAGAATTACTCACGTCACATTCTGATTGTCCGGGTCTTTGGGGATAAATTGCTGAAAGCGCTCCAAGCTGTAACATGTTCCACTTTGATTAAACCTCTAGCAACTGAGGATGAGCATTTGAATATTTCTAGCAATATGATTGAAGGCACTTACGGTGGGTTGAGAAAGAGTCTGATAGAGGGAGGCAGCTGAGTTAACCAACCCAAGGTTTACACCCGCAGCGGTCGAGGACACTAGAGGATAATTTATCCCAGCAGCCTGAGGGGTGAATGCTGTGCCCAAAAATCAAAACAGCAAGAGACACAGACGTTACCGTCAAGATTCTAAGACGTGAAAGTGGTGCATTTAAGATTCCAAGAACCAAAAATATTGACATGAAAACATGCTCACGAACCAGTCCTCTCAGGGTGATTGTAGCGACAAGTGGATCCATACTTGCAGCTGATGGTGGAAATGGAAAACAAATTAAAACGTTACTGTCACTTTTTCTTTTCTTTTCAAGGTTATATAACCAACGAATTCATATTTGATATTCACCTTCCGGTTTTGAGATAGAACGGGCAGTCCACTTCACCCTGTAAAAGCTACAATCTAATTAGTGATAACAGAACAGGTGAACATACAATGCTAACAGACAATCTTCAACAGTCCTAAGTATAGTAACCAGATGCCAGATAGTTCACCAATTCTGCCTATAAGATAATATATCATTCTTAAGGAACCTGAAGCTGAGCACATTACCGGCCTAACAGGTAGTCCTTTCGAGTTGTGATATAATGCTGGGGCAAACGTCACATGCGGATTGTTGGTGGCATCAGTATCACTGGGTAACGCCTCACTACTACCATTATCCTGACTAGATGATGGTAGCTGGATATCCTTTGGGTGGTGGAACTTGCATGTTATACCAAATTTACATTTTCCAGTTTTCATGTAGAACTGTTGCAGAGTAGAAACATTGCTACGATAATCAATCAGAATCAAACTCATCTGTAATAGATATTAGAGAAAACGGACTTATGTGTCTAAGTGTATATCTTACCGTGCACGGGGGCTCAGCAGGCCTCTCAGGTAATGCATCTTGATTTTCAACACTAACCTGAAATTTAGAAGAGCATCATGCACAGCCCAAGACCAAACTAAAGCAGAGCACATAAGATTTTATGCGGAGTGTCTGCAGGACATTCACAAATTGAGAAATAAAAGAAGGACATAACGGAAAAAATCACTTACTGCAGCCACTGCTCTCGGATGATTAAACTTGCACCTTATTCCATATTTGCAACGTTGTGTTTTTATATAATACTGCTCAGCGGTGCAAAAAAGAAAGTCAGTTCCTGACCAGCAGGGAAAACAGAACTAACAAATAGCGGAGAAAAGATTACAGGAACAGCTTACCGGACAATCTGGTTCTCCTGGTCTCTCAGGGTAATCATCGTTTGGAACAAGTGGTGCCTGAATGAAAAGATATTCATAAGAAAACACGATTAAAAATCATCTTATCCTCGAATACCTAGACAATGAGTGTAATGTCACGATCTGGCAAAGGGGAATGCAAGAATAACAAAACACAGTCTCGCAAATGCAGAAGCTAGAACCTTGAATCACTATCAAGATACCAAATGTCGTGTCTAGACTTTCATGATATTGTAGTAAGTTTATGACTTCAGACACCAAGCAAAACCAATAAGTATAGTCAAAAGTAATTAGGCACAAACTCTCGTTGTATAAAACATATAAGTACATAGCATAAATCTAGAAAAAAAAACGTAATGTTAAAGTTCATAATAGAAAGCATAAGAAATACTTAGATAGTAATAGTAGTGAACGATCACCTCTTTCCAATCTGGGATTCCGCCCTCAGGAACCCAAATAGGATGATCAAACTTGCAGCTATCTCCAAATTTACATGTTCTTGTTTGCATATAGTGGGTACAGTCCTTCTCCCCTGCCCTCTGTGGGTATACAGGCAAATTGCTCGTACTCTCCAGCTTAAGTCGCTTCGTTAAATAGTCTGTAGCATACCAAGCTTCGGTTTGACCAATTGTATTATGGGCACCCAAGAGTGTCGGATAGTAGAGCGCTATATTACATAATAAACAATAATATACAACCAAATGAGAAGATATATATGCTCTATTTATATCTTGAAAATAAATTTGGAGGGGGGTAACAAAGCTAGGAAAGAGTATAGCAGAAAACAAATACATAGCCTCAATAGTATCTTTACTTAGACTTCCAGTAAGGATTATGTATTATATACAATCCTTTCGAAAAGTTGCAAGAAAGCATAATCATCAACCAAATTTGCAATCACTAAGTGTTCCACTCAAAACTGTGAGGTCAACTTTAGGAAAGAGGTAACATTTCGATAATCAAATATAGTTCATAGATGCAATTCGATCTAAGAACACCTAGCATCTCCTTGGAGATTATTCTAAGTGACTGGCCAACAAATGCAACCAGCTAAAACCATATTCTCAGAAGTATTTCAGCTAACTAAAGCACAGCGAGACACAAACCAACATCGTTGTGCTTTGTGCAAATGTAAATCAAGATCTATCCAGAACATCAAGCTAGAGACCATTACTAAAGCTGTGTTTTTTATGTTGCAACTGAAGAAACCATCAAGATGAGCAGAGAAAACGGAAAGCTGAAGGCTTTTAAAAGCTTTCAAATTGTACCGCATAGTTTCCAAGCAATACACAAGAGAAAATGACGCAGACAGATCTCAGAATAGTAAGGAAAAAGGACAAACCTTCAGAGGTGCGTTTGACACCAGGAGGAAGAGGCTCGGCGGCGGAAGCAGCAACAGGCAGCTCCACGCCGGGCGGCCAAGCTTCCTGATGCTGCTGAAGCAGCTGCGGATACGCCAAATGCGACGCCGTCGTGTTGGGGAGATGATGGTACATGGCGGAAGACGATGTAAGGGTTCCCAGGGAGGAGGAATAGTTGCTCAAAGCTTCGGATCCGTCGTGGGGCAAGAAACGATACGTGGAATCGGGGAAGTAACGGTCAGGAGCGGAGGAAGAACCGTAAACAGAAGAAAGACCGATGGTCGACTGCGGTTGCGGCGGAGGCGGCGCGGGGGAAACGGCAGAGGCGGCAGCGTAAGAAGGTTGAAGGGCGTAGCTGAACAATTGATGACGATGTGCTGCCATTCGATTGAAGTGAATAAGAAACCCTAAAGAGGGCTTTGTACTTTTTGGTTTTGGGTGTCAAATTATCTCGCTTTGTGTTGTGTTGTGTTGTGTTGCTTTTACTGTTTGTTCTTAAGCAAATGCCAACAAAGCTTAAACAAAAAACAGAACATATCTCAGATCCAAAAAACTGACTTTGACATTTCTCCACTGCGTCTCTCTTAATCTGCAATTGCACATTATTAAATACTTTTCTTTATCCAATCTGTAACACACGCATATAATAATAAATAGGGGATCTCTCTATAGATTATCAGCTTTCTTAATTACATAAGCGAGTAAACACCGAAGCTAACAAAGAAACCGAACAAAGCTCCTGCTATGACTTCAACTTCAGTATGTCCTATTGACTCTTTCAATGGAACAGACACTTCCTCACTGATCTCCTCTGATTGTAAAGCCTTAGCTTCGTTCCCCTTTAACAAACTCATCTCTTCAACTTTCCGAGCATTGGTTGTTATTTTGTTCAATACTTTCGCATGTTTTCCAACTTCTCTTCTCACTCCCTGCAATGGTAGAAGAATCCATGAGATATATAAGACATTAAGAGACACCACAACACCACCCAAATTGTTTATTCTCATATCTTACAAGCAATGACTAGTGCATGAATCAGAAGCAATGCAAATTAGTTTTCACCACACAAGATGCGTTGTTGATAGTTACTAGAGGTAATATGATGCTTCAATCCAAAAGCTAGCCTGAGCTTTAACTCTATAGACCATCATTCACCTTGTTACAATGCAGAAGGTAAACCAAGTTCAAATTTTTGCAAGAAGTTACCTGGGCATCATACATGATAAGGGCAGCATAAACCACAGTGAGACCAAAAATGGAGTCAGCAAATCCCCTGGAGTCGAACCATTTTAAACCATATTCCGTAAATTGCATAAGGTGAATGTATTTTAGTGGAAATTTATAAGAGAAAGGTTCAAGCGAAAGTACCTTTCAAAAGCAATTGCAGTTGCTGCAGCCACAACAGACTAAATTCCCTCATGAAACAGCCAAGATGTCAGAGAAGCAGACAAACACAGAGGAAAAGAGGAAGAAAGAGAAGCTTACAGACGAATGCGTTGAAGGGAAGCCTCCAGCTTGTAAAGCAGTTCTAAAGTCCAGCTTTTTCCCATAAAAGACAACAGAAGTGAAGGGCTTTGAGAGCTGCCCAATCGCTCCGGAAACCCCAGCAGCTATGAGAACCTTCACGCAGGGTGAAATCAAAAGCGTCAGTGACAACAATCGATGGACGCAAAAGAAAGAAGAGAAAAAGGCGAAACCTTGTTGTGGACGACTTCGGCGATATCTTGGAATCCAACATTGAGAACGCAGGGCGCGAGACGATTTGGCTTCTTTGAGGAGCTTAGAAGATTGAATTTGGGGTTGGTGACACAGAAACAGAGAGCGTTGGCGTTATGAGACGCGAAACACTGCTTAAACATCTCTTTGCAAAGGAAGGAGCTTCAAGGGGTTACTTGGGTGGATGATGGATGATGATAAGAATGGGGGCAGCGAGAAATTTGGAACTAATGGCTCAGTTGTGTCGACAAGAGTGTTGTCTCTTGGGACATTTTAATTTGTCTCAAAAGAATCATTCGGACAGATTTTGTTGATCTTAATTACAAATGTCGTCCGTACATTAAAACCCGGCTTTCACTTTTTCTAGAAAAAGTCTTTTAACTGATGGTTTGAAAATTGTCTCAAACGAAAGGTTTGTGTGTTCCTCACAATTTCTCTTTGTCGATCTCTTCTAGTTCAAGCTTCCGATTCCAACTTCAGTCATTAAAGCAAGACACTGTTTTTAAGGTAAAAATCAAGTCATCTGTTCCTCTTTACAAATCACAATCTGTATTCGTCAAAATTAAGAGTATGAACAAAAATAAACATAGAGAACTTCGCAGCTTGGCGTATTACTGTATATTAGTCTAAAAGTACTCGAAATCTATATAAGCCGTATCATCGGTTGGACCAGCAGCACAAGTGACCTGAGCCTCAGGCTTGATTGAGTTACAGTGATCACTAACTCCATGTCCCTTGGTCTTCCCTCTCGCCGCCTGGAACGGTCCCAAGTCAACAGGATCAGGAATGTGAGGCGGCAAAGCGCTACGCACCAGAGCCCAATTCACACCTTCAAAGAAAGGGTGCTGCTTTATCTCCGTGGCTCCCCGCGTGTAAGCGATCCTCCTGTGAGGATCCTTCACTAGAAGACCACGGATGAGATCACGCGCCGCCGAGCTCACATGCGGGGTATCCGGGAACTTTAGCGGCTGACCCACCACGTTGTGCAGCGTGGCTCTGTTCCCTTGCCCCTTGAACGGCGTTGTCCCATGTAGGAGCTCGTAGAGGAAGATCCCAAATGTCCACCAGTCCACGGCACTTCCATGTCCCTCTCCACGTATGATTTCCGGAGCCAAGTACTCGTGTGTGCCCACAAATGACATTGACCGCACATCTGTTGGCTCCGCCATGAGCTCCGGCATGGAGAGGCCGCCTAAACCAGAGTCCGATTTGGCTTTCCTGGTTTTCTTGGAAGGGAGGAGACGTGGGAGAAAGGCGGATGGATGCATACAGCCGTTGACTGCAAACTCCTCGTTGAGGATAGCACCTCCTCCGCTGCAGACTGAGGAGGACTTGACGAGTGTCGGGTTAAAGGAGCAACGGAGGGAGAGGTCAAAGTCAGAGAGCATAATGTGGCCTTCGTCTCGAACCAGGATGTTCTCTGGCTTCAAGTCTCTGTACACAACCCCCAACATGTGTAGATACTCCAACGCCAACAACACTTCGGACGCGTAGAACCTGTCAACAAAACCCATCAGAGACATAGAGATAAACAAGTAAGAACAAACTCCAAAAAAGATCGAAATGTGTTGTCTCTCACCTCGCGGCCTCTTCTGTGAAACGCCTGTGGGGCTGTTTCTGTCTGAGAGAATGGAGATTCCCGCCGCTGCAGAACTCCATGACCAGACAGTAGAACTTCTCGGTCTCAAAGTAAGAATAGAGCGTGGGCAAGAAGGGGTGATCAAGCAAGGACAGAATCTCTCTTTCCGTCTGAGCCCTCAGTAACTTGTTTCTGCTGGCCAACGAGGCCTTATCCATCACCTTCATCGCGAAAACGGCATTCGTCCCTCGAAGGTCAGCGAGATAAACGCTGCCTATGTCCCCGTACCCTAGACGCTTCAGAAGCCTAAAGTTGTCAAGACCTATTTGAGGGCCTCTGGAAGTGACTGAGTTAATGGCGTCCCACCTCACGTCCCCTCCCGTGTGAGGCTTGAAAGGTGTAGTTGATGGCCCCACCAAGCTATCACCATAGGCATGGTCCCCATTATGTCTAGGGGCTCTCTTGCTGTCAGGGGACTTTGCTTTATATTGGTGATGAGTTTTGGAGTTTGGGGACAGTATTTCAGGCGTGGTTAAAGGAACAATCTTCTTGGGATCATAATGAAGACTTTTGGGAGCGTTCCTCCTCATTGCTAAGCTATCACCATCGCTAAAATAGGTGTTGTGTTTTAAATCACCGTCTTTATTCGCTCTAGTTGCGGAGGGAGGTTCCGGAGACTTTGACGGATGTCTGACGAGAGGATCCATCTTCTTGGGATCGAAATGAGGGTTCCTTGGAACATTGTCTCCGAGCTTAAGCGAAAACGGAGAAACTTGTGTATGGTTTGCGCGAGGTGACTTAGGTTTAAGGGCTGGGTCAGCCTCCTTGGAGGCGACGTTAGCTGTGTTCTTCTTGGAAGCTAAGTCCATTTTCGGAATATCTCCAGGTTGATGATGATGATGATGATGATTTAAAGTAGCTCACCTGCAACATCAAATAGATTCACCTTAAGATGGTTGTTCAAAGAACAACACAAAAACGCATGGGTAACATTAAAAATAAAAAACCTTTTTATACCTGAGATGATCACGCTTCCTTGCTGAATTGAAAAGACAAGATGAGGAAAATCAAACCATGTCAAACCGAAGAAACTGCCGCCAGAAACCAAGGAACAACAACATACAAAAAAAAGAAGAAAAAAGAGAGAGTGTAATGCGTCAGAGAAACAGATATATAATCACACACAAAAAAAAAGTGTGAAAAAACTTAGGGACTGGCTTCAAGAAATGAAGAACACGGACCATGTTTCAATGCCCGTGACATATAAGTGTAGTTCCTAGAACACGAATCTCAAACTCTAATAAAAAAAAACCCAGCTAATATATGTTCCAAGATTCAAATCCAGAAATGAAGGGACTTTAATTGCCTTGTCTTCGTAAACGTGAATAATCCCCTTAATAGTATCTAGAGAATTTGAAAGGAGGAGACATGAGGAGATGCAAAAGAGATGGAGAGAGGGAAATGTTCTTAGCCACTCATCCCTCAACGCATAGGTTGCCGTTTATTCCTCTCTCTCTTCCCCCATCTTTTTTTTTTTATTGTCTAAATTAACCATTTCCTAAATTGGTTCTTTGACAGGGACATACAGTATGTTTGTTGTTAACAAGAGATTGTTACAATAATAAGAAAAAAAAGATACAAAATTGTCCAATGGGGAAGCTAACCTGGTCATCAGACATTCTCCTCAGCTTCATCTATGTTTCTTCCTCTTTGTCTTTGGTCTCTCTCTCTCTCTCTCTATCTGACCAACGGAGAAAAGGTAATGTCCCAATTGAATTCTTCTCGGCGGCGTCCAAGTCTTCTTGAGCCGTTGCAGCAACAACGGTTTGTCGAAAAAGAAGCCATGAGCCCGCCGGATAAATAGTCAGAGAAGTTGCGAAGCACTTGCCCTTCTTCTCCTCCGATTCCATTAACGAGCAACCGAGAACCACGGGGGGGAGGAGAGAGACCGACCGGAATATTTAAAACAGATCTCGTAATGGGTTGGACCTTTACTTATTTTAGTCTAATATCATGGGCTTATATAGTAGAGCCCATTTAAGCCCATTCTAATACTACTACAACATAAATTAGTTGATTTTTTTTTTAATTGTAAGTACACATAATACTTTCCTTTTGAGATTCTTTCCTGTGAACTAAAAATCTAGTTACTATAATCAGTTTAACGAAAAACTAGTTTCTTATATAACTATGTACTATAAAGCAAAATTGCATTGACAAAAACAACAACGAAAAGAATTTAGTGACAGAAGAAAGAAAAAAAAAAGGGTAAACTGATTAAGTGGACCGTTTTTTTTTTTCAAATTAGGTGATGAGGCAGGAAGGGAAAAATGAGTTGTGTTTGTGAATATGTCAAAGAGATAAATACAAAGAAAAAACAAATAATCAATAATGAGATAGATGATGAACCGGAAATTAAGCAAATGGCGGGGCATGGATGATGTCATCATAGCATTACACACCATCTCCCTATTTCCTTGTACCATACGTTTATATTTGTCCACTCTTCTGAATTAACAAAGGGTGTGTGTATACAAAATACGGGTCATTCTTCTTCTGACGTCTGTTCACTCTCTACACACACATGTAAACTAAAACACGTCCCTCTAATTAAAAACGGCTTAAATATTAATTAGTCTAAGCAGAATTTTTTTTATGATAATTGGTTTTTCCAGCAACAAAACCTGTCTTTTTCTTTCTTTAAGAGTAACAGAAATAAAACGGGTTTTTGCACAACTTTATTAACTTGCGAATGTGCTAGACGACGTCACAGTGACAGAAATTCTAGTAATTGTAAAATGATTGGTTCCGTAACAATTTGCAACGTGGATTTTAGCAGCTGGTCTGAAAAGATCTGAGTAAAGATATGTTATGGTGGATCCTAAGTCCGCGAGTCAATTCGAACAACATCAAAAATCAAAAAAAAAAAAAAAAAAAAAAAAAAACATAACTAAACTTGATTCACCTGGTTTAAGGATTAAGCCTGCATGTCCGTAAAAACCATCGTTTTTCTTCTACTTGAGTTTCGGGTAGATCCTTCCGTGATTTGCGGACAAAATCAATATCGGACCTAAAACACACATATACTGAATACATGAGTAAAATAAAGATCATACACTAGATCAGGTTTGAGTTCAATACGGATCGCATCGAAACCATTTGTCACATTGCAACATCTCTATGTCTGACTTGTTTGTCAGATACGTGGGACCAAACAACGAGGCGTTCATTACCCCTCCATCAAATATTTATTCTCAAAAAAATCCAGTACTGATGCTTTAATTTGGTAAAAAAACCATACAAAAATGAACGAAATTAAATTTGTTTATATATCACATCTGTTTTCTGTTCGTTTTTTTTTTGTTCTATCCAAGCTCACACCAACCTAGACGTTTATTATTCCACACGAAAAATTAGAATCAGACCTTTTAACTTTAAGCTCGAACAACCAGACAAAGTGGGAGATCTCTGTTTTGATTATTTAGTAATTACTCCTCTCCTGTTCAATGTCACGTTTATCATATCAAAAGCCTAGCCTCCCGAAATGGTAATTAATGACTACCGAACAAAAAAAATATCGTCATGTGGCTACTTGCTTGTCATTACTAGGGTAAGTCGTTTTTCTTTACTTGCGGCAGAGAATCAACACCGGCCTTTGCTGTATTTATCCTATATCATAGATCTTCTCACTCCATTTTAAGCCTTCTACTAATAATTTTATAAACAGTTTTACGCGACTTCCAATTAATATGGTTAAGAGCTTAGTAACCATTTCCTAAATACATATATATACAGCTTTGTAGAGGATACGTCATACATTTTAGATTTTACCATAGCTAAGAGGTAAACCGCGTTCTTGTTACTTGTAAGTGTAACCTATATACATTTATATAGTTTTATTCAAATCACCGAAAAGACCCGTGATTTTATAAATCAAATAAAAAACTCAATACAAATTTTCAACCTAGTGGTGCCTCTCTGTATTAATCAACACTGTGGAATTTTTATGACTTATGACAAATGAAAAAAATAATATGAATAGTTGGACGCCGCCATGCAGTAGTCTAAAGCTATAAGCTACATAACTTATATCGAACATATTGCTGTTTGAATCAAAGTGCATAAAAATTACATTGGTAATAAAATAGGGATTGGGGCCATGCTAATTGCATTTTTAGTTTTTTTTCTTTCTCTTTTTTTTTTCTTTTTCTTCAAATGATGAATTAAGATAATGCAAGTGTAAGGCCGTGCATGAAGTCCGTATAGGGTTGTTATAATATTTTTGTTTCTTGTCGTCACCCTAAGATTGTTAAAAATTGTATAATTATTGGTTGCAAACTGCTGGCAGTTTGAATTAATCTCCCTTCATCCACTGTCTTTGTCGTTCGTTACATATTTTCAGCAGCAGTTAGGATTTTCTACTATCTATAGTTTTTTCTATTACTTTTATAATCTCAATTAAGAAGTTCGGTGATACCAATGAATAACATAATTAGAATCAATTTTCACTGTTTGTTTATTGTATACACACGCATGCATAGACGAAGTGATGGGAGATGGAGTTAAACGGTTACACAATACGTACGACGGGATTATATAATTATAGTGTCGCTTGGATTGGAGTTCAACGCATCACAGTGTACACGCATCTCTCTCGATTTGTATAATCCAAAACTATATGCTTTTCATGTTTTGCGTCTCTCTAAGACTCTATCTTCTCTAATCCAGTTTTTTAGTTTAAATTTTGAGCCGACAATTATAAAATACATAGATTTCTAGAAGAATCCAAAGGTGCAACAGCCAACCAATGACAATATGACAGCTCTACATATTCCTCTCGCCATTGTGACTTTTGACTCCCTGCCCCTCTTCTCCTCACGTCTATCCATCCATACAAATATTTCATATATAAAATTAAAATAAAAATTTTCATATATACCTACCACAATTAGCCAAACAGATTATACGATTTATTTTTGGTTTTGTTGTTACTTTTACTCTTAGTTAGCTTTGAATTGTTATACCTTCGGTTTCTGCCTAGTAGTCGTAGACTCTTATAGAACTAAAAACGATTTAGAGGGACTTATATATTCAACAAATAAATAATTCATTGAACCTGTATGAAGTTTTTATAAAATTACAGTGCTATTCAATAAGATATTTTACACACACACACACAAATTCTAGTGTTATTCGACTTATCGATTTATCAATAGTATTCAGTATTGGTATTCAATTCTGTGTGCATGGTATTTATGTCTAGAAACAATTCAAATAAATTTCAGAGAAAGTTAAATGAAACATGCGAAGAGTCAATCAGATCTTAACTTTTAAGGAGTTAATTTGGATATAATTCATTAAAATTTCATTAAAAATCAATCTTTTAGGAGTTGACGTGAATTTTTTTCAAATTCAGTCATTTAATAACACTTCCTTAATCTGTTGGAAACAAACGCTAATTTGACCAGTGATATAATATTTCTTCAATTAATGTGCTTAATTATTTATTCAAACACTAAAAATGTAAGATGCATTCACCTTTAATCGAAAAGGAAAAAAACTACTAATAATTACCATTGTAAATTTGTAATATTGTACTATTGTAATTTCAACTTGAAATTGTAACATCAAAAAGATCGATATGATTCCTTAAATAAGTGAGCAAACTAAATTTTCTGACATATAGTATATCTGTCATTGTTGACCATTAGCTAAATTTTCTAAGTCTTACTTTTGTTTTTTTCGTTGAATAAGAGAGACATTAAAAAGACAAAGAAAAAAGGAACTAGATAAGTAAAATTAGCCTAATTATGTGTAGCTTTTGTTCTCAAAAAAAAAAAAAATTAGCCTAATTATGTGTTCTCTCAAAATTATGAATAATGGCCGTAAAGCAGGTAAGTTACGTGGACCTTGGAGTCAAAATTTAAGATGTAAAACAGTCAAAGTTTCTTTGGGTTTTAATATAAATCCATTTTAGATGTAAACAGTCAAATTTAAAAAACAGTCAAAGTTTGTTTGGGTTTTAATATAACTCCATTTTAGGCATAAATGATTTATGAATAATAGTCGTAATGCTGGTACTTTAGGAAAGAGTTTATATTATTCCATCTCTGACATGTGAAATTTAGGAAATAGTTAATATTTTTTTTTTAGAAGCCATTCCATTGAAAAGAAGGAACGATTACAATATATACCCCTCAGGGTTACAGCCATTACCTCAGATCAAACAGGCGATCTGCAAATACATGAAAGCAAAAGCTTTGCCCAAAAAAAGGAGTTAGAAAAGAGCAAACCAGGTTGTTAAGTAAGTTACTGTCGAAGGACTATTAGTTAATATTTAATGCCATGTTAAAATTGTTTTTTTTTTGGATTTAGGTTTTTGAGTTTTTGGATTTTCGATAATAATAACAATGGTTTCACGAAAATATCACCTTATAATTAAATAAATAAAAGCCTCATTGAAAAAAATAACAGAAGTCTTTTGTTTTCTGTAAGAAACGCAGATAATAGATTTTTTTTTGGGGGTCTAATCATTGAAAATTGGTAAAACCTTTTGTTTTTAATTTAGTTTTCCTAAATTTTAGGAAAATTACTTTTATAACATCTTGAAAGGATTCTTCAAAAACAAAAACAAAAAAAATCAATCTAAAATCAAAGATCTAATAAATTGTGATTAGAAAAAAGGAAGAGAGAGAAAAGCGTCTCATCAATAATGTATATAAATACTCTGTTTTAGGAAAAGAAACTAAAAGGGGCAAAAATAAGAAGAGGACGAAAATGAAGAGAAACAGAGCGCTCTCGTGTCTCCTCACGATGCTCCTAATCGCCGTCGCAGATTGCACGGAAGAGACGGTGGTACGGCTAGAAATGGCGCACCGGGACACTCTCTTTCCGACGCAGTACCATCGCATTGAGGACATTATCGGCGAGGACAAGAAGCGCCACAGCCTGATCTCTCAGAAACGGAAAATCAAAGGAGGAGCGAAAATATCTCTGGGATCGGGCTTCGACTACGGAGCGGCGCAGTATTTCGCGGAGGTCAGCGTTGGAACGCCGGCGAAGAGGTTCAGGGTTGTGGTGGACACAGGGAGCGAGCTGACGTGGGTGAATTGCAGGTTCCATGGGAAAGGAAAGAGCAAAGTCGAGAATCCTCGAGTGTTCAGTGCAGAGGAATCGTCGAGTTTTCGAAAAGTTGGTTGCTTGACTCAGACTTGTAAAGTTGATCTGATGAATCTCTTCTCCCTCTCCAATTGTCCAACCCCTTCGACTCCCTGCTCCTACGATTACAGGTACTTTAATGGTGATTGCGTTTTTTGTGAAAAACAGAGTCAAATATGTGATTAGGTAGATGATGGTGATGGTGGGATTTACAGACATTATTGTGGAGAGAACAATTTACTCTTTAAGGAACTTTGTGTGTGTGTTTGAGAGAGATGATATGTAGACAAAAGTTGGGTGGTCATCAATGAGAGTGATGAGGGACCTTCTCTCTTTCTCTCTTGTCACCATATCATTGTCTCTTCTTTCTCACACATATCTCTCTCTCTCTCTCTCTCTGCCTCTAAACTGTTTTTTTAGAGAACTTTGATTAGATGCAAGTGTTTGTAAGGAGAGGGTGAAATTAAATGTGAGTTGAGCTACAATTCTTCACGTTACATAAATGTCACTTATTGTGAGACTTGTGAGTTAGGTTTGGCGTTTTGAGCAACACATAAATTCCACCTCTCTGATTATAATTTTAACCTAATGGCAATTTTTTTTAATAATCCAATGTTTTCGCAGATACGCAGACGGGTCAGCAGCACAAGGCGTGTTCGCAAAGGAGACGTTCACGGTTGATCTCACAAACGGTCGCAAAGCTAGCCTCCATGGTCTCCTCATCGGTTGCAGCAGCTCCATCAACGGGGACAGCTTCCGTGGAGCCGACGGCGTGCTAGGTTTAGCCTTGAGCGACTACTCCTTCACTTCCAAAGCCACTAATATCTTTGGAGGCAAATTCTCATACTGCCTCGTTGACCATATCTCCCACAAAAACGTCTCCAACTATCTCACTTTCGGCTCTTCCTTAACCAATGCCACAGCCTTAAGACGAACCACCCCGCTTGATCTCAACCTCATCCCTCCCTTCTACGCAATCAACATCGTTGGAATCTCCCTCGGATCTAAAATGTTAGAGATACCTCCAAAAGTATGGGACGCTAAAACCGGTGGTGGGACCATCTTGGACTCAGGGACAAGCCTCACGTTCTTGGCTGAAGAAGCGTACAAGGCAGTGGTTTCAGGGCTCGAGCGTTACCTCGTTGGGTTGAAGAGAGTCAAACCAGAAGGTGTACCGATAGAGTATTGTTTTGATACCAAGTCAGGGTTCAGCGAGAGCAAGCTGCCGCAGTTGACGTTTCATTTCAAGAGCGGTGCGCGTTTCGAGCCGCACCGTAAAAGCTACCTAGTAGATGCTGCGCCGGGGGTCAGGTGTTTAGGGTTTGTGTCGGCGGGAACGCCGGCGACTAATGTCGTCGGGAACATTATGCAGCAGAATTATTTGTGGGAGTTTGATCTTGTGGCTTCAACTTTGTCCTTTTCTCCTTCTACCTGCCGTTAGCTGTTTGTTTCTCTTATATTTTAATACTACGATTAATTAATTATTGGCAAATTGTTAGTGTGAGTGTACGAATAAACAAGTTTGTTATCAAAATTTGCAAAATTTGGCAAATTGTTAATACACCTCTGTTCTCGTATTAGATCGCATCTACTTACCTACCTTTCTAGTTTCGTCATTATTGGGCCCGAGGGACATTTAGGCTGGTAAATGGGCCGTATATTAGGAGGGATACCATATTAAATGGGTTTAATTATAAAAACTTGGGCCCATAAGCACTGTCTTAAATAAGTTCACTCTGACAAAGAAGGCACGCTGCTTCTGTTTTACGAGTTGAAGAAAGTAGGAATCTGATGCATCGCTGTTTCAGTCTCATGTGCTCTCTTCTCAGAGCATATTTGATCTTTATATCTTTTTTTTCCAATTGCGGAACATTTAAACAAACTTGTAGAGTACTCTGTTTTAACCAAAATGAATACATCCTTGATTAGAGACCACATCTTTAACGAAAATGTTGAAAAACCTACTAAGGATAAATATTGAAATGGTATACATGATGATAGTTAAACAGACAGTGAAGGAGGAGCGTTGTTGTTGGAACTTGTGAGAAGAAAAAAAAGGGGTAGAATTGAAAAAGAAATTAAAGTTGGGGATGGGGGGAGAAAACAGATAACCCAACCCAATGGGGCAATGACCAATCCCATCATGGCATCCACTAAAATGATCCAATCATTATTGGTGACAGAGAAGCATCACATGCTACATCATCATGCTATTTGCTTCTACGATAATAAATCATCACTTATACTCTTCTTTCAATAAAAAAAAACAATACAGATAATTATCATGAATAAAAGATTGGATATATGAAAACCAAGAGGATATTCAATTCTCCCGTGCATATCTTTACTGTCACAAAGATCAGTTCAATCCAATAAAAATCCATTACTAATTCAATTTGTCACACCACACATACATCAAAAACCCTTATACATGTGATTTTAAAAAATCTCTCTCACAAAACAAAAAAAAAAAAATCAAATGAAACCAGCTGGTTTTATCTTACATAGCCAAATTAAAAACACACAACCCAGTTTCTAGTACTACACCTACATTTGTTGTACACAAACGAAAGTTATGAAAAAAACACTTTCAATTAAGTAAAGTAATAGGAAAATAAAAAATTAGGGTTTGGTAGTGAGGAGAGTGCAAGGGAGGTGACGGTAACAAGTGAGCAGGTGGTCGTTGGTAAGACCGGCGGCTTGCATGAAGGAGTGAACCACGGTGGGACCCACGAACCGGAAGCCTCGACGGACCATGTCTTTGCTTATACTCTCCGATTTCGACGTCTTGACCGGAATCTTGTGGCCTAGCTTGTAGTTGGTGGAGATGGGCTTGTTGTTCACAAATCCCCAAAGGTATTTCTCTAGTGACCCGAAGTTTTTCTTGATATCAACGATCTTTGTAGCGTTTTCGACAACACCTCTCACTTTGCTCATCTCTATCTTGTATTCGCTGCTTATTGCATTCATTTCTTTCTCGGTGAGTTTTGCAACCGCTTCTGCTTCAAACTCCATGAACGCCTTCCTGAAGTCATGGCGTTTTCTCAAGGTTGACGTCCAATCGGAGCCCACTTGTGCGCCACTGAGGGTCAGCAGTTCGAACAACGTCCTGAAATTAAGATGATTAGTAAACTAGTTTAATATTTGACCAACATGAAAATGAAGTAATTTTCAAAAAAAAAACATGAAAATGAAGTATAATAAGATATACAATAAAAAAAATACGAGAAAAAGTACTCGAAAATATCACAGAAAATGTTTTCATTCCAAATTTATAGGCTACTTTTAAAAAAAACAATCTTGTTTAGGAGTTGTTCTTAAAAGTTTAGTAGAGTACTTAATCATTTAGGGTTCTTTTCTACTTTCCTAAGTTTTAGAAATATTAATGTTGACCAAAAAAAAAAGAATTATTAATAAACCTAAAATTTTGTTGTATTTTGGTGTGTGTAATTGTACGATTTTGGTCAAAATTTTGAAAAATAAAATTGATACTCTATTTTTCAGAGAATTGCCTTGAGATAAAGAAGTATTATGTCACTCACTTGTCATCATGGACAGGGACTCCCCATTCTTCATCATGGTAGGCAACGTAAACAGGATCTGAGAAAATGACCTTAAAAATCAGAGATGTTGAAAGAGAAACTACCATTGCAAAAACAAAAATTAAGAAAAATTATGAAAAGAACAAGGCATAAAGAAAGAAAAAGGTAAATACCAGAAGTGGGGGTGAGGAAGCTGCATCTCTGAGGGTGATGAGGATGAGGGTGAACAAGAGGAACGACTTTGGAGGAATTGAAATTATTTAGGGTTGATTTGGATCTGCCGTAATGAGCAATCTTCAGTTTCCTTAGGGCTTGTTGTGCAGCCACTTGCTCCCTTCTCACGGCGGCTATACTCCCAGGAGCCTCTGTTATGAGCCAAGAGGGATAGCTTTCTGCATCTTTAAAACTCTTTGATTTCTTGCGCTCCAAGCTTCCCCTCACCTTGGCTGCACCACCATTGCTCATCACACTGTCCCTCTTGAGGGACTCTGAGCGGTCCATAAGGCGATTGCAACTACTTGACTGCAACATCCCCCTTTTGGTCAAACCCACTGTCTCTGTTCTGCTCATTTTCTCTATATATCAACTCTTAAAGTTATATGGATGGTGAGAATCTGTTAAGAGAGAGAGAAAACAGTTGAGATGATGAAATAGAGAAGAGAAGTGATTGTAAACGTATATATATTACAAGGAGAGATAGAGAGTTGTAAAATGGATTGTAAGTAAGGGTAATAATAATTCTTACCGAGTGGGAACATTATTCTAAAAGTAAAACCGTGTTGATATTAACAACAAGCAACAACAACAAAAAAAAAAGGAATATAGAAAAGAGTAGGGGCAGTGCATGTGCAGGATTTGATGCAATGATGCCATCAAATCATCCCATGTGACCTTTTAAATCTTCCCCTAACTATTTCTGTTTACTTTTCTTCTGAGAGTACACTTCAATATTCTTTCCTGTGTTATTTTCGGCTTAATGTCCTTTATTCATCATTTTTTTTATCACACGCGTTAGATCCATCAACTCTTCAAGCTGTTCATGTACAACATTGTATTCGATTTTGTGGGATGCAATTTTTTTTTAACATAAAACTAAAATAACAAAATAAGGAGAGAAATTGGAATGAATTCCAAAACGGACGAAAACACATGTAATAAAGTGTATACGATGAAGAAAGATAAGATAAGACCAAAGAGAGTAAGAGACAGACCATGTGGTTCCACACTTATCCTATTTCTTCATTATTACCAATTCTATAATATCAAACGTTACTTAATTGTAACACATCTTTATTTTCGATCTACTGTGCCATAAGGTGTCGTCTTCTTGTTGGTCCTCAATCATTTATATATCCATATTCCATGAGATGTTTTGTTCATTCCATTCAGATATTTTACGCTTTGATTGCCATTTTGTGAATCTTCTACCATCATCAGACTAACACATTTGACTTTCTCAATGTTTGTGCAAATTCATGTACAAGCATAAGCCCACGAATTAATTAGAAGAATATGGATAATTTACAGGTGAGAGCATGTGGCGATGTGGCACATTCCCTCTTTGCCTTCGCGCTTCGCACGAAGTTTCATTATAATGATTTAGCATAATTATCTCCGCACAATCAACATCGTTAGAGAACACGTACACATGAATCAATTACTTATCGTCCTCGTCTCATCAATCATAGCAAATGCAAAATATTGATTGAGTCAGTGTCATACTGTTTTATTGGTATGATTATGATTTTGACACCTCTCTTCCCCTTTAGGCAACCTCATCTAAGTCGGCCCGTTATTATATGGGCCTTAATATAACAGAAGAAATTTAAATTAAAAAGCCCAATGTAATTAAATAGCAAAATAAAGTCCACCCACACGCATGCATTATACATATTTGATCACAAGAAAACGAATTACACAACAACACTGACATGGAAAAATCTCATCTTACAAAACTAGTGAAAATCAGCAAGTGGAAATTATTCATATAAATATATTTACACTTGAGGAATTGAGAAATATAGTATTGTAGAGTAAAACTAAAAGGTCCAGCCAAGATCATCCATGGGATTGTAATCGATAGACATTGCAGAAGAAAAAATGGAAGCAAAATCAGGATCAAAAGTATAAGAAGAAGGAGTATTAAACAAAATGTCCATGTTGAGATCATCATCATCAACTCCAACTACTGCTTTTTCACTCGAAAACATCGGAGCTTCTTGGATTGGCGCCATTCCATCAACATCTGACCAGTCAGGAATCATGTTCTCACCATCTAAAAGACTTGACATGGTATCGTTGATAGGGTTCATGGTTTGAGCGGGGATTAGAGTCCGGTTAGGAGATTTAAGTCTGTTTGGTTTAGTGGGAGTGGGGGGATTAATGTTTGTGATCGAGAAAGCGGTGGTTGATTCATCAAGATCTTGAGTAGGGTTCTTCAAGATGTTTGTCGCCTTGTGAACACTCTTATTATTATTGGAAGAAGAAGAAAATCTTTTGTGTGCAGGCATTAGATTATGAGTGGAGGGATCTAAGCCTTGAGAAAGAAGCTTCTTCTTAATGCATGAGTTCCAAAAGTTCTTGACTTCATTATCAGTGCGTCCTGGCAAGTGCTTAGCAATCTGAGCCCATTTGTTACCAAGAATACGATGGACATCGATGATAGTCTGCTCTTCCTCTGCGTTAAACGAACCTCTCTTCAGGTCAGGCCTCAGGTAATTTATCCACCTTAGTCTGCAACTCTTCCCACATCTTTGCAACCCTATATATACACATACATACCAATTAATTAACATTAATCTACCAAAAAAACAATTATTGGATTGGTTCATGTTTCCTATATATACTATCTTAGGTCTTCGTTAGAAATAGTAAAAGAGAGATAGAGAGAAGATATAAAAACCAGCAAGCTTGGGAACGGAACTCCAGCTTGGATGACCATGAGTGGTGATATAACGAAGAAGCTTCTCATCTTCCTCTGGGGACCAAAGCCCTCTCTTCACCTTGTGTTTCCCACAGCATCGATGTCCCATTTCATCTCTTTTCATTTCCCATTTCTCTTTCATCTTTATATATACAAGGTCTCTCTTGGTGTTGATAAATTAGCAGGGTTACTATTTAATCAGTACTAATTTATTTGTTCGAATAATTAATCTATAATATATGATTAACCAAACTTGTGTTGTTCTCTTTTTCTCTGCGTGTCTTCAAATGGAAGCCTGATTAGAGACATTTGCAGTTCACGTCACTTTCCTTGACAAAATCAGCATCTATTAATTTGTCTCTCTAATTATTGCTATACATTGCATGCACGGATCCTGTGATTATCACTGTAGTTTAATGCAATGGTTTCATCCTACATACTTTAAATAGGACACGAATTACTAAATTATACGGAGTTTAGTTGTTGTCTACTATACTTCAAAATACATCAGATCAATTGGTAGGAAAATTTTAGTTGAATGAGACACAAGTTATTATTGTCGGATCATTACGTTATATAATGGATAAAATGACCCTTTCATGTTGATTAGTTTTATACATACGCATAAACGCAAAGAATCCCAAATTATCGCTTATACTTTAATCCATTAGCGTTACCCTCCCCCTTCAGATTTCATTATATAATATGCTCAAACGCAGTAGAGTATTAAAACCCCAAATAGAATTTTGAAAAAAATGCACTAGAGTTTCTGATTAAGATCCACTTTATAATTTTAATTTAATACCATGATTAGTTTAAAAACCTTCTAATAAAAAATATCATGAAAAAAGCTACTAGAACTCTATCATCTTCCACCGCCACTAGACGATACTTTCTTTGCGGTGATAAGACTTTAGAACCCGTGTTTAAATTTTGACCCAAATTCAAATGGGTACGTGATCGTTATCATGGAGGGCTTTTAGAAAATGTGTCAATATGTTTCAACTTTTGAATATTGGAATGAATGATGAACATATAGTATTACTATCAGTAAATACGTTTCATTTAGAGGTAAAGTAGGGAGCACGATTACAAAATTTTCCGACCTAATCGCAACTACTAGAAAATTGTAACATGAGAAAAATTGGATCAGTCCTTGGGGCTTTCCAAATAACGTTTCCGTTTAAGTAAGCCAAGTACGGGTCAAGCTATAGCTTAATATAGGTCTACAACGCAATCGTTACTTTGAATCCGTCAAGTTAACTGTAATAATAAACAAATGGGTGGGGAGAAAGCGGTTAATTAACATAATATAAATCCAACGTCGCTGTTAATAGCCATATCATGTAAAATCTTCGTCTTAATGAAGCTACAGGCATTTAACTATACATGTGTCTTAGTTTTCCATTACAATAACGTATTATTGTCTTTCAGCCTTTCTTTCTTGGTTAAAATAACTTTTCTTTATTGATAAACCCTAACCGTGGGTAAACTGATGCAATGGACCACTCGGTTATCTTTATATTTTCTATAAGACTATAACAATCTAAATTTAAAGAAAAGAGGAGGCAATTAATTGTTGGGCAATTCTGGTATTAGTTTGACAACATGAAGTCAGAATGATGTATAACACAATTCCTTTTTCTAAATAATTGGGTAATCGTGATTCATGAGTTTGTTTTTCCAAGACACGTACGTGAAGTAATTGTAGCCTTGCAGGAGTAGTAACAAAGAAGCTCTCTCTCTATTCTTAGCTCTTGGTGTTTGTCTTTCCTGGTTTATGATGATTTTCTTAGTTAAGTAGTACCAAATGTTTAGTCCAACGTATTACGTACCGTCCGTACGTACTAGTTTTATTAACATGAAACATCATCAACATTACACCATTCATACGGATTATTTTTGTTTCTGTTGAATATATATAGCGTGAATAACATTAAGAACCATTTCAACGTAAAAAATGTATTATATATAAGTTTTCGTTAACGGGACGACGAACGATATATTTGTTGCTCAAAAAAAAAAAAACAGATACAATCACATTAACGTTGTGTTTTTGGTTCAATTATAATGGTCGAAACAAGTTTGTGTTTTAAAAGTTCAAAAAAAAAAAAAGTTTGTGTTTAAAAAAAGAAAAAGAAACAACGAATAATAACGGAGATTTAGAAGCTGGTGAAGTGTTAGAGAAAACAATAACACACTTACTCCATCGTTCGTTCAATCTTATCTTTAAGTTATGTACGTACCAGTCCTTACAAAAGACTAATTAAACATCCTTTTTTTGACCGTTTCAGATCCACAAGACTTCCTCCATTGACTCGTTAACCAGATTTTTTTGCTGGTCTATTATGATGATGAACCCTCAAATAATTTGACCTTCGATGGTAGGACCTACCTCATAGGCCCATCTAATCTTACCATTTATCATAATTCAATAAATGGGCTGCTCTAGTTTTATGTTTTTGGCCCAAATTTCAATGATTGGGGGACATCCCGGACACCCGCAACAAAAAATATTAGAATGTTGAAAATGCATTTTTTTTTCTCAAAAACTTTGTAAGTGCAACGATATTTTTTTTTTTGAAAATAAGTGCAACGATATTTCCTTCAAGGAAATGATGAGAGGTAGATTATTGGATTGAATAACGTTTAAGTATCGTTGGGTGGTGGTGAAGATAATTTTACAATTTCAGTGTGCAAGCAACACATAATGAAAAATGAGAAATTCATAAGGCAGCCTACTTCACCATTTAGTGCACATCATCACATTAATATATAGATTGAATAACGAAGATCCACTTCAGGTTTGGCAGAAGTTATTACATGCAATTAAATTTGTGCATATTTATACACCAAGTCGGCATAAGAAACTAGAGTGGAAAGAGAGTCAAGTAGCTAGACCTATATTATATAAATGTATTCTCTAACCGAGACAAACGGTGCGGTTCTTGGAGATGGAACTCCGAGAATCTTGCAGAGAGAAGTTGGAATTGATGTCAGGGAGATGCAAATCCATAGAGGAAGATGAGGGAAAATGATCCTCGAACCATGGGATTGGGAGGGACGTCGTGGTGTTGCAAATAGTGGCTCGGTCGAAAAAGAGAGTAGAGTAGTCTTTGGTGAGGCTTGCTTCTTGGGTTTCACATGCTTTCTCTAACATGCTCTCCATGTATTTCCCTTGTGCTTCTATCCTTTGATTCACCTGTCTTTCTACTTCTACCTCTTCCTCTATCCTTCTTTGCACTTCCATTTGCATCCTTCATCACCATCCATAATTACCGTTTTTTATATTATAAGATTTTAGTATATTATATAATTATATTTAACAAATCAATAGTTAGAATTGGAATTTAAAATACATACTCGTTCACATTGCGACCAATGATGTGAGGAGTAGTGAATACAACATTCCTTTGAAGATCCAACATGGAAGCTGCATGCATGATGTTGATTACCAAATGTATAATAAGCTCTTTATGGTGCAGTCACAAATTAGTCAATCATGGAGCGATTATAATTAATTAAGAAGGATGAAAATTATCCGCACCTCTATTAGTAGTATCCCTAATGTTAATGGAGTGATTTTGATTATGCTCCTTGTGAGGCTGCTTTCCAAGCCTGAACTTCTGTAGTTCAAACACACATATAATTTACCAAATATGTTTTAATTCCTAACTAGCCAAGGCAAAATTAGAAAGAACTCTAATAATATAAAAAAGAAAAAATATTAAATGAAAGAAGAAGAAACTGATGAGGAAGAATGAAATAGGACCTGGAGATGGCTCTTGAGATGATAAAGCGTGAGACCCTTGACACCCATCACTCTCATTATCGTCTTTGGTGTAGCCTCTGCTAACATATATCACAATTAACATGTATCTATGATAAAGTAACTAATGATTAATGTTGATGAAAACGTACTGTCAGGGCCTCCAAGATGAGAGACGGCGTCAACAAAACGTTCATGAAGCTCTGCTGTCCAGCGAAGGCGAGGCTTAGGATCGGTGGTGAGGACGAGACCTGATGATGGTGACTCAGCTCTCCTCTCCTCCCTCGACTGCATCATTCTTCAACTAACAAATGCCGAATCGATATGATGCAATCAATATTCAACACAAGAGAATATTTATTTATGAAATATGGAAAAAGGAATACACGACGTCTTGCAAATTATATAAAACTATGGTGTGACATTGACACATACAACTTTTTTTTTTTATGTAAATACTTGAAAGGCAGGGGGAGGCATCTCTATAGACTATATAAGCAATAGGGTTTTTAGGCTTTCAAGTTGTAACCCATGCAGGCGATTTTGCATCCACACATGTCTATATACAATTACATCCAATTTTGCATGTCCAAGTCCTTGTATTTTTGATATATTGACGCATGTGTTCCTTATTCATACGATAAGAAGTTGCTTTTCGAAAATTGGCTTCCATTTACATCTATGGATGCACATGCGTGTGGGAATAAGCATCTTATTTGTTTTTAAGTAAAAAATTGTTTAATCTCGATGAAAAGATTCGTGTGCGGTGTACTTTAAATTAAAGATGACAAGTGGAACAAAGCTGATGTTTAACTTTTAGCTCATCAATTTAAGTATGTATGCAATGCAAATAGGAATCATGCAGGTTGGAAAAAAAAAGATGAAAAAAAGAAAGTATTTGATTTTGTTTGCTTAGTTTTCAAGCGGCCTCTTGTCTCCTTTATTTGATGGATTCTTCTTATATTATTCCTCTATAGATGAATTTATTCCCTTTCATATCACCCACCCACACCACTCATATGGCTCATATCAGCTCAACCAAAATCTAAACCTCTCTTCATTCAGCAATACAAAATTTGGACCCAAGAAGAATGCTTAGGCCCATGTAAAAAGTATTCAAGCCTAGTCCAATAGATATAAGGCCCAACTGTCTTAGGGGGCCTTTTCTTTGGTTGCTTCTCTCGTCATTCTCTGTCTTTTGGTGTTCCTAACTTCCTAACATGACATCTGCAATGGATAGAGTTTTCGTTTTTCCTAACCACTATGCTGCTTTCTCTTGCATATTCTACTCATCATTTCATTAAAATAACTTAGCAATAGAGAAGATATGTTTTTTTTTCATTTTTTTTTTTTTTTGGTTCATGTTGTCTGAACAAGTTAAAAATCAGACAACTAGTCATGGCATGCATTGGTGGTTTTTATTTCAGGGAATTAATTTTGTCAACCAAACAAGGAAAGCATAGTTGTCAATGTAAAAAAAATTCAATTCTTACTATATATATTTTTCACTTTTCAGTTATAAAAAAAGAAAAAAAACGGAGGGAAGTAACAAAAGGAAAAAGAAGTGTCTTTACCAATTGGCATCGTCCCCTCAAATATCTAGGAAACTTCGATTTGGGGGTTTCTCTTCGTCTAGATTGAAGAGAATGGGTCTTTAGCCGTCGCTTTTGACTACGACGAAGACCATTCTTCCTTCCTCTTAGCTAGTCTCCTTCTCCTTCTCCTTCTCCCTCTCCATAGTTTCATCCCTCAACGAAGAAAAAACCTTCCTTTTTTTCCTCAGCTATGACTCCCAATTCTGCATCGTCTAGCGCCGCCGCTTCCGGATCGGCAGATTCTTCCGCCTCCCGGAGAAACTCCAAGCGACCCAAGTGTATTTCTCCTCTCCCTCTTCGCCAACTTCCTTTCGTTTCTCCTTTGACTCCTGGGTCTAATCAAAATTTGATCTTTGATCTTACCGTCTGCAAAATCCGTTGTTGTGCTCACTTTTTATTAAGATTCGTTCTTCAGTGTCTTGCTTTCATACACAAGCCCTTTTCATGCAAATTTTATTGCGCACCAAATTAGCTATGTCGTTGAACTGACTCAAGCTCACCAGGATTATTGTTAAAGAACTGGATTGTACTGTATTGAGATCTTTAGCTGGTAATTGAGAATGATGTAGCTAAAAGGTGATTCTGGTCGCTAATGATTGATTGCAGATTCAAAATTTACACAGCAGGAGCTTCCAGCTTGCAAGCCAATTCTTACGCCTGGTTGGGTAAGCTTCTTTGTAGTCCTTGAAGTAGCAATTTTTTCTTGTATCATCCTCAGTCTCCAGTTTTTTCTTTGAAACGGTATAAAAATTCCTTGTCCTTATCTCCTTTTGCAGGTGATTTTGACATTTTTGGTCATTAGCGTTATCTTCATTCCCCTCGGAGTTGTTTCTCTTTTCGCTTCCCAGGATGTAAGTGAGGATGGTCTGATGCTGCTCTTCCTTTTTATCCACCTAACCTAGTGTTTCCACATCTCACATTTTGTTTTCATCTCTTATGTATAAGGTTGTTGAGATCGTTGATCGGTATGATAACGATTGCATACCGGCGCCTGCTAGGGCTAACAAGGTTGCATACATTCAAGGAGATGGAGATAAATCTTGTATCCGGAACTTAACTGTGAGTTTCCCTATGCAGCAACACTGTTTCATTCTTTGAGAGAATTGATTTAGCCTCTGAATGTCTTTGTTTACTTTCTTCTTTCTCCCTTTGGGTATTGTCAGGTTCCTAAGCTTATGAAGCATCCTATTTACGTTTATTACCAGCTTGAGAACTTCTACCAGAATCATCGCAGGTATTTTTGTTGAGAAATTCTACCTTGAGTGAAGTGCTACATTAAAATTTAGATATGACTTATCTCTTTCTGGCATTTGTGGATATTACAGGTATGTGAAAAGCAGAAGTGATGCGCAACTGAGAAGTGTGAGAGATGAGAATCAAATAAGTGCATGCAAGCCTGAGGATGATGCTAATGGGCAGCCGATCGTGCCATGTGGTCTAATTGCTTGGAGTCTCTTCAATGACACATACACTTTAACAAAAGACAGCCAGAATTTAACTGGCCAGAATCTAACTGTAAACAAGAATGGAATTGCTTGGGAAAGTGACAGGGAACACAAGTTTGGGAAAAATGTGTTTCCCAAGAACTTTCAGAAGGGCAATCTAACCGGTGGTGGTAATCTAGATGTAAACAAACCGGTAAGAGGATCTGATTACTTTGGTACAGTCTAAGACTCGGTCATATATTTGGCAATCTCTTTATCTCCGTCTCTGATGATGTGTTCAGCTGAGTGAGCAAGAGGATCTGATTGTGTGGATGAGGACTGCAGCTTTACCCACATTTAGAAAACTATACGGGAAGATAGAGAGTGACCTGCAGAAGGGTGATGTCATACACGTGAATCTGAAGAACAACTACAACACATACAGTTTCGATGGGAAGAAGAAGCTTGTTTTGTCAACAACTAGTTGGCTCGGTGGAAAGAACGACTTCCTTGGCATTGCTTACCTCACAGTTGGAGGAATCTGTTTCTTCTTGGCACTTGCATTTACTATCATGTATCTTGTAAAACCCAGGTATACTATATATATGTATCCTATGATTCCTAATAATTCTAGAGATTATAACAGCAAAGTGTAGATGTTTGATTTGGTGTTTGGGGGATTTTTGCAGGCGACTTGGAGATCCTACTTACTTGTCGTGGAACAGAATTCCCGGAGGTCGGTAAACAAAGACTCTTCTTTTATCATCTGCGTATATAAACCTCTTTTATCCATGAATGTAATTTCAGCTAAAACTGCAAGTGGTGATATGTATTATATATATTTGAAATGCACGATGTTTACAGTTGAAAGCTTCCTATATATGAGTGATGATGCTTCCTATCGTTGTTCATTACCTTTGTCTTTTCTCTTCCTCCACTATTGGTTGTCTCTATCAAAAAGCAGACATTGCGTTCGAAATAGAATAGTATTGATTCCGAGATTAGAAACACCATTACAGATTCGAGAAAAAGAAGCGGCATTTTGTGCTTGTTTGTTCGTTAATAGCTGCTGAATATAAATGGGTCATGCCCAAATGGCGAGGAGAGACATGGAAGCAGCGCCGAGGAGGAGAGAGAGAAAAGCAGCCAAGTGAAGCCAGAGATTAGACTGCAATCTTGGGTTGACGAAATCAGGAGCAAGAAGATCAACGAGTGACATGTAAATGAGAATCCCAGCTGATGCAGCGTTCAACACTCCTTCCACCATTATCGCCTCTTTGCTCTCTTTCCTGTAACCTAATCCACTCGACATCCCCATCCCTATCCCTATCCCAACCGGCGCCGTCACCGAGAAAAATGTCGCCATTATCACCGTCGATTTCGACTTCAACTCCGCCTATACACATCCATCATATTGTCAGAACTCTATAAAAAAAAAAATGTTCAACTCATAATCATAAAAGTGGAGTCGAGACTTACGAGAGAGATGCAGCCACCGAGGCCAAGACCTTCAAAGAACTGATGGAAAGAAAGAGCAGCCATGAGTGGCTTTATGGTCTCTATGCTCTGTGATGCTCCAAGAGATATCCCTATGATAACCGAATGCACAACTATCCCAATCTCAAGAACCTGAGACACGATCCGTCTCCTGATCAATTCCGTCGATCCATGTGCGTGTCCGTGACTCGCATGCGTGTGCACGTGGACACGACCCGCAAGCTCTTCTTCGTCTACTACGTTGACTTGCTTGCTCCCATTGTTACTGCTAAAGTGTTGCCTCTTGTAATAACCCGTCGCGAATGTATCGATCATTAGAGTCCCCATCGCGGACAGCATCGCTACGAAACCGGCGAAAGGGAACTTGCTAGCTGCAGTGTTCTCGAGACAAGGCGAGCTCAGTCTCTCGAACGCGTCTGGTAAGATATGGACGAACCCTGTGCAGAGGATCACTCCTGCAGCGAAAGCTTTCACCATGAAGAAGATATCGTTTTCCGGCTGTAACGCCGGTATCTTCTTCCCGACCAACGGTAGACTCACGCCGACTCCTCCTGCTACAAGTAGCAAAGCGATCGAACCGAGCTTCATCTTCGTTGCTTTCTCTGCTTCTTCTTGAGACACAGCGTCATGATCATTGTGGCTTGTACAATCACTCGAGGCACAGCACATATGTAGACATATTATAAATATTACAAAAACTCTCAGCATATTTGTGGATAAACAGCCACAAGATTCAGACATGGGTTTAGATATTTTTTTTTTCTTGTTCTTGTGTTGTAAGAAAGTAAAGTGTGAAGAGTTATGGGGAAGTAAGAGAAGCTTTTTATAGCGAGAAAGCGAGAGAGAACCTTTAACTTTTGAAGCGAGTGGTCCATAAATGTTCATAGCAGAATCTAACTTACGTAGAGTTGACCACTATACACATTAATTTCGTTGTCACGCACACAAAATTCTCTTATTACAACTATCATTGTTAACATTCAGGTCTTTAACAAAGACTTAACAACAAAAATGGAACGAACAAAAAAAAAGTATTGCGCTTTTGGTATTTGTTTAACCATTTGTTATTTACGGGAAAAGGCGGCTAAAGAAATTCATTGGTTCGTATAAGAAATTCCTCAAGCATCTTAGATTGTAGTTTATGGATGGCTGAGATAAGACGCCCTTTCGATGTCTTCTAATCATTTGTCATCTATTTATACATTCTTGAGATACAATAATCTAAGTACTTAGACAATTCAAACTTGATTGGTCTCTTAACATTACTAAGCGTACTGTTTTCTTTTACGTACGCATTTGAATTTGGAACTGTTTTACGAATGATACAGTAGGGAAGGAGATGATTTGTGAATTCTTTGTAACCCCTGTAATTGCTAGTCAATAGTCATGATCAAGGTTCTCTTTTCACTTTATCAAAAGCAAAAAATATATGTATGTATATAAATTAAAATGTGAGAACTTTTAACCAGAAAGTAAATGTGAAGACAGAGTGTCGTCATGTTAGGCTGTGAACCGTGAGAAAACTGAGAAGAGTGATTTTAAATTTGATTTTTCCATTTACTTTTGGCTTCAAAATTTTACGATGGTCTCATCGTCCTCGTAAGGTGGGATTGGTGGTGGGTAGTGTTGGCCCAGTGAAGAAGCCACGTGTTTCGGATTCAGATCTCATTATCAGCTATTGAGTGCGATGGTTATCTGAACTGAACCTAATGATCTTGGCCTTTTATATGAACTGAACCTAATGATCTTGGCCTTTTATATATTTGGTTTCCAAGTCTTACAATAATCCGAATTATAATAAGGTTATATTAGACGGATGAGAAAGCGATTGTTGGATTAAAAGAAAAAACCGACAAAACTAATCCGAAAAACATCAAAGTTTTGATTAGGGTTGGCAACATTTATGTATTGTTTTTCAATGATTGAAGAGTGTTCTTGCATCACGTTTAACACATTTTGGGATGTAGATATTTACATAAGAAAAAAACAATACTGTGCCTATGTACAGTAACAAGTTTTTTCGGGCTAAGAAATTAGTAGTACATTGTAGAATAATGTTTATAATGCAAAAGGAACTCCATGTATGTATTCTTTTTTTTTTTTTGAATGAAAAACTATTTTAAAATGTGGTCGAACACGCGACCTTCGCGACCTTCAGATCTTCATGTATGTATTCTTAGCAAACCATCTTGAACTTCTCAATCTTTAATTTGGGCATTTCGTAATGAGCTCTAAGTAGTCCCGTTGTAACACAACGAGTAATAACATCTGTTGTGTCGCATAAAACATTTCATTGTCCGAATGAAGCAATGTCATCATCACTTGCCTTTAAGACCTAAACAATCCATCTTTCGGCCTGGCAAGTGGCAACTGGCAACTGAATGATATTGTCCCACAACGACACGTGGTATTACATGATCCATCAAACCTGCATGATAAATCATTCACATACACATGTGCCCTTGCCTATTGATTTATCATTTATATCATCACGAATATATATTGATGTTTTAAATACAACATAAATAAATTTCCAAACTATAGAACAAGAACTGAAATTTCCTAGAAGCAAATGTAATATTTATACAAAATACTGACTTTCTATATATGAACTTTTCTACCAAATAAGAACTTTTTAGACTATATATATTACAGTATCTATAAACCCAGCTGATTTACTCGCGAAAAACATGGACAATTGTACCGGTTTAAATAACAATACCGAGATACAAATCTTCCGGTCTATTGTACCGAATTGTTAAACCGAGATTTTGCATAATAAAAAGAATTTTCAATCAGAGTAGAAAAAGAAATAAAACATATATGCATTGAAGAAGAAAGAGGCGGACAGAGGAAAGTGAGAGAAAGCAGAAGCAATCGTGAAGAGAGACTCTCGAGTCTTCCTGAGTCACTCCTCTCCTCTCAAAACCCTTCTCTTTTGCTTGTGCCGATAGGTAGACATATAGATACAGAGACAGCAGCAACAACAACGTCCAATTCATCTTCGATTACCTTGCTAGGGTTTTTGTTTCTGGGTTTTCTCGCCTGCGGATTCTTCACACAATGGTACGCTCTTTCTCCTCCTTCTACTTCTCTGGGTTTGCGGATCCACTTACCTTTGTATCCGACGATGGAAAGCTTTGATGTCTTTGTGGCTTTTGATAATTCCTTCTCAGTCGAATACAAACACTCACAAAGTCCCTTAATTTAGCGATTTCAGTGGTTTATCATCATCTTTATGGGGGTATTTAATTCAATCCTATGATCTCTTATTTTATTTGTTAATTGTGCAGCATAAGCTGAATAAAAGCAACCGCGACAAACTTCAGCAGTTCGTGGCTATCACAGGAGCTAGGTAACTGGATCTATCTCCAAGAGCAGGCTTTGTCACTGATCTTACTACTCTTTTAAGATTTGTTGTTAATTTTCTCAACCTGTGTGTGTTTGGTGACTTGTTGGCAGTGAGAAGAATGCTATTCAAGCTCTCAAAGCCAGCGATTGGCACCTCGAAGCAGCGTTTGATGTGTTTTACAGCCAGCCTCAGCCAAGAAGCAATGCTGATATGAGACGCTTGGAGGAGCTCTACAATAGATATAAAGGCAAGCTACTTTGTTACTCTTGTCTTGATCAAGGCCACGTTTAATTTCTCATTTTGTCTACCTTTCACTTCTAAAAATGTCGTATTTCATTCTGCAGACCCATATTCTGATATGATTCTAGCGGATGGTATCTCGGTTCTGTGTAATGATCTTCAGGTATTTTATCTTCTTGAATAATGCCATGAGTGATGTGGTTTATCTTTACATAGCGTTAATAACAACCGGCTTGGTTTTTTTTTTATTCTCTTCAGGTGGAACCCCAAGACATTGTCACGGTAATTTTAGAACCTTTTCGTACAATTTTCTTGTTCAGCGGTTGCTCTTAGTTTTCTTGTTCATCTTCTGGACATTTAATAAAATGGGTACTTGCTCCAATTTCAGTTGGTTCTTTCGTGGCATATGAATGCTGCCACAGCGTGTGAATTTTCCAAGGAAGAGTTTGTTAGTGGATTACAATCATTAAGGTGAGTGAACTCTAGTCTTTGATGCTATTTAATTTCTGTAACGTTAGGGCCTGTTCGAGGACCTTTTTGGTTCGGAGCTTAACTTAAGAGACCTAATTTTCTGATGGCAGTGTAGATTCCATTGCGAAGTTGCAGGAAAAGCTGTCTTTTATGCGTTCTGAGCTTAAAGATGAACGTAAGAAGAAAACTAAGTGGCCATTTTTTGTCTTATTTACGATTTGATTGATGGAAACTCCCATGTTTGCTGACATATGTGCAATGTTCTTCTTGTGGATTTTATCTTGTTCAGAAAAGTTCCATGAGATATACAACTTTGCTTTTGGGTGGGCGAAAGAGAAGGTAAAAACTAAAAAGCTTAATTTAAAGTCGTTGCGCTAAGGAGTTGTTTTCTCTGTGTGTGCTAGTGACAAATATACAAACTGTAAAATGTTTCAGGGGCAGAAGTCGCTTGCTTTAGATACAGCGATTGGGATGTGGCAGTTGCTCTTTGCAGAGAGAGAGTGGCCACTGGTAAATCACTGGTGTGATTTCTTGCAGGTAAACAAACACTCTTGAAATTAATATATCGTCTATTATATGCTTCTGATACAATTTTTGTTCCCCAAATCAGGATCGCCATAACAAGGCGATATCTAAAGACACATGGGCACAGCTCCTGGAATTTGCCAGGGTAAGAGAAGAACTAGATACAATTGTGTCCATGAGCTTACATATTGATTGCAACTATGGCTTAATGTTTGATAATATGGACTGAGACAGTAGTTTGTGATGCAGACGGTGGACCCGGCGCTGTCGAATTACGATGCAGAAGGAGCATGGCCTTACCTCATCGATGAATTCGTTGAGTATTTGTATGACAAGAGCGTTGTTGAAAAGTAACCTGGCACCTGGGAGAAGCAATCAGCACTGTTTTACAACGTTCCTTCTCATTATTTTATAGACTTATTTTTGTGTTGTTCAGAATCACACTGATGATCAACTAAGTGAGCTTTCCAACTTTCAGACAAATCCAGTTTTTTTAGCGTAATGAAACCAACGATTTCTCTCGTGTCTGTTGTTACCAATAATCACCGCACGAACAAACTCCATCCTTAAAATGGTGGAACCGATTCGTGTCTCTCACAACAATCTCTCTGCCCACAAGCTTCGAGATAAGCTTCGTAGCGGCGTGACAGTTCACACAAGCTCTCAGATTCTTTGTGATCCTAAGTGTTGTCCCTTGCGGCGTACTTATAAGCCCATACGCAATCGCTATCCTCTCGCTGTGGCTGCACAGAGTCTCCTCAGTTTCTTCATCGTTGAGGTCGTGCAGCGAAGCATCCTTGTACGCCACAAATCCACCTTCCTTCAGTTTACTCTCAATCCACTCTACTTGTCTCTCAATCTCTTCATATCTTGGATGTGACTTATCACCCACTCTAAAAGCCTCCAACCTTCCCCTCACTTCAACCCAGCTGCATCCCACATCTTTGCTCAATCCTTTCTCCTTCATTCTCACTCGAACCTCTGCTACACGGTCCCACAAACGCGCTGCAGCATACAGATTAGAGAGCTGCACGTAGTGCCCTGTGTTGGATGGGTCTATCGAGAAAAGCTGCTGAGCCGCGTATTCCCCTAGGCTCACGTGGCGATGCTTCTTGCACGCGCTCAAGAGCGCTCCCCAAACCGTCACACCAGGCTGGACCGGCATGCATTTGATCACTTCGTAGGCTTGATCAAGATGACCAGCACGCCCGAGAAGATCAATGACGCATGCATAGTGTTGCTGCTGCGGGTTGATTCTGTGATCCGTCATCCGGTTGAAGAACCACCAGCCTTCTCTAACCAAGCCTGAATGGTTACAAGCCATTAGAACCCCTAGAAACGTTACATCATTGGGATGAACTCCACCACGTTCCATTGCACGGTACAGACTGATTGCTTCCCTTGCCTGACCGTGTAGTCCATACCCAACAATCATAGCACTCCACATCACAACGTCCTTGTCGAGTGTTCGGTCGAAAACCGATCTCGCACAGTCTACACTCCCGCATTTCGCAAACATATCGATTAGTGCGCTGCTAATAAAAACATCGTCTCCGTGGTTACTCCTGCGTACGTATTCGTCCATCCACAGGGCCTGCTCAAGAGAGCCTACTTGAGCGCAAGCCGAAATGGCAGATGTTATAGAGATGGTGTCAGGTCTGACATCTTTACTGATCATCTCGTGGAACATATCAATAGCATTCTTGGCGTAGCCGTTTTTCGCATAGCCAGAGATCATGGCGTTCCACAGTATCAAGTTTGGTGACTTCATCTTATCAAACAGGATCTTGGCAGTCGCGACTTGGCCACATTTTGCATACATTGTGTTGAGAGAGATGAGCAGGTCAGGCTCTGTTTCGAGACCCATCTTCACAACAGAAGCGTGAATAGATCTCCCTTGCTCCAAATCTTGCAGGCAGGTGAAAGCATTGAGAACGCTGACAAGGGCTACCCAGTCTGGCTTCACATCCATCTTCCTCATCTGACTGAAAATCTCGAGAGCCTCCACAGGCTCACCGTTCTGAGCATAAGCCGAAATGATAGCCGTCCATGAGACTATCGTTCTCTCTGGCAGAGGCAATCCTTCAAACACGGTTCTTGCGCGGTCCATACGCCTGCATCTCGCGTACAAGGCAATGAGACCGTTCTGAACAAAGACATCAGCTTCAAAGCCAAGCCTGAATACTTGAGCGTGGACGAGACGACCCATCTGAAGGTGAGGCAACCCGCTGCAGGATTTAAGGAGGTGAGGGAAAGTGAAAGAATCAGGAGAAACGCGAGCGAGTTGCATCTTGGAATACATGAGAAGAGCATCTTGGAAGAAATTGTTTCTGGAGTAACCCCTGATGATGGCGTTCCAAGGGAATATCTGAGGGCGAGGTAAATCGTCGAACACCTTGCGTGCGAAACAAATGTCACCAAAGGAAGAGCTTGCGTGGATGAGCTTGGTGATCAAGAAACCACTAAACTGCAAACCCAGAACCAGTAAACGTGCGTGGATTTGCCTCAGCTGAGCTCTGTGAGGTGAATTATCGATAAGTGCAGCGTAGAAAGAATCGGAATGGATTCCAGAATTGGCTGCACCAGAAAAAAAAAAAATAGATTTTTCATTTGTGGGTGGTTTTAGGATCAAATTCGACATAGCAGAGTAACAAGAGTTCTTACTGTGGAGAAAAGGAGAAGCGAGAAGAGACGCTTCCGACATTGATCTTCCTCTGTCCTCTCCTGACTTGTTTTGTTATCTCTGCTTCCTAGTCTTCTTGGTCATCTCCATCATTTTAATTTTGAACACACTCTTTTGTATATCAATTTCTCAATATATAAACTCAATTTCTGAATTCTTCAACATATTAAATGTTTCAACATATTAACTCAATTTCTGAGTTCTTCAACATTTTAAATGTTTCAACCCAATTCTTCTAGTCATTTGATGGTAACAACGTCAAGAGAGCAAAATATACAGTTTTTTAAAAAACGGTTTTAGTCTTTTCGATGAATAAAACGATTTCACAATACTGTATTAAATGAACAATTTTTTTTTTTAAAAATGGGTTCTTTTAGTCATTTTCCAAACTCCAATTGAAAAGAAAAATGGAAGAATATATATATAGTATATTTGAAACAGAGATGAAAAGGAAAAAAATCAAAAATAAAAGATATCACATAAATTACGCAATCAAAATCGTATCTTATATTTAACCAAAAAAAAAGATTAAATCGTATCTTGTACACAATCTTACAAGTTACAAGCAACAGATTCCACACTTATCCTTTTAATTATTTTCTTAATCCTCTTCCTATATGATGACATTAGTTTAATTAGCTTCAAACTTCCTTTATATTTTACCAAAGAGAGAAGAAGAAGAACAGAACGAGAGAAGCATTATCATGAGTAGTAGTAGTCCCGACGAGAGGCTTGTGACAAAAGTTACTGATGTATTATTCAGCAGCGACTCTGATGATGATCTAGCAACTAAACCTAGAGCAGCACTACATGCAGACCAATTTAGGTCTAATTCTGCTGATCGATTCAGGAGGCGTGCTGATAAAGTTTGGGCAGTTTCTACTAAAAAAGAGAAAGAAGATGAATCCTCACCGGAGTCTAACTCTAGATCGGAAGAAAAAGTTGGCGGCACCGTTCGCTTGGGAGAATCCAGTTACTTCATAATCGACATCTTCGAGAAGGAAATCATGGAATTGGGAGACAGAGTGGATTTGAACTTCAAGAGATTCAACAACTTCGAAACTGTCGATGGAGACGCTCCACGAGACCATCACTTCTACAACTACAGTTGCTGCTACTCCTCTTGGTGCTGCGTCTGCGAACACGTCAATGTTGAGAAAGAGTTGGGGATGCTACAGAGAGAGTTGGCCTCGAGCGGTGGCTCGAAAGGTGTCAGCTTCTTCGTGAGAACTTACAGTGAAAGAAAAGAGCTGATGAGAGTTGCTGTAACCGTGACAAACGGTGATCAGCGTCACGGCTTGTTCTTCTTCGACCTTAGGTTCCCTAGGGATTATCCATACCAAGCACCGAGTTTCTTCTACCATCCATATGGCCTTCCTTTGAGTACTTCCCTAACCCAAAAGCCATTGAGACCCAAACTCTGTTACAACATGTTGGATGTGTTTCTCCACATTGAAGAGATTGTGATGATGAACACCAACAAGTCGTGTCAACAGATGTTGGATATGCTGAGATGGCCGCTCGTGGGGTTTCAGGATTTTGTGAAAGGGCACTTTAGGAAGAAGGGAGCTTTGATTCTGAGGAACGTGATGGACGAGATGGACATGGCAAAGGAGAAGGATAAGAACATGTTCTTGAAGACGTACGTTGCCTTTGAAGACAATAAAGCGTATTGTGAGCATCTTCTCGACTGTGGCCTGAAAAAGGAGCTGAAGAGGTTCAAGGAGAAAGAGTGTTCACTATACGAACATTACCACTCTTCTTCATCTCACTACTTCCCAACCATCATTAGCAGGTTCGATGATATTCAAAAGACATCCAAATACCAAAACTTCTTGAGCAAGTTCTTTCTCTTCTAGTTATTGGTTTTACGATTAGGTCTACTTTGTGTTTTCTAGCATTTTGTGTTTTCAGAATTTTATCATGAGTTTTTTTTTTAATAAGAGGAATGAGTCTGGCCTGAAAGTAGTGGATAAAAACTCAAAAGTGTTGAAATAGGTAGATTTACAGCAAAAGAAACTCATGAAGTATACAGCGTTTGCCTCATTAAAATGGTGAGTTTCTAAACGGTGACTGGGATCGCTTCATCAAGTGCGATCACACCGGGAAGTACTTTGCCTTCCAAGAGCTCCAAGCTGGCTCCACCACCAGTGGAGATGTGACTCATCACTCCTGCGACTCCCACTTTCTCCACTGCAGCCACTGAGTCTCCTCCTCCTATTATCGTTGTCACTCCTTTTTCACTTAGCTCTGCTAGTTTATTCGCAACCGCCTACAACAAACCATAACCCCCAAACTTAACATTGACATATTCATTCTACCATATTGGTTTATTCTTATGAGGGATCATTATCTTACCTCTGTTCCAGCTGCAAACTTTTCCATCTCGAAAACTCCCATAGGTCCATTCCAAATGACCGTCTGTGTTGTGTCCAGAGCTTCGTTGAAAGTTTTTATAGAGTCTGGACCAATGTCCAATCCCATCCATCCGTCCTCAATGCCTGATGCAGGCACAATCTACAAACATCCCACATTACATTACTCAGAACACAAAGCTCTAGCAAATTCAACTTTTTAACAACTCTGCTTCTCTCATCTCTCGTTTAAGATCATCAGCAAACAAGAGCATAACATCCACTTATCATTATATTGTACAAGAGACACGTATAGCTAGCAAACAGATCATAAAGGAGTTTTAAACCAGGTTTTGCAAAGATAAATGAGAGAGACAGACCTTGCTGTTGGCATCAGGAGCGAACTTGTCAGCAACCACAACATCGGTTGGCAACAAGAGAGAGACTCCTTTGGCCTTAGCTTTGGCAAGGAGAGATGTAGCCAATTCAAGTTTGTCTTCTTCAACAAGGGACGAGCCAACAGAAAGACCTTGTGCCTTGTAGAACGTGAAGATCATTCCACCACCAAGAAGAAGGATATCACACTTCTCAAGAAGCGATTCAATAACTCCAATCTTGGATGAGACCTTGGAACCACCCACGATGGCTGCAAATGGCCTCTTTGGGTTTGAAACAGCGCCCACAAGGTAATCAAGCTCCTGTAGATACAGAGAGAAGTAAACAAAAAAATAAAATAACGAGCAAGGGTATAAGTACCATAATGTAGAAACGGCGCTTCAATGCTGAATCGACAATCAATGGAAAGAAGAATCACTTATCAAAATGTAACCTTTTGCAGAAGGAAACCAGCAACGGAGGGCTTCAAGAACTTTGTGACTCCCTCGGTAGAAGCATGAGCTCTGTGAGCAGTTCCAAAAGCGTCATTGACATAGAGATCAGCTAGAGAAGCGAGCTTCTTGGCGAACTCAGGGTCGTTCTTCTCTTCCTCCTTGTAAAACCTGACGTTCTCAAGAAGCAGAACACCACCTTCAGGAAGAGAAGCCACCAAGCTTTCTACTTCCGGGCCGATACAATCGTCAGCTTTCTTGACCTGCAACAAAATTCACCCTCAAAAAGCTCTCTCACGCGATTGATTCCCACAGGGAGATGATATTGATTAGTGAGACAGAGATCATATGATTTTACCTCAATACCAAGAAGCTCGGAGAGCCTTGGGACAAGAGGAGCTAAACTGAACTTTGGTGTGACTCCCTTTGGCCTCCCCTGAGAAGATTGACCAAAACGCATGAAATGGTCAAACTTTAGTTCAGGCGATGTAGGAATGTTGCAAATGTATGGAATGTGGGAAGATTACCAGATGAGTGGAGAGGATGACTTTAGCGCCATTGTCGATCAAATACTTGATTGTGGGAATGGCGGCGCGGATTCTGGTGTCGTCAGTGATTGTCTGGTTGTCATCGAGAGGTACATTGAGATCAGCTCTCACGAAGACCTTCTTCCCCTTCAAATCAGCGGAGGACAGATCGCCGACGCTCTTCTTCGCCATGGAAACAACTCCCCTGCTCCCTTTCCCGCGCACCGACTGAACCTTGGAGGCGACGTGGAGGGAGAAACTGCGGGAGTCGAGTACGGCGGAGAAGCCGAGAGGACGCGCGGAGATAGATTTAGAGGGAATGGGCAAAAGGGAGGCGCGTGCGCGAGTTGCGGCGGAGGAAGCAACGCCGCCGGTGGACTTAAGGAGTGAAAAGGCGGGACTTGCGGCGACGGAAGCCATGTGGAGTTGAAGAAGAGAAGATGATCAGCAGATTAGAGAGAGAGAGACAGAGAGAGTGACTCACAATTTCTTTGGCATTGGGGGGATTTTAGGAGATTAGAATATTTTTCTCTTATCGTTGATGAGCGGTTCAAAATATTTCTATCACTTTTTTGGCTCATAAAATATTCGTTGTTGTTTTGCCACTATATTTCTTCGTTTTCTTAACAAAAAACCATATGCATCATAATCATTGTATCCTTTTATTAGTCAAATATAGATTGTGCATAGATGCTTTGATCTACAATAATCATTGAAAAAAATGTTTCTCCAACATAATACAATAACCCAACACAACACAATCTGAAACCCAAAAATGCTCTTAAAGTTTACTGACAGGCTTTCCCCTGGACCTCTTCTCCACCACACGAGAGAGTTCCTTCACTGCTTCTCTGGGCAAATGGCGAGGTTTGCTAAGCCACAGTCCATTATCTACCGCCATTGTCAGTCCATTCACATACTTCCCTGTTAATCCAAATCAGCCAAATGTTTCATCATCTTTGTCTAATCAAAAGAGTGCGAGTGATTCAGCAGAGAGTCACATACCAGAATCACAGGTGAGGTAGAGTGCAGCCATGGCGATATCCCACTTATCTCCAAGTTTATAGAGAGGCATGAGCTCTCGGGCTTGGCTTTCAATCTCTTCAGGTACAAGTTTACTCATTCCAGGTGTACCTCTAATAGGGCCTGGTGCAATCCCGTTCACTCTAATCTCGTAATCAGTTCCCCACTCCAATGCCAAGTTCCTTGTCGTAGCGTCGACTGCAGCCTGATTCAAGTTTCAAAAACTAAGATCCCATTTGCTAAAATAGCACACTTAGTTCTTGATTTCCTAAACCAGAAACTGGAGTTGAGTTTGCAAAGACTGATTCATTTACCTTGGCTGCAGATACATGGATTTGGTACCAAGAAGCTGTGTAGTGCAAAGTAGCACTTATGTTGAGAATCGAACCGCCGCCGGTTGATGAGTCTCTCCCAGGCCCTCCTTTCTTAAGGTACTTGAGTGCTTCGTGGCACATGTTGAATGTTCCCACTGCATCAATGTCTAAAACTGCACAAGAAGAAGAAGAAGAAAAAAAGTTTCCTTCAGCTAACAGAGAACAACAACAACACTCGAAATTGACCAACCAAGCAGAGTCTCAGGCCAAAACTCTTCTCATAAGCTAAATATTGATGATTGAATGAAAGGGTGGATCACCTGTTCGGAAGCCGTTGGAGGACAAATCCTCAGCCGCGGCGAGGAAATTTCCAGCGGCGGCGTTAACGAGAATATCAATCCTACCGAAATGCTGATAAGTCGACTCCACGACTCTTCTCGCATCCTCTGGCTTACGAACATCACCTTCCAATCCAATTGCCTATTGGATTGAAGACACATGCAGAGAGATGGAGAAGTTCAACAAACAATCTTATCAAAAAAAAAAAAAACTAAACTACTTCCTATTCCTCCTCAAATTAAACGGAAATCCTCATGAACATAATTCGCGTATCGACAACGGTTACCGGAATTCCGAGAGATCGGAGATCAGAGACGGCGGCGTCGAGGACTTGTTTCCGGCGGCCCATGATGGCGATGGAAGCTCCATGTTTGCCGAACTGAGAGGAGATCTCGAAACCGATGCCGGATCCGCCGCCGGTGATGAGAGCAACCTTCCCTTTAAGAACATCAGGCTTGAACGGAGAGTCCATAATCACACAGCTCCACACGCAAAAGCTACAAGAAGACAAAAATGATAAGCCAAGCCACTGACGTTTTCTCAACTTACTTCCACCACCTACCGTCCGTGCTAATTTTGGTTTAATATCTCCGCATTTTAAGAAAACGAATATCCTAAATATTTTTGGTTATAAACATTTTCTAATCAGCATTTGTGTCATATGGCTTATGTGATTACATTAATTAATTAAATAGTAAGTACGTATTTTTAGATATCACATTTTTACAGGAAATAATTACCTTTTTTTTAAAAAGAGAAAAGGGTTTACGAGACTCCTCCACTCTGTATTTTTTTTTTACTTTTTTTTTTCTTCATCTATCTGCGCCGCGCGCTCTCTCTCTCTATCTCTCTCTGTAGCTTCTTCCCTCATCCTCCCGATTAAAGTTTCTACCATTTTTAGACCTTTCGTAATCTTCCCATCTTTTTTTCTTCGATCTCAAAATCAAATGCTCTTAGTAACAAAGAAGTGAAGAGATTTGATTAAAAAAAAAAACCCAATCGTTCTTTTTACCTTAGATTAGTCGGTAGATTATCGTGAATTTTTAAGATTTAGAACCGGAATTGACTGCGATGTTTTTGGTGACGCAACCTGGTTATGGATTCGTTGCGTGGAGCTTACCTTGCTGAAGTAGGAAACCCTAATTTCGTGGGCTTTTGCGCAGTCGCACAGTGCAGTCACTACTCGTCTTCTTCTCCCTTTTCTGGTGTATTTGCCGGATTCTTGTATGAGTTAGCTTAAGAGGCGTTAGTAATGGCGTCCAAAGGTGGGAAATCTAAACCTGATATAGTAATGACCTCGAAAGGGGCAAAATCTAAACCTGATAACGAATCCAGAGCTAAGCGCCAGAAGGTTAGCTCCTGATCCTAATTCTTGTTCTTCGTTTCTTCTTCATCTTCCTCTGGTAGATTCTACTTTGAGCTTATTAACGATTTCGGAGATTTATTTACCTCGAGTTTATTGGAAATTGTAAAACGGTTCTGTTTTCCTTTCAGACGCTCGAAGCTCCCAAAGAACCACGTCGCCCTAAAACTCACTGGGACCATGTTTTGGAGGAGATGGCTTGGCTGTCAAAGGTAAGCAGAAGGGTGGCTAGTTTCATCATTCAGCAAGAATTGGTTTGCATGCATGCCGTTTCTCTGCTAATTGGTGCGCTTTTTGTAGGACTTTGAGTCTGAGAGGAAGTGGAAGCTGGCGCAGGCGAAGAGAGTTGCTTTGAGGGCCAGCAAAGGCATGCTAGATCAGGCATCTAGAGAAGAAAGGAAGCTAAAGGTTCTCTCTTCTTCCTCTCTTTACTCTTTCTGACTACAGACACACACTCCAGCATTAGTTTTTTAAGTGAAAGTATTGCCTCTTACAGGAAGAAGAACAGCGACTGCGGAAAGTAGCCCTCAATATCTCAAAAGACATAAAGAAGTTTTGGACGAAAGTTGAGAAGCTGGTAAATTCTTTGATTTTCTTCTCTCCTGGGCCTTGAAATTTAAGGTTTGGCATAATTTCTGAGCATGTGAACTTGTTCTTCTCTGTGGACTGGCAAATTTATAGGTGTTGTACAAGCATCAGCTAGTTCGAAATGAGAAAAAGAAGAAGGCTATGGACAAGCAACTTGAGTTTCTGTTAGGCCAGACCGAGAGGTTAATATTGATTTGTTCTTACACAGTTTTGTAATTCTGGAAACATAATTGAAGACTGAATTTAGCCTGTTGGTTTATCTTAGGTACTCAACTATGTTGGCAGAAAATTTAGTGGAGCCTTATAAACGGGCCCAAAACAACTCTCCCAGAATTCTACTGGCTATCGAATCAAAAAGTGATGAGGAAATGGCAGAAGAGACACCTTCTGAGCTGAATGCTGGTGAGCACCACATTACTAAACACCGCATATTTTTACTGTAAGCAAGTGAGCTGCATCCTAACAATTATCCTAACACAGTAGCTGCAGGTCTTGAATCTGGAACTCTTGATATCGATGATGATTATGATCTGAAATCCGAGGATGAGTCCGTGAGTTTCACTTCATAATTTATACTTTCTATTTAACTACTTATTGGCAGTTAATGTGTATCACAGCTTGAATCTACCTGCACCTTAAAAAATGATGGAGAATAGGTTGTTCTTGCTGTTTGACAAATCGTACTGTTTTGTCATGACCACACTGCACCCAACATATAGGCTGTACTCTAGTTTTTAGTAGTTTCTGCGGAGATTGAAGTGATTGTTGTTTATTTATTAATTATGTATCTCTGGTCATTGAAGGAGTAATATATTCCATATCTTATTTTAAACCCACAATTACACTTAGGAAGATGATGAAGATACTATTGAGGAGGATGAAAAACACTTCACCAAACAGGAAAGGCAGGAAGAGTTGGAAGCTTTGCAAAATGAAGTTGATCTACCAGTTGAGGAGCTGCTCAGACGATATACTGCTGGGAGAGGTTGGAATGACTATAATCTCGCTCTTGATTGATTTTCTTTTTCTGCATTTTATCGTATTTTACTTTGAACTATACAAGCTGTATCCTCAATTAATGTCAACTATTTGAATTGCATCCTCTTATTGTGTAAGACTTTGATTTTGATCCCTCAGTCAGCCGAGAAACCAGTCCAGAAAAGGATGAAAATGAAGCTAATCTGGCATCAGTAGGTGAAGATCATATAGAAGGTGAGCGGTAGTAAGTTCTTATAATGAATTTGTCGCAATGCAACTGCTCTTTGACTCCCTCTTCCCATTTGATATTTGCAGCGGACAAAAACAATCTTACAGCTTCTGAAGAAACTGAAGGGAGCCCAAGTGTTCGTCGTTCTGTAAGTTGTATGTCTTTTTTAAATCTCATTGTCTGATTTGTTATCAAAATTCTGGCTCAAATGTAATATTTATTCTTTATTGGCAGAATGATAGCTATGATCATTTGGCAATATCCGAGACTCATTCACATGACGACAAGCCAGGCTCAACGACTGCTTCTGTGAAGTCCGGAAAGGGAGATCATACTTATGATTTCAACGACGAACAGGTAACTGTATCTGATATTCTTTGGGTATCCTCTGTCAAAGACCTTAACCATGTTCTTCTCTGCAATTACTACAAATGCTGAACTTACTGTTTCACTCTTGTATGCTAACATGTGCAGGAAGATGTTGACTTTGTTGTTGCCACTGGTGAGGAAAAGGTCAGCCTTTATCAAATGCCAGAGACTTTTATCTTGGAGCTTTTTACTCTTTTACTTAATTCTCTTGGCCTTGGCCCTTGGGGCTCTTGTCGAAGATCTTTTTTTGAATGAGCATATGGATTCAAAATTGTATATTTTCTCTTTTGGTTTAGGATGATGAGACGACACTGTCCGTTGAAGAGGAACTGGCAAAAGCAGATGACCCTGTGGACGAGGTGACAAGCCTTTTGGTTATTCAGTTTTTTTTTGTAATAAGAAAAGCGTTGTTAGCTACAGAGTTTACATACAGAAACTTGTCCCTGTACTGCAGATTGCTCTGCTGCAGAAGGAGAGTGAAATGCCTCTTGAAGAATTGCTTGCAAGGTATAAAGAGGTATGCTTTTAAGTCTCCTGTGTGCTTATGTTTTGTGGCTTTTGTTGTTTTTTTCTTAAAGTAACTCAAGTTTCCTGTAATAGGATTTCGGTGACAAGGATTTTTCTGAAGATGACTCTGGATATTCATGTGCATTATCTGATGACTATGATGACTCTCATAAAATCAGGCAGCAAGCTGATTCAGATGACGAAAACGTTGAGTCAACAGAATGTAAGCCAGAATTGCAGCCATGCTCAGAAAATGTTGAAGGCACGTCCACTGAAATAACAGAAGATAATGGTAAAGATAGTAGTGATAAAATAGCTGATGCAGCAGCAGCAGCAAGATCTGCGCAGCCAACTGGATTTACGTACTCCACAACAAAAGTTCGAACGAAATTGCCGTTCCTTCTCAAGCATTCTTTGCGTGAGTACCAACACATTGGTTTGGACTGGCTTGTGACGATGTATGAGAAAAGGTTGAACGGGATTCTAGCTGATGAAATGGGTCTTGGAAAGACAATAATGACCATTGCCCTTCTAGCACATCTTGCCTGTGATAAGGGGATTTGGGGTCCCCATCTGATTGTGGTTCCAACAAGTGTGATGCTTAATTGGGAAACTGAATTTCTTAAATGGTGTCCTGCATTCAAAATTCTCACCTACTTTGGGAGTGCAAAGGAGCGGAAACTCAAGAGACAAGGATGGATGAAGCTGAACTCATTTCATATATGCATTACAACCTACAGACTAGTTATTCAGGACAGTAAAATGTTCAAGCGCAAGAAGTGGAAGTACTTGATTCTTGACGAAGCCCATTTAATTAAGAATTGGAAGTCTCAGAGATGGCAAACTCTGTTGAACTTCAATTCTAAACGCAGAATTTTGTTGACTGGCACACCACTGCAGAACGATCTTATGGAATTGTGGTCACTAATGCATTTTCTGATGCCACATGTCTTTCAATCTCACCAGGAGTTTAAAGATTGGTTCTGTAACCCGATAGCAGGGATGGTAGACGGACAAGAAAAAATCAACAAAGAAGTGATTGATCGCTTACATAATGTCCTCCGTCCTTTCCTTCTGCGGCGCCTAAAAAGGGATGTGGAGAAGCAACTTCCTCAGAAACATGAGCATGTTATTTTCTGTAGATTGTCTAAAAGGCAGCGGAACTTGTATGAGGACTTCATAGCAAGCACAGAAACACAGGCTACGCTTAACAGTGGAAGCTTTTTTGGGATGATAAGTATTATAATGCAACTGCGGAAAGTTTGTAATCATCCTGATCTCTTTGAGGGTCGGCCTATTGTAAGTTCTTTTGATATGGCTGGCATTGATGTGCAGTTGAGTTCGAGAATCTGTTCTCTGCTTCTGAAAAGTCCTTTTTCAAGGGTCGATCTTGAGGCTCTGGGATTCTTATTCACACATCTTGATTTTTCTATGACTTCTTGGGAAGGGGATGAGGTCAAAGCTATTTCAACGCCCTCGGATTTAATCAAGCAGCGCATGGAGTTGAAGGATAATTCAGAAGCTATCCCTCTGAGTTTGATAAACCGCAAAAATCTGCAAGGGACAAATATCTTTGAAGAAATTCGAAAGGCCATCTTTGAGGAAAGGGTTAAAGAATCTAAGGATCAGGCAGCAGCCATTGCATGGTTGAATTCTTTGAGATGTCAGAGAAAGCCTCTTTACTCTACATCTCTAAGATCTCTTTTAACCATTAAGGGTCCTCTTGATGATATACACGATCGTAAAGCTAGTGGTTCATCGTACATGTATTCCTCAGTGCTCGCGGACATAGTTCTTTCACCGATCGAGCGTTTTCAGAAGATAATTGAGCTAGTGGAAGCCTTCACATTTGCAATTCCAGCTGCACGAGTGCCTTCACCTGCTTGCTGGTGCAGCAAAAGTGACACTCCTGTTTTTCTTAGTCCATCTTACAAGGAGAAAGTTACAGATCTATTGTCACCTCTTCTGTCTCCGATTAGACCTGCGATTGTTAGGAGACAAGTATATTTTCCAGATAGGCGGCTGATACAGTTTGATTGTGGTAAGCTGCAGGAGCTTGCTATGTTGCTGAGGAAATTAAAATTTGGGGGCCACAGAGCGTTGATATTCACGCAAATGACCAAGATGCTTGACATCTTGGAGGCATTCATTAATTTATACGGTTATACCTACATGCGTCTTGACGGCTCTACTCCGCCAGAAGAGAGGCAGACACTAATGCAGCGGTTTAACACAAATCCCAAGATTTTTCTTTTCATCTTGTCAACCCGAAGTGGGGGTGTTGGCATCAATCTCGTTGGTGCAGACACGGTTATTTTCTATGACAGTGACTGGAATCCTGCTATGGATCAACAAGCCCAAGATCGCTGCCACAGGATAGGTCAGACACGGGAAGTGCATATCTATCGGTTGATAAGTGAGAGCACCATTGAAGAGAATATATTGAAGAAAGCAAACCAAAAGCGTGCACTTGATAACCTTGTGATTCAAAATGGTGAGTATAATACTGAGTTTTTCAAGAAGCTCGACCCCATGGAATTGTTCACTGGGCATAAGGCTCTGACCACGAAGGATGAAAAGGAAAAAAGCAAGAATTGTGGGGCGGAGCTACCTCTGTCAAATGCAGATGTAGAGGCTGCGTTAAAACATGCAGAAGATGAAGCAGATTATATGGCTCTCAAAAGAGTAGAAGAAGAAGAAGCTGTGGACAATCAAGAGTTTACAGAAGAACCTGTAGAGAGGCCAGAGGACGATGAGATAGTTAACGAGGATGACATTAAGTCTTATGAGCCTGCTGATCAAGGTGTAGCTGCAGCAGGGTCCAATAAAGAAGAAATTTCATTGTTACCTACTAATACCAGGGATGAGAGAGCTGACATCACTATTTCAAGCCAGGAAGAAGATACTGATGTACCAGATGATGTCAAGCAAATGGCTGCAGCAGCTGCCGCTGCTGGACAAGCTATCTCATCTTTTGAGAACCAGCTTCGTCCTATTGATAGATATGCGATTAGATATCTAGAGGTTTGGGATCCCATCATTGTTGAGGCTGCAATGGAAAATGAAGCGGGATTTGAAGAGAAAGAATGGGAACTTGACCACATTGAGAAGTACAAGGAGGAAATGGAAGCTGAGATTGATGATGGTGAAGAGCCTCTTGTTTATGAGAGTAAGTATATTTTTTGCGCATCCATCCAATCATTTAACTCCTATTCCTACTTAATTGACAATGAACACTTTGCCGATGACGTATCTCACATGAGATGTTAATGCTACTTTCAGAGTGGGATGCTGATTTTGCAACGGAGGCATACAGGCAACAAGTTGAAGTTTTAGCTCAGCACCAGGTAAGTTTAATTAATGTATCTGTCATGTCCTTCTGCATTTCAGCTTGGTCACGTATTTACTTATGTTTGTAGTTGATGGAAGATTTGGAAAATGAAGCTAGAGAGAGAGAAGCTGCAGAGGAGGCTGAAATGGATTTGACAATGTAAGACACACTTGAACTCACGCAGTTAATTGTCAATATGACTATCTAGGACAATTCTGCTGGAAATTTTATGCCAGCATTGATAGACGAGCACTAATTCAAGTTATTGGTTGAAAACTTCTTTTGTCCTCAGGAATGAAAGTGCCCCTGTACTGAAACCCAAGAAGAAGAAAAAGGTGAAGAAAGCCAAATATAAATCCTTAAAGAAAGGATCACTGGCCGCCGAATCAAAACATGTGAAATCCGTGGTGGAAGTGGAAGCTTCGACTGATGATGATAATGAAGAATGTGGCTATGTAAGTAGCAGTGACTCAGACATGGTTTCACCGAATTTGCAGACACGTATGAAAGGCAAGAAAAGAGAAGTAATTGTCGACACTGAAGAAGAGAAGACCTCAAAGAAGAAAGCAAAGAAGCACAAGAAGTCTCTTTCACATTCAGATATCAAATACAAGCAACCAAGCGCTCCGCCTGATGAACTGGTTCCATCAAAGCTGTCTGACAGTATGGCTGTTGATAATGATTTTAAACCGGCAAACAAGGGCAAAACTATAGGGAAAAAGTTCATCACTCCCATGCCAATAAAGCGTGTTCTTATGATCAAGCCAGAGAAATTGAAGAAAGGGAATCTGTGGTCTAGAGACTGTGTTCCTTCGCCTGATTCTTGGTTGCCTCAGGAAGATGCTATATTGTGTGCCATGGTCCATGAATATGGGCCTAATTGGAGTTTGGTTAGCGAGACTCTTTATGGAATGGCAGCTGGTGGGGCCTACAGAGGACGGCATCGCCATCCTGCTTATTGTTGTGAGAGATACAGAGAGCTAATCCAACGACATATTTTGTCTGCTTCCGACAGTGTAGTGAATGAGAAGAACCCCAACACAGGGTCTGGGAAGGCTCTCCTTAAAGTCACCGAGGTAAGGTTGATTATGCCATAGCGTTAGGATCTGTGCACGAATAGAGGTTTTGTTCGTGAAATTGACATAAAAGAATCAGTATTGTTAGTTACTCACTAGTGTGCACTGAAGCAGTGAAGAATTAGGGATATTCTGGAATTCAACCAAAGAAGATTGTCACTAATATCTCATTTTGGTGCAGGAAAATATCCGGGGACTCCTAAATGTTGCAGCTGAGCAGCCAGATACGGAGATGCTCCTTCAAAAACATTTTACTTGCTTGCTGTCATCAGTTTGGAGGACGTCTACACGCACTGGGAACGATAAAATGCTCTCCTTAAATAGTCCTATATTCAACAGACAGTTTATGGGTTCAGCCAATCACGCTCAAGAATCAGCTAGAAACCCTTTCCAGGGGATGAAGATCACCAGCCTAAGTAGCAAGATGTTGGAATCCGCTCTCCAGGACGCAAGCACGAGTCAGCCACTCGATACCGTTTCCCGTTCTAGATTACAGGAGGATCAACCTATCAATAAAGTGGGATTAGACCTAACCTTGGAATTCCCACGTGGCAATAATGATTCCCCGACTCATCTTCCATCCATCATAAGGCTATCCATTGACGAGTCCGATTCATCAAATTATGTGGATGACCCTCCAGGTGAAGATAAGCTAAAAGCATCTCGGCTTGCTGCAGAGAACCGTTACAGGTTAGGAACTGTAATGATTTTTGAGTTTTTTCTATCGATCATGCCAAAAAAGCTTTCGATAGTTCTTAAGAGTCGTAGTAGTCACTAAACTGTCGTGGTCTTGTTCGTAGGAACGCTGCGAATGCTTGTTTTGAAGATTCATTTGGATGGGCTTCAAACACGTTCTCCTCCGCAAGTGATATAAAGCCGAGAAGTGGAATGAAAGCTGTGTCCACGGGGAAGCACAAGCTATCCGCCTCCGACACACCCAAGTCTACAAAAAGCAAACAGCGGAAACTCTCAGCGGCAGAGCAATCGGAAGTGGCGTGGGTAAGGCCAAATGACCCGAATCTCAAGTTTGATTTCACACCTGCTGATAGGGAGGAGGAAGAGGAAGAGAAGTCGGTTGCAGAAGAGATAGAGATGATAGGTTGTTCACATTGGTATGATCCTTTGTTAACCTCAGGTCTTGATGATTGCTCGTTATCTTCCGAACTCTTGGAAATAGAGTAGTCAAGGCCTTTTGTAAAAGTAAAACTGCATGCAGACAAAAAATATTGTAGATGACCATTTTGTTAACCTCTTTGATGGGCAAGATCTTGTTGTGTTAACGCAGAAGATGAAATGACAACTTTCCTAGGTTTTTTATTGTTTCCAGAGATCATCAAAATATTGAATCTCATATATATGATTTAATCCTACATTTGCTTCAGACTCGCTTACATTCTAGTTTCCCAAATCTGAGCTAGAAAACAGTGTGTGTCAATGTACACTGGTTTGAACATGTTCTCAGTGTATTTTAGATTTATCTAAAACAAAAAACCAAAAAACAAAGTCAATACAAAAATAAGACATTGTGTTTTAGAAAGTTTGGTTATCCAAATAGTTGAGCCACTCATTGTAATCATCTATCCCTGGTTCAACCATTCGGCTACACAACTCCTGATATGATTGCCCATGGATTTCTAGCGACTCCGGTTTAGATACAGGAGGAGGAGGAGGATTCTGGTGATCTTCAAAAAGAAATTCTAGTGATTGTGGCGCATTTACCTCAAACCCACATGCCATATGCTCCACCAAGATTTCCTCAAACACCTCTTCCTGATTCTGCATCTCGCTGTTGATAACGTCATTAGAGACTGATGAAGAGATTGATGAGGAGGAAGAGGATGAAGAACATGACACTGAAGAGGCTTGGTTGGTTGTATCCGATGCTGATGAACTGCTCTTGGTCAATCGTTTCTTGAGATGAGTGTTCCACACATTCTTGATCTCGTTGTCTGTTCTTCCGGGCAAGTGTGATGCGATCTTTGACCACCTGATCAATTGAATTAATGCACTAGTTAATACTTCCTGCTTTTAAATCACTTTTACATGGATGATGATGATTCTAATTAAGGACACATCATGGCTTTACTTGTTTCCAAGAGCTTGGTGAAGGTTGATAATGATATCTTCCTCCTCTTTGGTGAAGTTGCCTCGTTTAAGACCTGGTCTCAGATAGTTTATCCATCTTAAACGGCAACTCTTTCCACATCTCTTCAATCCTATATTTTGTTTTTTAAGTTCAAACATAAACATTATTTTAGTCAAAACTATATAAGCTTAACTTAAAAAGGAGTAAAAAAGAGAAAATGATTAAAATATGAAACCGTGTAACTTAGTTAATTCAACAAGTGAATATCTCTGCCTTTCTCTATCATTTCATTAATTTTAATAATTAAATGAATATTTCATCAGATGCTGAATATGTTTGGTTTTAAGTTTCACCACATATCTTTTAACTAATTTCTTATATACATAAATTTTTAATCGAGCATTTTAATCATCTGTTATAACAAGTTGTCATCCCATCTTCGGGAAGAATCTGTATCTACCTATTCAACTTTAATTATTTGGGAAATAAAGGTGTAATAATACACGAACGTTACAGATTGTGGTCAAACATCTCATAATTTATTCTTTAAAGAATTATTTGCTTCCTTACTGAAATTGAAAAAAAAAACTAAAATCATAATTGAAAAAATGTAATTACAGCTTGCATGAATTAAAAATCCCCAAAAATATATTGTTTAAATTTGTAAAAATTGTAACGAGCCTATGAACCACTCCAAGAACAACAACAACAAAAACAAAAATCAATGTTTAATTTATGAAATTTTAGAGTCTATTCAAGAACAGGTAAAAAAAGAATGCACTTTGTCAAATCAAAGAACATTGAGCAAAGAGAGAGAGAGAGACTGAAACTATAAACAACAGATTTCTGTAAAAAAACATGAAAATGAAAATGAGAGAGATAGTGAACATGCAATGTGAAAGAGAGGACCTTCAACGAAAACAGAACAATTAAAATTTAACCCACAAAACAAAAAGAGAGAGATATACCAGCGAGTTGTGGGAGAGATCTCCAGTTGTGATGACCATTTTGAAGAATAAAAGCTCTGAGTCTTTCACTTTCTTCATCACTCCATGGCCCTCTCTTCACTTGGCTATTGTCACAGCATGGTGCTCTTCTATTCCCCATAATATCACACCGACTTTTAATTTCTAGAGAATCTCATAGATTTTTCATCTTTTTATATATATATACATCATGTACGACTACGTGTCATCATCGCATATGAGGGTTATGACCACAAGGTTCATGCCACTTATTCATATAAGAGTAAAACCTATTTGAATCAATTAATGGAATATCTATTTCGCATTTGTTATATTTTCTATATTATAATCATGACTGGCCTCATTTTTTGTTTTTATCATTTGACATTATGATGTCCTGCCTTAAATCCAATTTGTATTCTACAATATCTTTCCTTTTTTCCCGCGCTCTTTTTTTTCTTTATTTAAATCATCTTTCTTTTTATTCTCAAAGGCTCAAATCATATTTGTGGAAATTAAGATTTTTATTTATAATTTTAGACTCGAAAATCTTGATTTAAACTGAATTTATTTCATTTTTTTCTGTTAGACACAATTATTTCATTCAATAATAAAACATATTATTAAGGATTAATTATACTTGACAAAAATAAATAATGGATATTTACTACTCCCTCTGTTTTTCAATGTATGATTCTTTAGATTTTTTACAAGTTTTAAAAAGCAATCATTAATTATTATTTTCAGTTACTTTTTCATTTTAATATTTTTTATATTAGTTATTTTAATGTATATTCTCTTGGAAATAATAAAGTGTTCTCGAAAAAAGAAGTGGATTATATATAATCCAAAAAATCAAACTTTGTGGGACAAATTTTCTGGAACGGAGGAAATATTAGTTTTCATCATTGGTTAATGGATCTGGAACTTGATTTTCTATTATATATTCAAGGACAAATCATTATACTCGTTTCCTTTTATTCTTTTACAAAGATTTTATTCTAAAAGAAAAATGTGCAACTAAGTATGGAGATGGTATATATGTTTTATAGGTATATAAGGTGTCCTCTCATTATTTACGTATAACTTTAATTGGTTTATGGAATTGACAGCGCTATATTAACCTGTAAATTAGTTGACAAAATAAAATAAAAAGATATTCACTAATCGTCAACACTCGAAGGTAAATAAGAAGAAAAAAAATTAAGAAATTAAGAGAGGGAGGGAATATATGATATAAGTGGAGTGGAGAGAGAGTATAATGCATGATACCTTCCAACATCAACTTGTTTATATTTTTCATTTTATTTGTTAGAATAGGGATGTGCGCTTCTGTTCTGTGTCTTCTCCGTACATTTTTTAACTTGATCAAGTCTCCACGTGCATGCCCAACGATCATCTTCATTTTAAGATTAAAAATGAATTACGTACCTTAATAGTAGTTTATGTTCATTTGGAAACAAGAAACTGAAGATTAAATCGAGTTTTCAATGAGAGATAATCTTCTATTATCAGAGTATATTGGGCCGTAATTTAGGCTATATGGGCCTTCAAACTAAAATGGGTACTTACTAAGGGAGATTCTTCTAAACGCAGCTTAATAACGGAAGCCCGTCCATATTAGTCCCAAAGTTTCACATTAAACAGTCGCTTCTATAATGAAGGAAATTAAAAATGTACAATTTTCTAAAATGCATGATCTTTTATATCAAACTAGGATATTGGTCCGCATGCATGTGCAGGCATGAATGATTTTAAAAATGTAATTATTTAAATATAATATTTAAATTTGTTTTAAATATTTTGATTTTTTGTAATATATAAAATTCAAAGTCAGTGTTTTGAATTATAAGACTTTAAACTAAATAGTAAAATATAATCTAATTTTAACTAAACATTTTGTTATAAAAAAAAATTCATTTATATTTTGAGACAGACTTGAAAAATAATTATTAAATTTTGAAAACACAAAAATTAATTTTCTATGATCAGGCTTATGTTAGAGGGTCAAATGGGTCAAATCTGTAGATAGCTGGTTACCTTCTTCGGATTTGCGGATCAGGCTGGAAATTTTGTCTTCTCTGTCTTTTTTTTTTGAACAAACATTTTTCATTTTCTTTATCTTTCTATAATCTTCCTCAATTTAAAGCATTATTTCTTCAAGAATTCCGTCATTGTTGGTCTCGATCTACTCATATGTGCGATTTTTTTACTTATAATTTTATCAAGTAGACTCTACAAATAATTGCAAGATCATCTCCACTTAAGCATCAAGTGTTTCAATTAACCCTATTACAAGACATGTTTCAACGAAGGTTGGATATAAAACTCTGTTTACTGTTATAATATCTTCAAAACATATTGGTCTTCTCTGAATATTTAACAACATTTTAAGGTAGAAAAAAACTCACCATATTCTTCTGAGACTTCTGGAAGGCTAATATCGTAGGAAACATTGTTTTTTCTGTTATGAGGGAGCCACTTCTTAAATCTTTTATGTCAAACTCATTTGTTTGGAAATTCAGTGTAGTGATAAAACCTTGCTTCATTACACTCACGATTGGAGTGATCTATACAACCTTCAAGTTTCATTTTTGCCATATATGATTTAGATAAATGGATTGATAAAATTGTAATGCCCGCACTTTGAGTTAGGGTTTGATTTGTTTATTAGGGTTTGATTTGTTTAATACTCATGTTTGTTGTGATGTTTTCTTATATAGAGATCCGAGTATTTAACTTTTTTATTAGTTATTTGGGATGAATGTATGTTTATATGGATCTTTTTGGTTTTTATTAAATGGATATTAAACTTTTCAAATAATGTAGAGGATAATGATTTTGGTTTTTCATTAGATGCATGTTGATTTTTTAGGATATTCAACGTTTGTTGCGAAAAATAATGTAGAGGATTATTAAATTGAAATCTTATATTTATATTTGTTATTATTTTTAAACTAAGCTAATCTTTTTAAATTTTGAATGTTCTACAGAAGATCACAACAATATTTTATTCTGTTATTATAATTTCACCAACTAAAGTATGTGAAAATATATGTGCACGTAAATGGAGCACGCTTTTACAAAAAGTATGAATTATTTGGTAAATGATTTGATCAATGTGATTTTGTTATTATAATTTTGCCTATTGAAATATATAAAAATATATGTACATGTATTCCAAATAAATATAGTATTATAATATATATATATAGATATATGTGTATCTATATGGAAAATCATAGTGGTCCATGACAGAGTTATAGTAAATTTAATAGGTATATAATATAGTATTATCCATAGTATTATAATAAATATATTTATATATATGTATTAAAATCATCACGTTCAGCCCAAAATTCATCTATTATTATCCATATAGATGAATAATAATATATCAGGTCATTCGTAATGCATCTGATGAATCATTTCAGATTTAGTTATTAGTATACTAAATTTTATCATTTAATTAATTTTTTTTATCAATGAAAATATCACAAAATAATCTTTTTGCCATGTCATAAACCACATGTGTTAGTAAATGTCATGTCACAATTACATCATCATTACACATCATCATTTCTATGTTACATTTAATTATGATAAAGAAAAGATTTTAACCAATCAAATTAAAATAAATCAGTATTTTTCATTTAACTATATTCTCAATTAATAGGTAGAGGATAAATCAAATTTGAGAAAAGGCGCCATAAACTTACACATCTTTTTTTTTAAGTATGTGCACATGCATACAAATATATTTAGGCATAAAGCTCAAAAGATAATTGTGAAACATTTTCCGATAGAAGAGTTGGCTCACTCATATGGAATATTCAGGATTACTGCATTTCTACCAAAATAAAAATACATGACGATGTTTAAAATATTATTTCGTTTATCATATTATGTGTCACGGAGCAAAATGGTTAGTAGAATACCATATTTAATAAAGAAATATGATAAAGTATAATAATAATAATGTGATCTCAAATGAAGGAAAGAGGTTGAATAGTTGAATCAATCATGAGGTCAGCCGCTTCCTCCGAAGCAACATATATAATCCCATTCATATTTGAAATGAGCTGCCCAACTTCTTATGACTATCCCTTTGAAATCTACATATGAATCTTCTTTCAAAAATAAAATTATATGCTAAAATGGTATCATATGATCATATCAACCTCATTTTCAATGGTTTTTTAAATGGCACTATCAACAAATGGCCGATTTTTTTAATTACAAGTCCTTATCATTTCAATTATACATTTGTGTTTATAGTTGAGAGATACTTGATTATAAAAATGATAAATAAGACTTTGCTATAGTCATGAAGAAAATGTCGCCGGTTTCACACGAGAGGGTCATCATTATTAATGTTTATAGAAGAAAAAAA